GCAGGCGCGACAGGGCCAGCGGGCGCGACGAGGCCTAAGGGGCGCGACGGGGCCCAGCGGGCACGACGGGGCCCAGGGGGGGCGCGACGGGGCCGAGGAGGCGCGACGGGGACCAGCGGGCACGACGGGGCCCAGGGGGCCGCGACGGGGCCTAACGGGCGCGACGGGGCCCAGGGGGGGGCGCGACGGGGCCTAGCAGGCGCGACGGGGCCTAGGAAGCGCGAAGGGGCCCAGCGGGCGCGACGGGGCCTAGGAGGCGCGACAGGGCCCAGCGGGCGCGACGGTGCCCAGAGGGGGCGCGACGGGGCCTAGGAGGCGCGACGGGGCCCAGCGGGCACGACAGGGCCTAGGAGGGGCGCGACGGGGCCGAACGGGCGCGACGGGGCCCAGAGGGGGGGGGACGCGACGGGGCTTAGGAGGCGCGACGATGCCTTGGAGGCACGACGGGGCTCAGCGGGCTCGACGGGGCCCATGGGGGGCGCGACGGGGCCTAGGAGGCGCAACGGGGCCCAGCGGGGGCGCGTTAGGGCCTAGGGGTCGCGACGGGGCCCAGCGGGCGCGACGGGGCCCAGGGGGAGCGCGACGGGGCCTAGGAGGCGCGACGGGGCCCAGCGGGCACGACGGGGCCCAGGGGGGGCGCGACGGGGCCTAACGAGCGCGACGGGGCCCAGGGGGGGCGCGACGGGGCCTAGGGGGCGCGACGGGGCCTAGGAGGCGCGACGGGCGGAAGCGGTAGGCGGGGGGATCCTAACCTAAGCGTGATACCATGTTAACGTAGAAACGAATGATTACTAGAGGTGGAAACCTAGAACAAATACTAGTTGGTTGTACTCACTAGAAGCATACCTCAGTCTAGCCTATAACTTCTACATAGATAATATGTATAAGTTGACAGGATGGACTACCTCTATGAGCAAGAACAAGGCACGAACGAAAGAGCAAGGGGGAAGGACGAGCAGAAACAAGAAGCACCAACACACCCTAGCAGGGGTGTATTCACTCTGCCCCAGAAAGCTAACCGAGTACAGGTCAGCACAGTTACTCGCTGTGCCATTCTCCCCTTTTAAACATGTCAGCACAGTTACTACTCCAATACAGCAATACAGAACTTATTTTATATATAACTATATTATTGCTATAGTTTGTACTATTACACGTTTAAAATATATTCACTTACAGAATCACTTTTCTAGTGTTGACTCACAAACTTTCTAGTGCACAGTCCCAGTGAAATTAAAACAAAAAAAGGGAGGGGGGGGGGGGGGGGGGGGGGGATGCGAATTTAAATTGTGAGAGAAGAAATATGGACGTACGCAACCCATCCGACGATTTACGTCGAGCCTTGTTATACATTTTATCACATTGCTGCTTTCGTGGGATTATTGCCACGTTCCTGAACAATGGCGGTTATCGGTGTGCTTGCATCTGACTGGCCGCCTTCAACAGAGAAATCCTCACATAAGCGTCAGGTGGTGCGTCATTGGTCCAAGGTCCGACACGGATTTGGTTTGGCCCCTGGGGTTTTTGTGGACTGAGTTTTGATTTGTGGATAGCGGCCTTCGCGATTCGTGTTCCAAACGAGCCTCCGTCAGTTTTGAGCCTGACGTCATCACATGCTGTACGGCACTCCACCAGACCTACGTCCTAGCCTAGGAAGTAGAAGGTTGATGACGACAGCTTCGGCTCTTTGGCTGGCTTCTTGACACGGGCAGAATTAATTTACAGAGCCGATTGCCCGGAGCAACTAGCGCTTCCTACATTTCAGAAATTCCCAAGCTCCACACACTGGCGGCATGACTTTGCTGCGGGGGCAGGAGGCAACCGTGGAATTCCGCTGCTGGGTTCCAATTCAGCAGGCGGAACCTAGGCAAACTAGATAAAAACAAACATTTGGCTTGGAATGGGGGCAAAACCTTTCTTCACAACTGGCTCTAGGTTAGGAACATATGAGCAACAACAGCGTTATCCATAAGGGATTAGCTTGTATTTCTTGCGAAGGGCACACCACAGGCACCTCCATCCATCCTCCTCACCTAGGAGTTGTCCTTCGAGCTCGTCTCTTGAGGTCGTACAGCGCTTCGGCGATCCATGAACTTCACTGTGCCAGATCAATTCCCCGAGAACGGTACAAAACGTGCTATGCGGTTGTTGGTAATGCACCTGTCTCTGATGAAGTTCGCGTAGTGAAGACCTTGCCTGGTATTGAGAATGCCGTAAGCGGACGAGTGGTACTTATTTCATAGCATAAGCGGGCCAGCCCGACCGAAGAATGTGATAAGTTATGCATGGAGAGCCCTGTCGAGTATCTCTGCTAGAGCGAGCTTCGCAAGGAAAAAAAAACACATTGCCGATTTTCCTGCTCGTCTCGGCACTGAGCGTGCTGACCCTCTTGGGGGAATAAACACTCAAATCGGAGAAGTTTCAAATGGACGAAGTGTGCCAGGTGTACAAAAGACTCGTTAGTTTTAAGGCATCGTCACTCTCTCCCTTAATTCCTGCAAATAGGCCAGGGAGAGCCGTACGGTTCGCGTCTGAGTAAACTCAAAAGCAGGTTTCATCTACAAGTACAACTGTACAGCTCCCACCGCCATTCGCGCGCTTCAGATTAACCTCTCCGTTTCAGACGCATAGCTTAGCCCCTTAGTAGGTATCCTGATGGAGACGCAAGAGCGGTCAGGCTCTGGCCAGGAGAAGGGCAAGAGCGGAAAGCCCAAGGCAGCGGCAGCAGGAGCAGCCATGGAGGAGGTGGATCGCGACGTGAGCAGCTTCTTGGTGAAGATGGAGCGCGGCGGGATGATTCAGTCGTTCGGATGTGTCTTGCTCGTGGAGGAGGGCACGTTTCGCCTCCTGGCGTACAGCGAAAATGTACCGGACGTGCTGTGCCTTCCTCAGAAGTCCTCCGGCGGTACGTACGTACGAACGCACGCACGCACGCACGCACCCACGTACGCACGTACGTACGGAAGGATAAAGGTCACATGGTATCTGTCTCGCAGTACCTCCGGGCGACCGCGTATACATGGCTTTCCGAAGCTCAAAAGACACCCTGCTTCCCACAGTGTCCCATCGTTCCCCATCCAGCCCCCTTTACTACACCCTACTTTTACATCGTGTCGAAGTTCTCACTTTTTTACTTTCAGGCCTTGCCCAACTCGCCGATTTGCTCATCATGAACGCGCCAATGCGCGCCGTTGTCATTCCCACACGTGTCCTCCCTCTGATCATATTCCCCTCCCATTCCCCACCAGCCACCTCCCGCTTTTCTCTCCCCTTCCCCCTTCACACCCACCACCTCCACCCGCTCTTCCCCCTCCCCATTCCCCAGGCCCACTCGGCTTCCTCATGGGCCGGGTAATGCGCGCCAGCAACCGCTCCAGCCGCGCGATCCTGCGCTCCTATCTGCCCCTACGCTTACGCCCCCCCCCCCCCCACTCCTCCCCTCCCCTCCCCCCCCCCTTCCTCCTCCCCCCTCCCTCCACTCCTCCTCCCCCCCTCCCCCCACCGTTCCAAGCCCCCTCGGCTTCCTCATGGACAGGGTAATGTGCTCCATCGACCGCTCCAAGTCCCTGTGCCCCTCCCCCACCCATCAACTCCCCCAATCCCCCTTCCCGCACCCCCCTCCCCTCCTCCCATCTCCCAGGCCCCCTCGGGTTCCTCGTGGACCGGGTAATGCGCGCCATCAACCGCTCCAACCGCGCCCTCGTGCGCTCCACCTCCCGCTCCGCCAGAACCCCCTCCGCCTCCCTCCCCCCTGGGGCCAGCAACAGCAGCGCTGACAGCGGGGGAGGGGGTGGTAGCACCGGTGGTGGGGGCGGGGGAGGGGTGGGGTTGGGAGTGGGGTGCATGTCGCTAGACGACAAGGAGGTACGCGATGGCGAAGCTTCCTCCGCATCCCCACGCCCGTCGCGTCCCGGGGAGGTTGACATTTCGAGCTCCGTGCCCCGGCCGCCCTCCACCTCCCGCTCCTTCTCCATCCGCCGCCTGCTGTCCCGCTCGTCCGCGGGGGCGAGCGCCGATGCCGCGGATGGCACCGGAATCGGCAGTCCGAATGCGGGCATCAAGGGGAACGTTGGGGGGAAGTCGCCGCGGACTTCTGCTGATGTGGCTGCTCTGGAGGCGCTAGGTAGGTGGAAAGAGAATAGGTGGAAGGAGAATAGGTGGAACAAGAAAGCACACCGGCAGTCCCTAGGCGGGCATGAAGGGAAGGTAGGGGGGAAGTCGCCGCGGACGTCTGCTGATATGGCTGTTCTGGAGGCGCTAGGTAGGTGGAAAGAGAAACGGCGAAAGGCACGGGAACCGGCAATCCCAGGGCGGGCATGAAGGGAAAGGTAAGGTAGGGGGGAAGTCGCCGCGGACGCGTGCTGATTTGGCTGCTCTGGAGGCGCTAGGTAGGTGGAACAAGAATAGGTGGAACGGGAATAGGTGGAACGAGAATAGGTGAAAAAGTCATGGCAGCCAGGGACATCTCTTCCTGTCTGCCCCTCCCCCTCTCCGCCTCTCCCCCTCTCCCCCTCTCCCATCCAGGACTCGGCTCGGACGCGCGCATTCTCTTCACCCCGGAGAGCGTCATGGCACTGGAAAAGGCCGTGGCAGCGCGAGACATGGCTCTTATGAACCCCGTCCTGGTCCAGTCGTCCCTCACCTGCCGCCCCTTCTACGCCATCCTGCACCGCCAATCCTCCTCCTCCTCCTCCTCCTCCACCAACCCCAGCACCACCACCGCCGATGCTGCCACTTCCAATGGTACCAGCAGCAGCAGCAGCAGCAGCAGCAAGAGCAAGAAAGGCACCATTCTGATCGACCTGGAACCCATCTTGCCGACAGACCCCGCTGTGAACGGAGCTGGCGCCCTCCACTCCCACAAGCTCGCCACCCACGCAGTCGCCCGGCTCCAGGCCATCCCCTCTGCAAGCAGCCTCGATTTGCTCTTCCAGGCGCTGGTAGAAGAAATCCGGCAGCTAACGGGGTACGATCGAGTCATGGCGTATAAATTCCACGAGGACGAGCATGGGGAGGTGATAGCTGAGGACCGGAAACGCCCTTTGGAGTCATACCTAGGCCTGCATTACCCATCCACGGATATTCCTAAGGCGTCCCGGATCCTCTTCTTAAAGAACCGTATTCGCATGATCTGCGACGCCAAGTCCAAGCCGGCGAAGGTGGTCCAGGAGCGGGGGTTTTTGAAGCAGCCAGTGAGCCTGTCGACGTCGACGCTGAGGGCTGTGCACGCGTGCCACGCGCAGTACATGCAGAATATGGGCATCTCTGCGTCGCTCTGCCTGTCCATTGTCTTCAGGGACCAGGAGGCGCTGCCGGCTGCGATTGGGGGGAAAGGGGGTGGGGGAGGGGCGGAGGGAGAGGGCGGGGGAGGAGGGGGAGGGGGAGGGGGAGGGGGAGCGGGTGGGGGGGTGTTGGCGACGCTGGAGGAGGTGAAGGGGCGGCGGCTGTGGGGAATGATCGTGTGCCACCACACGGCGCCGCGCTACGTGCCCTTCCCCGTGCGCTCGGCATGCGACTTCCTCATGCAGGTAAGGAGGGGGAGGGGGAGGGGGGGGGGGTGTGATTATGTGTCGACTCAATAGAGGAGGTGAAGGGGCGGCGGCTGTGGGGGATGATCGTGTGCCACCACACGGCACCGCGCTACGTGCCCTTCCCTGTGCGCTCGGCATGCGACTTCCTCATGCAGGTGGGTGGAGAGAGAGGAGAGCCTGTTTTGCCTGAGCTTGCTTTCTCCCTGCTGTCAGGGGGACACTTGCTGTAAGGAGTGCATAGCCGCGCTACGTGCCCTTGCCTGTGCGCTCTGCATGCCAGTTCCTCATGCAGGTGGGTAGGGAGGGGGTTGTGATGCTGGTAGGTGGGAACGGAACTTGGAGACACTCACATGCATGCGTGGCTCGCCCTTTCACGCCATCTTTCACCCGTTCACGCCCGCGACTCACCCTTTCACGCCTTCTTTCACCCTTTGACGCCGTCTTCCACCCGTTCACGCCGTCTTCCACCCGTTCACGTCGTCTTCCGCCCTTTCGCGCCCTCTTTCACCCTTTCACGCCCCCTTTCGCCCTCTTTCACCCTTTCACGCCCCCTTTCGCCCTCTTTCACCCTTTCACGCCCCCTTTCGCCCTCTTTCACCCTTTCACGCCCCCTTTCGCCCTCTTTCACCCTTTCACGCCCCCTTTCGCCCTCTTTCACCCTTTCACGCCCCCTTTCGCCCTCTTTCACCCTTTCACGCCCCCTTTCGCCCTCTTTCACCCTTTCACGCCCCCTTTCGCCCTCTTTCACCCTTTCACGCCCCCTTTCGCCCTCTTTCACCCTTTCACGCCCCCTTTCGCCCTCTTTCACCCTTTCACGCCCCCTTTCGCCCTCTTTCACCCTTTCACGCCCCCTTTCGCCCTCTTTCACCCTTTCACGCCCCCTTTCGCCCTCTTTCACCCTTTCACGCCCCCTTTCGCCCTCTTTCACCCTTTCACGCCCCCTTTCGCCCTCTTTCACCCTTTCACGCCCCCTTTCGCCCTCTTTCACCCTTTCACGCCCCCTTTCGCCCTCTTTAACCCTTTCACGCCCCCTTTCGCCCTCTTTAACCCCCTTTTCATGACCTTTCTTCCTTGGTCCCTTTCAACGCGTCAGGTGTTCAAATTGTAGCTACCCAAGTAGCTGCAGGCTGCTGCTACAAGCACAGCAGCAGGTCTAGCAGGTGGAGCAGCAGATCCTGCAGCTGCAGACACCGCAAAAGTGGCAGATGATGCAATGAAGCAGACAGACCCTTAGACGCCCTTCCACGCCCTCATATCTCTCCTTTGTCTCCCTCGCTTGCTCTCACTACCCCTCGACTCCCCTCCCCACCACCCCCCCCCTCCCCCCCCCCTCTTCCCCCACCACCATCTGTCAGGTGTTCACGCTACAGCTAGCCAAGGAGCTGCAGCAACAGGCGCAGCAGAGGGAGCAGCAGATCCTGCAGCTGCAGACGCCCCATTCCACGAACCCATGTCCCGCCTTGTCCTCCCTTGCTTTCGCTCCTTGTTTCCTCCCCCTTCCTCACTTCCTTTAACAGGTGTTCACCCTTCAGCTCGCCAAGGAGCTGCAGCAGCAGGCGCAGCAGCACGAGCAGCAGATCCTGCAGCTGCAGACGCAGCTGTGCCAGATGATGCTCCGAAACGCGCCCTTCCACGCGCTCATGTCTCCCAACGCCCGCCCCTCTGTGCGCGACCTCGTGGTGTGCGACGGCGCTGCCCTGCTGGTGGATGGGGAGTTCCACTCCAGTGGGACTGCGCCCACCAAGGAACAGGTGAGGAAAGGGGGATCGGAGTAAAGCCTTGCTAGGGGATGTGGAGTGGAGCCCAGCTGTACTCCGCCCGTCTGTGCGTCACCATGGTGGCGTGCGTGCGGCGGCGCTGCCCTGCTGGTGGTCGATGGGGAGTTCCACTCCAATGGGACTGCAGGAGAAATGAATCTCGCCCTTCTCGGCTTGACATAAGCCCACCCTCAATCTCGATTCCCAACCCACCCTTCTCTCCACCCCACCCACCCCTTGACCCCTTTCCCTGCACTCAAGCGGACCTCGATAATCGAGTGGATCCACGACGCCCACCCCAACACCACTGGGCTCACCATCGACAGCCTCCTCGCTGCAGGCTACCCCCCACGCGGCCTCTACCCTACCTGAAGTTATGCATCATCACGCCCCACCCCTCATCCCCACTCCCCCCCCCCCCCTCCCTCTTCAGGTGACCTCGATAATTGAGTGGATCCAAGCCGCCCACCCGAACACCACTGGGCTCTCTACCGTCGACAGCCTCCGACCGACCGAGCCTTATGCTTTGTAACACCACCTTATCGGCTCTGCCCCGCAACCCCCCTCCTTCCCCCCTCTCCAGGTGACCTCGATAATCGAGTGGATCCAAGCCGCCCACCCCAACACCACCGGGCTCACCATCGACAGCCTCGTGGCAGCAGGCTACCCCCAAGCAGCCTCGCTGGGCGACGCCGTGTGCGGCGTGGCAATGGCCCAGATTGGAGACTCTGACTTCATCCTGTGGCTGAGATCGCACGTGGAGAAGCAGATCCACTGGAGCGGCGCGAAGCAGAAGGCGGGGAAGCGGGGGAAAGCGCCTAAGGACGAGCTCAAGGGGATGAGCCCCCGGCAGTCGTTTGAGGCGTTTCTGGAGGTGGTGAAGCACCGGTCGGCGCCGTGGCAGGACCTGGAGGTGGACGCCATCCACTCGGTGCAGATCATTCTGCGGGACGCCATCCACCGAATGAAGCACGGCGTGCCCGTCGGGGGAGGAGGGGGCGCCACGGCGCAGATGGGGCTCTCTCCCGAGGTGAGTCCGTCTGGCCCCTCGTCTCCCCCTCCTCCCCGTTCTCTCTCCGTTTTGAGATCCCAAGGCACGGCATGCCCGTCGGGGGAGGAGGGGGCGCCGCAGCGCAGATGGGGCTTTCTCCCGAGGTGAGTCCGGCCGGCCTTCGAGTCACCTCGAAAGTCACCTCGTTGCAATGTCACACAACACCTTTTGAGTCGAATCAATAGTCACCTTGAGGCATGGCGCGTCCGTCGGGGGAGGAGGGGGCCTGCAGCGCAGATGGGGCTGTCTCCTGAGGTGAGTCCGTCTGGCCACTTTTCTCCTGCCTGTAGCACCTGAGTAAGCGGTGTCATGTCAAGGGGGTGAGTCTGCTCCGCGAGGAGTCTATTTTTGAGGCGCCTCAAAAATAGACTCCTCACGTCTGGCCACATTTCTCCTGCCTGTAGCACCTGAGTAAGCGGTGTCAAGAGGGTGAGTCCGCGGCAGTCGTTTGAGGCGTTTCTAGGAGTGGTGAAGCACCGGTCGGCGCCGTGGCAGGACCTGGAGTCTTTTCGACCAGCTCGTGTCATGCACTTCATTCCAACCAGCTCCTGAATCTCCTCTCCCTCCTCCATCCCCCTCCCCCGTTCCCCCCTGTCCCCCGCCCCCCATCTCCCATCCCCCCCCTCCGTATTACCGCAACACCAGGAGCTGGACAAGCTGTACGCTGCAACCTTTGATCAGCTCGTGCACTTCATCGAGACGGCCTCTGCGCCGATCCTGGCCGTTGATCGCGAGGGGTGCATCACAGGGTGGAACAACAAGGTGGCGACCCTCACAGGGCTGCCCTTCTCCGCTGCCATCGGCAAGTCCCTCGTAGACGATCTCGCAGACGTGCAGTCTAAGACGCAGCTGCACGCCGCACTCGACCTGGCCTTCCAAGGTGAGTCACGCTCAAGGTGCCTTCCGGGGCGGGTGGGTGGAACAACAAGGGGGCAACCCTCGCTCACAGGGCTGCCCTTCTCCGCTGCCATCGGGAAATCCCTCGTGGATGATCTGGCGGACGTGCAGTCTAAGACTCAGCTGCACGCCGCACTCGACCTCGCCTTCCAAGGTGAGTCACCTCACCTGCCAAGGTCAGTTGTCTAAGCAGTTACGCCACACACATGGCCTCACAGGGCTGCCCCTTCTGCGCTGCATGCTGCATTTGAGGCGGCTAAGACTGGAAAGGGAGGGTGTATCACAGGGCGGGTGGAACAACGAGAGGGCCACCCTCCCTCGCGGGGCTGCCCTTCTCCGCTGCCCTTCTCACGGGAAGTCCCTCGTGGACGATCTGGTGCAGGCGTGCCTTTTATTGCCACCACAACATGAGTCCTTTTCTCCTGTTGCACACCAACACCTCTCTCCCGTGCAGGCCGAGTGGCACCCAAGGTCCAGTTACGGGACACTCTTTGGGAGCAGAGCGGAGCCTTTCAGGGCAAGCGCCTCGATAGGAAAAATCCTCTTATCCCCTTCCCCTCCCACCTTACCCTCTCAGGCCGATGGGTGCACAACATCCAGCTTAGGCTGCACTACTGGGGAGTAGAGCGTAGCCTCTCCGGACCATCAGCACGCAGAGGGACCAAGACCGTGCTTCTCTTTCCCCTGCTGCTTCGTCCTCTCCCTCCGCTCGCCCTCCCCTCTCTCTCCCCTCTCCCTCCCGTGCAGGTCGAGAGGCGCACAACATCCAGCTGAGGCTGCACTCCTGGGGAGCAGAGCGCAGCCTCTCCGGCCCGTCAACACGCAGCACCAGCACCGGCAGCACAGCTGCTGCTGCTGCTGCTGGCGGTACAGCAGCAGCAGCTGGTGGTGCGGGTGGGGCAGCAGCAGACAACCTAGGGATTGACGTGGGGTCGAGTGTGATTCTGCTGGCCAACACGTTTGTGAGCCGCGACGCGCAGCAGCAGGTGCAGGGCGTGTGCTTTGTGGGGCAGGATGTGACGGTGGAGCGCGTGGTCAACGACCAGTTCCGCAAAGTGAAGGGCGATTACGAGGCGATTGTGCACGCGCACAGCTCGCTCATTCCGCCCATCTTTGCCTGTGACGGTGAGTGTGGGATGCGCTGCTGGTGAGCCGGTTGTATTTTGAGTCGACTCAAAATACAACGCGTCTGTGACGGTGAGTGTGGGATGCGCTGCTGGTGAGCCGGTTGTATTTTGAGTCGACTCAAAATACAACGCGTCTGTGACGGTGAGTGTGGGATGCGCTGCTGGTGAGCCGCGTCTGTGACTGGGCGTGTGCTTCGCGTGGCACGATGTGACAGTGGAGCTCGGCTCATCCCGCCGCCGATCTTCCGCTGTGATAGTTTTGAGTCGGACTCGAAAGCAATTACAAGGCGGTTGTGCACGCAAGCGCACACGCACGTGCACAGCCCGGGCATCCCACCGTCGATCTTCGGCTGCGAGGGTGATCTTGGGAACTCTGAAGCTCACTCCATAGGCAATTCTCACTCAATCGACCGATGCTCAGCAGTGCAGGCTGCGATTTTATCCCAAGTTCCCAACAAGGCTCTCCTCCTCCTTTCCAGGGAGGGTGTGTGACTGCGTGAAAGCCCTGGCCCCCTGGGTTTCATCCATGGGAGGGAAGTGCACAAAACAATCAGCACACGTTGACTTTTGAGTCGACTCAAAAGTCAGGTCGCGAATTTATCCCAAGAAGGCTCTCCTCCTCCTTCCCAGGGAGAGTGTGAGCATCCCAGTGCATGCAAGCTCTGGCCCCCTGGCGTTCACCCATGGAAGTGCACGTAACAATCAGCACGTAACAATCAGCACGTAACAATCAGCACGTAACAATCAGCACGTAACAATCAGCACGTAACAATCAGCACGTAACAATCAGCACGTAACAATCAGCACGTAACAATCAGCACGTAACAATCAGCACGTAACAATCAGCACGTAACACTCAGCACGTAACACTCAGCACGTAACAATCAGCACGTAACAATCAGCACGTAACAATCAGCACACAACAATCAGCACACGGATTTTTTTCCAAGACGCCTGAGAGGAGTTCGGGCTGTGCACGGAGTGGAATGCGGCGATGCTGACGTCTTCGGCAGCACCCTTGACCCTTCTCTCTCTCTAAAAAACCCTCTCAAACCCCACACCCCCCCCTCCCCCACTCCCTACCCCAGAGCTCGGGCTGTGCACGGAGTGGAATGCGCCAATGGAGAGAGTTGCTGGATCCAAGCACTAACACCCCCCCCCCCCTCCCCCTCCCCTCCCCCCCCCCCCCCCAGAGTTTGGGCTGTGCACGGAGTGGAACGCGGCGATGGATGGAGAAGGTGACGGGGTTCACGTCTCTCTACATAATTCTGCCATCATTCGTCTTCATTCACCCCCCTCCTCCTGTCTTTCTCCCCGTTTCTCCCCATGCACGGAGTGGAACGCGGCAATGGAGAAGGTGACCGATTTGAGGTGTGGGAGCGCATGCTCATAGGCGACGTCTTCGGGACCCTTGACCCTTCTTTCTCTGTCCATTCTCCTCTCAAACCCCACAACTCCCCCCCCCCTTCCCTCTCCCTCCCCCTCCCCCTCCCCCAGAGTTTGGGCTGTGCACGGAGTGGAACGCGGCAATGGAGAAGGTGACTGGATTTACTCGATTTGAGGTGTGGGAGCGCATGCTCATAGGCGACGTCTTCGGCAACCAGTGCCGCATGGAGAGCGGCGACGCCATGACAAAGCTCATGATCGTCATCAGCAAGGCCATGGCGGGGCACGAGGCGGTCAAGGTCCCCTTCTCCTTCCTGAACCGCCAGGTGAGGTGCAACTGGTTAAGGTTCTGAGTTCTGGAGGGGATACGGTGGCATAGCACCATGGAGAGCGGCGGCGACGCTGTGACAAAGCTCGTGATCGTCGTCAGCAAGGCCATGGCTGGGCACGAGGCTGTCAAGGTCTTCTTCTCCTTCCTCAACAGACAGGTGAGGCTCAGATGTCAGGGTTTACGGCTCAAGGTTTAGGCAGTGACGACGCTGCCATGACGAAGCTCATGATTGTGATCAGCAAGGCCATAGCGGGGCACGAGGCCGTGTGAAGGTCCCCTTCTCCTTCCTAAATCGCCAGGTGAGGCTTGGGGCCCAGGTTCTAGGGGCTTAGGGTAGAGAGTCTTGGGTCCCGATTGCAAGGGAGATAGAAGCATGGAGAGCGGGACTTGATTGCGATCAGCAAGGCAATGGCTGGGCACGAGGCTGCGGCAGTCCATCGACCGACAAGCAGAAGAGCACGGAGATGCCCCCATGCCTTGATGCATCCTTCTCCCTCTTCCACCGCCCATTTTCCCCCCCGCTCCCCCAAAAGTCACCTTCCTCTCCACCCCCCATTTTTGAGTCGACTCAAAAGTCACCTTCCTCTCCACCCCCCATTTTCCCCCCCGCTCCCCCACCTTCCTCTCCCCACCCCCTTTCTCCCGGGATGCAGAGAATCCTGGTGGAGCTGCTCCTTTCAGCACCCAAGGTATTCAGCTGACGGCAACAGCATGGTGGGCGCCTTCTTCTTCCTGCACATGGCGTTCCTGGAGCTCATAACCCCTGTATCGATGCATCCCTCCACTTCTCCTCCCTGGCTGCAGAGAACCCTAGTGGTGCTGCTCCTATCCGTCCACCCAAGGGACTCAGCCGACGGCAACAGCGTGGTGGGCGCCTTCTGCTTCCTGCACTCGGCCTCCCTGGAGCTCATAACCCCTATCGATACACCACTCCCCTTCTCCCCCAGAGAACCCTAGTGGAGCTGCTCCTGTCGGTCCATCCAAGGCACTCGGCCGATGGGAACAGTGCAGTCGGGGCGTTCTGCTTCCTGCACACGGCGTCCCTGGAGCTGCGGCAGGCCATCGACCTGCAGAAGACCGCCGAGAAGCTGGCATCAGACAAGGCGCGGCAGGTGGCGTACATGAGGGAGATGAGCCGCGGGCCGCTGGAGGAGCCCCTCTCTTTCTGACCTCCCCATTCCCTCCCCCCCGTCCTCTCATCCCCATCCCCCTCCCCCATCCTGCTTCCCTCCCCGCAGCGAACCCTAGTGGAGCTTCTACTGTCAGTGCATCCCCGCCACTCAGCGGACGGCAACTCAGTGGTGGGTGCGTTCTGCTTCCTGCACACGGCGTCCCTGGAGCTGCGCCAAGCCATCGACCGGCAGAAAACCGCCGAGAAGCTGGCCTCAGACAAGGCGCGGCAGGTGGCGTACGTGAGGGAGATGAGCCGCGGGCCGCTGGACGGGCTGGCGTACTCATTTGCAAGGATGGAGCAGATGGGCGGGTTCTCGGGCAAGCAGGTGCCGTGGGTGCGCACGGGCGTGGCGCTGGAGACCCAGCTGAGGAAGATTGTGAATGACACCGACATGCTGGCCATCGAACAGGGGTGAGTGAGGGGGGGAGTGAGTGAGTGAGGGAGTGAGTGAGGGAGTGGGTGAGGGAGTGGGTGAGAGCTGGAGACCCTGCTGAGGAAGATTGTGAATGACACTGACATGCTGGCGATTGAACAGGGGTGAGTTATGAGGCGCTTTCAAGCACAGTGAGAAAGGGCGAGTGAGACGGGGCCGGGGGGGATGAGTCACGATGGATTGAGTGGGTGAGATTTGAGGCGCTTTCAAGCACAGTGAGAAAGGGCGAGTGAGACGGGAGGTGGGCTCACCCAAGCAGCACCTGAAGACGGGGGGGGTGTGGTGTGAGGGAGACTGTGAATGTCACCGACATGCTGGCCGTCGAACAGGGGTGAGTAAGCCCTCCTGACTTTTGAGGCGCCTCAAAAGCCTTTTTTTTAGTCGACTTAAAAGCGGGTGAGTGAGCCCTCCTGGCCATCGAGGAACAGCCAGGCCACGCTGCACGCTCTTAGTGTTCATTCACAACTCCCGCTTTACCCTCCCCTCCCTGGCCCCCACAGGCAAGCGCCCCTTGCCATGCTGCCTTTCACCCTCGAGTCGGTGTGTGGGGCCGTGATCAGCCAGGCAACTCTGCTGGCTACCCGCAAGGGCGTCAAGCTGACGCTGGAGCTGGGGAGTGACGTGAAGACGCTACCCCTGTGTGGAGACGCACCGAGACTGCAGCAGGTGAGACCGTGGTAGGATAGGGCAGGTGGGAGAATAAGGCAACCACACACAAGGGCGCCAAGCTGACGCTGGAGCTGGGGAGTGACGTGAAGACGCTGCCCCTGTGTGGCGATGCACCCAGGCTACAGCAGGTGAGGCTAAGAAATGGTGGGTGGAAGGTTAAGCTGAGGGATAAGTCATCAGCCAGGCAACTGCTGGCCACCCGCAAGGGCGCCAAGCTGACTTTGGAGCTGGGGAGTGACGTGAAGACGCTGCCCCTGTGTGGCGATGCTCCTAGGCTGCAGCAGGTAAGACGATGGTATGGGGCTGATGGCATGTTGGTATGGGGCTGGTGTCATGTTGGTATGGGGCTGGTGGCGGGTTGGTATGGGGCTGGTGGCGGGTTGGTATGGGGCTGGTGGCGGGTTGGTATGGGGCTGGTGGCGTGTTGGTATGGGGCTGGTGGCGTGTTGGTATGGGGCTGGTGGCGTGTTGGTATGGGGCTGGTGGCGTGTTGGTATGGGGCTGGTGGCGTGTTGGCATGGGGCTGGTGGCGTGTTGGCATGGGGCTGGTGGCGTGTTGGCATGGGGCTGGTGGCGTGTTGGCATGGGGCTGGTGGCGTGTTGGCATCTATCATTCCCTTACCCCGCCCCTCCAACTTCCCTCACCCCCCTCACTCCCTCAGATCCTGGGCGGGCTGCTGTGTGCAGCTGTGGGCTGGGCCACACCCAGGCCACAGGGCTGGTGAAACTGGGAGCGATTCAAGAACCAGTTCCCTCATTCCATCTCCACACCCTTTTGTATCCCCCTCCACTCCCTCCTACCCCTCCCTCAGATCCTGGGCGGGCTGCTGTGTGCAGCTGTGGGCCACACGCAGGCCACAGGGCTGGTGAAGCTGGAAGTGACTCAAAAGGGGTCCCGGCTCTTTCGAGGGACGACTACCATGGCAGAACTCGATATAAAGTATGTGCTGGTTTTGATGTAAGGTGCATGATGATCCGATATCGTGATGACTTGCTACATGGTGCCTTGATATAGTGTAAGTACATGAGTACTACTCACTGGGGACTGGGCTAAACACCATGGCTTGGTGTGGTGTGGATGGTGTGTCAATAGAAGGTGCAGAGGCACCTGGTTCCGTTCTGTCCTGCTCTTCTGTCTATCAGAAGCTGCTGCTTCTGAAACTGCTGCAGCCACTGCTGCTGCGGGCTGGAGTTTTGGATTTATACCTACTCTCTCTCCCCCCCTCCTCCCTTCCTTCCTCTCCCACTGTGTTTTCTCTCCACTCCCAGAAACTCCCACACGGGCAGGGGCCTGCCAGAGGACGTCATCCAGCACATGTTTGACTCAAACGCTGCAATCTCTGCCTTTGATGCTCGCACTGCCTCTCCCCACTCCGCTCCTTTTCACTGCTCGTCTCCCTCACCCTCTCCCCCTCTCCCCCTCTCCCCCCTCCAGAATCTCCCACACGGGCAGGGGCCTACCTGAAGAAATCATCCAGCACATGTTTGACTCGCACGCCGCCACCACCTCCACGTCCAACTCTACCATCACCAGCTGCGCCACCACCCCCACCGCTGCTGCTGCTGCTGCCGCTGATAGAAGCTTTGGGCGGGCAAGCAGCGACGGCGGAGGGGGGAGCGTGGGCGGCACGAGCAGCGGGAGCGGAGCGCTGCGGAGCAGCGCGGAGGGCGCGTCGCTGAGCCTTATAAGGAGGATGCTGAAGAGCATGAAGGGCGAGGTGGTGTATTCCAGGGAAGCCGGTCGGTGCTTCTTCTGGGTGCATGTGGATTTCCCTCTGTCCTCTGCGCTGAGATGGGGTGGTGCTGCTGGTGGCGCCACTGCTACTGCTGCTGGTGGTGCTGTTGGTAGCATATGAGTCCGTTTGAGTCAACTGAGAAGTCCCTCTAGCCGGGCGGTGCTTCTTCAGGGTGCGTGTGGATTTTCCCTTGTCCTTGGCTTTAAGGCTATAGGTGCTTTCTTCTCTCAGAAATAACAGGTATCTACCTGTCTTGGTCTTTCCTAGTGGAGAGGGGTGCAGCCACTGCTGCTGCTGCTGCTACTGCTGCTACCGCCGCCACTGCCGCCGCCGCTGCTGTTATCTCTTCTGCTGGTGGTGGTGCCTCGCGACTGACCACGGGATATACCAGAAGTGCTTGAGGTTACCGTCTTACCTGTTGAAGCTTGCTGGAATGCTAAGGCCGAATGGGGATTGCTTTGTGAAGGCTAAGAAATATTTTTGAGTCGTCTCAAAAGTCAACTTGTTACCGGTACTGAGACTAGAAATGTCTCACACAGTAGTGTGCATCGGCATCGTTCCGGATACGAGTGCAAATGATGGAGTGTGCAGGGCAGGAAGATAATTTTTTAGAGCAGATTTTGATGCCTGTTTGTACGGTGTTGAGTCTGGAGTGATTTGTAGGGATCGGGGAACAGCAAATGGTGTGTCGTAACGCGTTGGTAGGTTTGAACAAGCGACGCACGGACGTGTCAAATGTAACTTATGTAGTTACTGTAGACCATACTGGATTGTGCCTTAGAGGGTACAACCCCTAGTCTACATACCCCTGTATCCTTCTATTCTACTCAACTATTACTCATTATGATATGGTATCATAGTAGGTTCGCCCCCCCCCTAGCCCGCCCACGCTTCCGCCCTAGGCCCTAGCCGCCGTCACGCCCGCCCCTAGCCGTCGCGCCCGTCCCTAGCTGCCGTCTCGCCCGTTCCCAGCCGCCGTCGCGGCCGTTCCTAGACGCTGTCGCGACCGTTCCTAGCCGTCGCGGCTGTCCCTAGTCGTCTCGCGGCCGTCCCTAGTAGCCGTCGCCGCCGTCCCTAGCCGCCGTCTCGCGGCCGTTCCTAGCCGTCGCAAACGTTCCTAGCCGCTGCGTGGTCGTTCCTAACCGTCGCAACTGTTCCTAGCCGCCGTCGCGGCCGTTCCTAGCCGCCGGCACGGCCGTTCCTAGCCGCTGTCGAGGTCGTTCCTAGCCGCCGTCGCGGTCTTTCCTAGCCAACGCGAACGCTCCTAGCCGCCGTCGCGGTCGTTCCTAGCCGTTCTCGCGGCCATTCCTAGCCGTCGCGGTCGCCCTTAGCCGTCGTCACGGCTGTTCCTAGTCGTCGCGGCCGTTCCTAGCAGCCGTCGCGATCGTCCTACCCGGCCCCCTGCGCCGTTGAGTACGTCCCTAGCCGGCCCCGTGTGCCGTCGCGCCCGTCCTAGACGGCCCTGTTCGCCGTCGCGCCTGCCCCTAGCCTGCCCCTTCTTGCCGCCGCGCCCGTCCTGGCCGTTCCTCCCCTGAGCCATCGCGCCCTCTCCTAGCCGGCTCCTCGTGCCGCCGTGCCCGCTCCTAGCCGGTCCCCCCTTCGTGCCAGCTCCTTACCGGCTCCTCGTTCCCGCCCCTTGCCGGCCCCTCACGTCCGCCGTCCGCCGGCCGGCCCCTAGCGTTCGCCGTTGTCGCCAGCCCCTTGCGTCCGCTGTCCACCGGCCGGCCCCTAGCGTCCGCTGTCGTCGCCGGCCCCTCGCGTCCGCCGTCCGCCGGCCGGCCCCTAGCGTCCGCCGTCGTCGCCGGCCCCGCATTCGCTTCGCTGCCGGCCCGCCGCCGACCTCCGCCGCCACCTCACTGGTCAGCAGCAGGATGGCCACTCGCTTTCTGTCCATCTTGACGGTACGCTCCCCTGCCCTGACCCCCCTGCTGCGCTGCCCGCTGATCCCTCGTCTGCTGAGCGTGAGTCCGTTGCGGCCGCTGCCTTTGCTCGCTCCGTCTGGCTGTCGCATGATGCTGTCGCACAGCTTGCTATCAGCCATGCCCTCCCCCTGTCTGAGCGCCCTCGCTTTAGGTCTGTGACCACTGCCCAGGCTTTCCTAGATGCTGTTGTCCAGCGCTATTCCACCCCGCCTGCTGCCTCGGTAGGTCGCCTGATCCTCCCCATGCTCTTCCCTGACCTTGCGCTATTCCAGCTTGCGTCGTTTCCCACTATCGCTGATCTGGCCGCCCACCTGCGCTCTATAGACGAGACCTGGCGTGCTGCCTTCACTGACACACAGCTTCGCGCTCACCAGCCGCCCCTCTGCTGGCCACCCGCCTCCGACCGCCTTGCCACTGCCCGCGACCGCTTCCTTAGCGTCCACCCCGGAGACCTCACCCTCACTGACTTTGTTGACACCCTGTCCGCCATAGAGGCTCGCCACCGCTCTATCGCCCAGACCAGCAGTACTATGTCGGTCCCTATCTTTCAGGGTTGTGCCCCCACTCAGTGCACCTTCTCCGACGGTTCTGCTACTGTGGCTGAGACAGCCGCTGCAGCACAGGTCCGTTCGGGGAAGGGTCGCCGCCCCAAGGCTGGGCGCGGCGGAGGGGGTGGGGGTTCAGGCGTAGGTGGTGGTGGAGTTGGGTTACCAGGTGGTGGCGCGGACGAGGGGACCCTGATAGGTGCAGCCGAGTAGCCGTCTCAGCAGCCGCAGGTGTTGCAGCTGGACACGCGCCAGTCGCTGCAGTAGTCCTCGCACTAGCCGCAGCCGCCGCAGCAACAGCAACAGCCGCAGCAACCGAGGCGGGCGAGTGGTCTCCCGCCCGGGTGGCCTGGCGCTGGTGGTGGTGCAGGATGTGGTGGTCGTGCGCGTGGTGGGCTGCCGGGTGGTGGTTCGGGTGACGCGCATTGTCAGTACCAGCTCCAGACCGGTCCTCGCCGTGGCTTCGTTTGCAGTAAGATCGGTCATACCTCCGTCCGCTGTTTCCGTCGCCTGGACGACCTGTTTCGTCAGCGCTTCGGCCCGTCGCCCGAGCTCCCAGACTGGCACAGCTTGCTTCGTCGTAGCGTCCCGATCTTTGATATGGACATGGATGAGATTGTTACTTCCTTGCATGTGATGTATGCTGATGACTCTAGTGTGCTTCCCTCTTATTACCCCTTGTTGCCTAGTGAACGTGTCCCTAGCTTAGACTCCCCTGCTGCGTCAGGCATAGGATCCCTTGCTTTGTTTAGCCTTGGTGCTTCCGTCGCTGCTTCGACTCCGGCCGCCATTGCCGCGCTTTCCTTCACCTTGGACTCTAGTGCTTCCCGCTGTTTCTTCCGCGACTCCACCACGCTGACGCCGCTTCCTGTTCCTGCTGCAGTTTCTCTTGCTGACCCCTCTTCTGGCCCTGTAGTTGCCCGCAGTTCCACCACCCTTCCCTGTCCGGCGGTTCCTTCGGGCTCTCTCACAGTTGTGCACATCCCCTCGTTCTCCAGGAACCTAATTGGTGTCGGCTGCCTCCAGGACCTTGGCGTCACCACTACTTTCCCTGGTCACGAGCGGTATGCTGTCTGTACCGAGGCCGCCACTGGTGCCCCCCTGTCCACGTTCCCCCGGGACCCGGTGTCCGGCCTGTTCACCCTGGAGACCCCCCCGGCTGGGGCGCCCCTTCAGGTGGCTGCGTCTACCCAGGTTGCTGCTGCCGGCTCCTGTCGGTCCCTCACTCACCCGACTCTACTTTGGCACCACCGCCTAGGTCACCCTGCACTCCCGCGTCTGCGTCACATGTCCCAGCGCGGTCTTGTCCTTGGTCTCCCTGGTTCTCTCCCCGCTTTTCCCTCCTCCCCCGCCCTACCTTGCACGCCTTGCCTCGAGGGTCGACTTCGCCGTGCCCCTCACTCCTCGTTTCCCCCTACCGCCGCGCCTCTGCAGACCTTGCACATGGACGTTTGGGGACCCGCCCCCGTCCATGGGCCGCGTCGAGAGCGCTACTTCCTCATGCTTGTCGACGACTTCACTCGCTACACCACAGTCTTTCCCCTGGAGCGGAAGGCCGACGTGCCTGACGCTCTCATCCCCTGGCTTGTCTCTGCCCGTGTCCACCGAGGTCTCCCTGTCCTGCGTCTTCACTGCGACCGTGGTGGCGAGTTTGCCTCTGGTGTCCTTGGTCGCTTCTGTCGTGCGGAGGGCATCACCCAGACGTTCACCCTGCCGGACTCCCCACAGCAGAATGGGGTCACTGAGCGACGCATCGGTTTGGTCATGGAGGTGGCTCGCACCTCCATGATCCATGCCGGTGCCCCCCATTTTCAGTGGCCGTTCGCTGTTCGCTACGCCGCTCACCAGCTTAACCTCTGGCCGCACCCCCAGCAGCCGCAGGTTTCGCCGACCCTTCTTTGGTCTGGGTCACCTGGTGACGCGTCTGCGTTTCATGTCTAGGGCTGCCTTGCTTACGTTCATGCCTCTGGCACGAACAAGCTCACTGCCGGCACCCTTCCTTGTGTCTTCCTCGGTTTCCCCCTTGACGCGTCGGACTGGCAGTTCTACCACCCGCCGTCTCACCTTTGACGAGTCCGTCTCCTTCTACCGGCGCTTCCCCCACCGAGGTCCCCCGGTTACCCCCCCCCCTGTTCCTGGTCACCCCTTCCTCGGTAGTCCCTTCCCCTCCCCCTCCCCCCCCCCATCCTGCCCTCTCTGGTGTGTCCCATGTCACCCCCCTTCCGTCGGTTGTCCCGGTTGAGGAGTCTGCTGACTCTGGTGACCCTGCGGCGCAATCCTCCACGCCTGCCCCTCCTCAGGTGTCTCCTCCTCCGCCGCCTCCGCAACCGCCGCCGCCACCGGCCGTCGTCACCGTCGCCGCCGCCGCCGCAGCCACCGTTGCAGCCGCCGCCGCCGCCGCAGCCGCCACTGCAGCCGCCGCCGTCGCCGCAGCCGTCGCCGCAGCAGTTCGTTGCCTCTGGGGGTGCTGGAGTTGGGGTGGGTACTAGTCATGGGACTCCCGTTGTGGCTTGTCCCTGCGGGCCTGGGGGTGGTTCTGGTGCTCGAGAGGTTCTGAGCTCTAGGGGTGTTCCTTCTGGGGGTGCTGGAGTGGAGTGTTCTGAAGGTAGCCGTCCAGCAGCTTGCGGTCCCGGTGTCGGTATCGTACGGCCACAGCAGCAGTCCCCGCCAGTGTCAGCTCTTCGCCTGCTCGGCCTTCCGTCCCCTGACCCCGCGTCTGTTCCTCCTCCTCCTCCTGTCTATGGCCCTGTGTTCCCTTCTCTGGACTCATCTCCGGCTCGTTTCCCCCATCTTTTCCCCCCTCGTTCCCCTCCTGTGTCTCCTCCTCTGTCTCCTGACCCGACGCCTCCATCTCACGTCTTGTCTCGCCGTCCCTCCCGTGCTCGACCTGTCTCCCATGTCTAGCGCTCTCACCCTAAGTTGCTTCGTTCACACGCGTCTCGTCCTCCCCTTCTCCCGTCGCCTCCTCCGTCCTCCCTTGTTGTTGCGCCCCCCCCTCTATCTGACTGCCTGCGTGCCGCTTGTCCACAAATTCCACGGGTCCTTGCCTCTCTCGTTACCGACCCGTTTGTTCCGGTTTCATGTGTTGACGCTCTTGTCGCTGCAGTCGCTGACTTCGCCTCTACTCGCCGCCTTGACTACGCCACTACTCTGTTCTCTGACCCTGCCTGTCCTCTATCCATCGGGGGTGCTCCTTCCCTCGGCAGTGACTTCCTGGAGGACCGTCAATACGAGCTTGCTTTCCTGTCCGAGGCTGCTCCCCATCTCTGTTCCATGCTTCTAGCCCCTGAGGGTGACCTTGACGCTTTCGACATCCCGACCCCTCGCACTTACGCTGAGGCAGTTTCGGGACCCTGGGCCTCTCAGTGGATAGCTGCCATGGAGCAAGAGATGGCATCTTGGAGATCCACCGGCACCTACGTCGACGCAGTTCCCCCATCTGGGGTGAACGTAGTCGATGGCCGCTGGCTCTTCAAGTTGAAACGCCCTCCTGGAGAGCCGCCTGTGTTCAAGGCGCGCTACGTGGCTAGAGGTTTCAGTCAGCGTGAGGGGGTGGACTTCTTCCAGACCTTTGCTCCGACCCCGAAGATGTCTACTCTTCGGGTGCTGCTCCACGTAGAAGCTCAGCGTGACTACGAGCTTCCCTCTCTTGACTTCTCTACTGCGTTTCTTCAGGGCAGTCTACACGAGTAGGTCTACCTGCGCCGCCATCAGGGTTTCAGAAGTACCTTCCCTCTTGGGACCCAGTGGCTCCTGCGGCGCCCCGTCTACGGCCTGCGACAGGCTCCTCGTGAGTGGCACGACACCCTGCGTGCTACCCTAGCTGACATGCAGTTCTTTCCGTCCTGTGCAGACCCCTCGTTCTTTGTTCGTGCTGGCCAGACTCTGTTGTACATCCTTGTTTATGTAGACAACCTGGTCTTCGCCACTGCAGACAGGGACGCACTGGCCTCCGTGAAGGCAGGGCTGCTTAAGAGACACACTTGCATTGACCTTTGAAAAATGCGCCATTACTTTGGCTTGCACTGCAAGACAGAGTAGCGCGCACCTTCACTCTCACTCAGTCACACTTGGTGCGCCAGGTCCTTTAGAGGTTCGGTCTTCAGTTCTCCTCCGCAAAGCCCACCCCTCTGTCTTTAGACCACAGGCTCTCTGCTCCGGTTCCTGAGGAGTTGGTAGAGCCCAGTGGCCTAAACGCCGAACTGGTGAGTTGCCTTATGTACCTGATGACTTGCACTCGCCCAGATCTCGCATACCCTCTCAACATACTGGCTCGCTTTGTGGCCACAGGCAGACACCGACCTCAGCACCGGTCTGCCGCTAAGAGGGTTTTGCGTTATCTTGTAAGTACATCAGGCATGGGGTTAGTGCTTGGAGGGCGTAGGCCAGTGGTCCTTACTGGGCACACAGACGCATCGTAGGCAGCCGACACTGAGACTCTTAGGTCCTCACAGGGCTACTACTTTAGACTTGGTTCAGGTGCTGTCTCGTGGAGAGCTACTCGCTCCTCGTCTGTTGCCAAGTCCAGCTGTGAGGCCGAGATCTACGCCGGTGCCATGGCGGCACAGGAGCTCCGCTGGCTGACATTCTTGCTCACTGACTTAGGTGAGCGGCCTAGCTCTGCCCCGGTCCTGTATGCTGACAACAGGGCCATGATCCTCCTGTGTCATGAGCCGCGACTCGAGGGCAGAGCGAAGCACATAATGCTGCAGTACTTCCTCCTGCGTGAGCTGCAGCAGCGTCCCCAGACCCGTGTAGTACATTTGGCCTCCGGTGCCAGCACAGCTAATATCTTTACGAAAGCGCTTGCGCCTAAAGATCATCAGCGGCACTGTGTACATCTTGGTCTTGTTCCTGTAGCTTCTCACTTGCTAGGGCCTTGATTGTGTACAAACATTTTCTATATATATTACCCTGACTGGCCTTGTAGCCTCTCCCAGTGGCTGGACTAGTAGTGCCGCCCTGGTCTTGCTCTTGTCTTGCCTGTATTCCTTGCCTCAGAGGCTGGACTAGTAGTGCCGCCCTGAGCTGCTTCTTCTCCTGTTAGGAACTGCCCCTATATAGTCTAGGGGGTGTGTCAAATGTAACTTATGTAGTTATTGTAGACTATACTGGATTGTGCCTTAGAGGGTACAACCCCTAGTCTATATACTTCTGTATCCTTCTATTCAACTCAACTACTACTCATTTTGATATGTGATTGCTAATCCCAAGAAATACACCGCATTTATGGAGGTTGATGGTGATACGTTCTGTGGCAAGGCCAAGAAGGGGAAGAAGTGGGCAACTGATAGTGAGGCGCCTCAAAAGAAGTAGGCAACTGGAAGGGGGTCGTTCGAGTCATGCTGGGACGGGGACGGGTTATCGGAGGGGATGGGAGGAGATGGGAGGGGAGCAGCTGGGTACCTGGTTACAAGAGCTGTAACAGCAGGCCTGGTGAGTTTTGCGCTGTGAGTGTGTGAAAGTTAGGGGGTTTAGGCCTGGAGGCTCTTCTGGGAACGGAGTCTTGTACGGTACTGTCACGTGCTTTCTCCACTGGGCAGCTAGCATAGAGTGTACAGCACAGGGCATGCAGTGGTTTGGTAGTGATATGAATGGGTGATGGAAGAACCTTCTAGATGAGCTTTGGGCTGGGGATGTGCTGGGTTGGGTTGTGATACAGGTATGAGTTTTGGATGCGCCATACTTGCAATGATTGAAAGCATTTTCAATTAGTGGATCATTGTTGTCATGATTTGGATGGGTCGGGTTGGAGGCGTTACAGTATGGCAAGAAATGGATGGTTCACGACATGAGGGTTCCAGCTGAGGGCCTTTCTGTAGGGTCCCGATTCAAGCAAGGTGCGACTGAGTTTGTGATCGATGGCTGGTAACTGTGCTTGTCTCAGTCTTTGTGTACATTGTGCAACACATGCACTACGGTATGACAAGGAATGGATGGTTCATGAGGGCTGCTGCTGACAGCCTGTTTGACGGGTCCCGATTCAAGCAAGAGGCGATGAAGTCTGTGAACTCAGGTGAAGCCTCAGGTGGGAGCTCAGGTAGGTCTCTGCTGTGAGCGATGAACAGGCGCACCTGACAGAGCAGACGCGGGGGGGAGAGAGGGAGGAGGGAGGGGAGGAGAGGGGGAGTGTGTTGGGGGGGGGGGGGGGGGAAGAGGCACCGAAATGAGAAGAATAAGAGACGAATGGCAAGTACCGTGGCTTCTTGCACAGTTACGGTAAACACAAGCACGTTTGGGAATTAAGACCTTGGTCCAACCAAGCTCACCTGTTCCCTGTCGTTGATATCAGCCCACGGCTCTGAACCTGTTGCCATTGCTACTGCCAGGCACCCGAGCGCCCAAATGTCTGATGGTGGCCCTTCCCCTTCCTGCACCAACCAGGGATACCAGATAAGAAAGGAGCAGCCTAGTATGACCATCAGCGCACGCAGAATGAGATCACAGAAAAGAAAGGTGTGTTTTGAGTCGACTCAAAGCGCCACAGAATGCGCACCGGCCCTTGGCTGCTCCGGTTGCCATGGGAAGCAAAGTGATTTGAAGGCATATCGAAGTCACACAGAAACCTTCAAGTCACAGAATGAGAGAGCCATTCGTTTCTCACCTCTCTGATGGCTTCAGGAGAGAGCCATGGCAGCCGTGGCTTGCCCTTCGTGTGGTTAACGCATAACGCTTCAGTGCACTCATGCTTGCTGCAGCTGCTCCACGGGGTTCCTTGCTTGTCGGAGTCCAGCCAAGCAATGCCGGCCAGTCGGACCACCCCATCGTCCGGCACAAAGACAGTGGACGGCCGGACGTTGCCGTGTGTAATCCCCTGGGAGTGCAGAGAGCACAGGGCGTCAACCACCTGGCGTAGGCAGAAGGCGAGGGTGTCCTCAGGCATCGGCCCACACTGCTGCAGCTGCTGCGAGAGAGGCGGCGATGAGATGTACTCATACGCAGCAAATACCACCACCGACGCCGCACCATTTCCCCCCTGCGCACAGTTACCCTTGTTGCCGGCAGGAGCAGTAGCAGCAGCAGTAGCAGCGGCGGTAGCAGTGGCGTTGGCTCGGATGGCGCCTATACACGGCGCCACGTTCTCATGGCTGTGCTTCAGCAGTAGGGCCACCTTCCTCTGAAGCTCCCGCACCCTCCCTCCCTCCACACCCTCTCTTCTCTTCACCACACCAGTGCCCCCCTCCCCCTCCCGGACCTCTCCCCGAGCCTCTCCCTGATCCTCATCCCGGACCTCCAACCGCTGCACAACGAACCTCTGCCCCGAGCCTCGGTCCTCGATCAGGCTGAGCCTCGTGCCGAGCCTCGACACGAGCCTCCACTTCTCAGGTAGGTTCGGAATGCTACCCGTCTCCTGCTCCCCCTCCTCCTCCTCTTCTCCCCCCTCCTCTTCTCCCTCCTCCCTCTTTAGGTTCTGCAGTCTCATTCTCCCTCCTGATTGGCCTACGCCCTTCTCAGAAGTTGCGTCCACTGCTCTTACTGCCGCGCCTTGTGCTCCTTTCCCTGCTCCTTCCCCTGCTGCTTCTTCTGCTTCCGCTGCTTCCGCCGCTTCTGCTGCCGCCGCCTCTGTTGCTTCACCAGATTTGGTCTCCTTTGCCTCTGCTGCTCTTGTCAACCGTTCCGACCTTTGAACCGACTCACAAGGCACCATTGCCCCTCCCCTTCCTGGTGCTGCTGCTGCTGATGTGTTTGCTGCTTCTTGTCGTGCCGTATTCACACCTCCTACCGCCACTGTCCAGCCCTTCGCAGGCCCGGATGCGATTCGTCTAGGAGGCTTGGGGTGCTCGAACTTGGAAGCTCTACTCTTGGGGTTATCAGGTCCGGCGTTACTAGGCTCGGTATCACTAGGCCCGGCATTGCTTGGTTCGGCAGATGACCCTGGAGACGGAGGCTCGGAAGAACGGAGGCTTCGATGGCTGAGGCTCGGATTCCCGTGGCTCGGTTGGCTGAGGCTCGGCGGAAGGGTGGCTTGGAAGAGAGCAAAGGAGTGGAATGCGGCCAGGTCTTCAGGAGAAAGCTCAGGTGTGCTTTCACGCAGCTCAGGTGTGCTTCTGCGCAGGTCAGGAGCGTTCTCAGGTGGTAAGTGCAGGCGGGTAGGTGGGAGGGGGTTGACTGGAGAGGGAGGAGGGGCGCGGAGGGGAGGGGCGCGACGGGGAGGGGCGAGAAGGGGAGCGAATGGTGGCAGGGGAGGAAAAAGAGGGGAGCCGGGTGGTAAGGCGGAGACAGGAGGGGGAGGAGGGCAGGCAGGGTGGCGAGGGGAGAGTAAAGAGGCAGGGTGTGCAGGGCTGTGAGGGGCCGCTTGGTGGGGGTGAGGCGAGGCGGCTGAGAGGTAGCGTGGCACGGTGGGTGGTGCTGGTGCTGCCGGTGCTGCTGTTGCTGCGGCAGTGGGAGTTGCTGTTGCTGCGGCGGCAGTCCTGGGAGGTAATAGTGGCGGTTGTGAGGGTGGTGGGTACGATAGTGGCGGGTGTGACAGTGGCGGTTGTGAGGGTGGCGGGTGTGACAGTGGCGGTTGTGAGGGTGGTGGGTGTGACAGTGGCGGTTGTGAGGGTGGCGGTTGTGAGGGTGGCGGTTGTGACAGTGGCGGTTGTGACAATGCTGATGACGAGGGTAAAGGGGGAGGCGTCCTGGGTGGATTGTTGAGGTCCATGCTAGGTGCCCTCCCATGCCCTGACCCACTGCCGTGCTCCAACCCTCTGCCATGCTCTAACCCTCTGCCATGCTCTAACCCTCTGCCATGCTCTAACCCTCTGCCATGCTCTAACCCTCTGCCATGCTCTAACCCTCTCCCATGCTCTGACACTCTCTCCTGCTCCAAATATCTCCCATGCCCTGATTGCCACGTGTCGCTATCCCCGCCCCTCCTAGTGCGCCGCCTCACAAACCCCCTTCCACTCCCCCCCTCACTGCCGCCATCCCTGCCCCTCTTCCTCCCTCCTCCCAGCTCCCTCCTCACCGCCTCGGCAGCAGCCCTGGCAGCAGCTTCGGCAGCAGCTTTGGCAGCAGCTTCGATGTCAAAGCTCTCCGTTACGCTCCACGTCTCCGAACCTCCCCCCAGGCTCGGATTCCCCCCCAACCTACCTCCGGACCTGCTTGCCGAACCTGTGCTCGCGTGCTGCAACTGCCTGTATTCCCCCGGCTGCCTTGCCTCTCCTCTTCTACTCACTCCATCCTCTACCAGCCGTACCGCTCCCTTTCGCCTGCCCACCACACTTGCGTAAACCGCCTCTGCAGCCGCCGCCCCAGCAGCTGCAGCTGCAGCTGCTGCTGCGACGTGGCTGGGATCCTGAAGATGCTCCTGCTGCCGCTCTAACTGGTGCTGCTGCTGCTGCTGCTGGTGCTGGTGACTGGGGTCCTGAAGACCCTCCTGCTCCTGCTGCTGCTCCTGCTGGTGCTCGCGTTCCTGTCGCTCCTGCTGCCCCTGCTGCAGCTGCCTTGTTCGATGAAGATGGGAGGGCGGGGGTTGCGAGAGGGGACGATAGGGTACAGCGGAGAGAGCCAGTGAGTCGTTTCCTGATCCGTCACAGTTCCCGGATCCGAGCACATCAGTCCAACTTGACTCACACGGCTGCGATCGCCTTGATAGCACCAGTGCTCCAACGCCCTCCCTTGCTCCTCCCCCCTCTTCAGAAGGAGGTTGAGAGGGAGGAGGGAGGGAGAGAGGAAGGTCAAGGCAAGGGCTACTGGGGGGCCTTGCTCCCAGGGTCAATCGTTCTTGGGATCCAGCTATGGGATATTTTTGAGAATTCTCAAAAACACCCCGCAGATTCAGAGGGTTGGGAAAAGATGCCAGACCCGTGTCCTGCCCACGCTGCCCCAAACCAAACGGACTGATCGCCCGAACCTGGGCCTCCCGAACCTGCGCTTCAGCTTCGGCCCGAGCCTGGACATGCAGTTGTGCCTGTGCCTGTGCCTGGGCTTGTGCTTGCGCTAGGAATGCTGCTTGTGACGCCATGAAGGCATGGGCCTGCACCTGCATCCGAGCCTGCGCCACAGCTTCGGCCCGAGCCTGAGCCTCCAGTTGAGCCCGAGCCTGCACCCGAGCCTGCGCTTCAAACTGCACCCGAGCCTGTGCCTGCACCTGAGCCATCTGTTTCAATACACTCGTTTCTCGCAACAACCTCCACACCTCCTGCTCCTTCCTCTGCAATTCCTCCTTCCTTTCCCTCCTCTCCCACTCCTCCTCCTCCTCTTCCTCCTCATCCTCGTCCTCCTCTTCCCTTCCCTCTTCCCATCTTCTTACCTCCTCACTGCCTTCCGAACCTGAGCCGTCCGAGCTCAGTTGTTCCCGAACCTGGGCTTCAGGTTCGGCATCAGCTTCACCGCATTGCCTCGGCGAAGCCCCAAACCTAGCCCTCTCTTGAGACCACCTCCCCTCCCTCTCTCCCCTCATGCCTCTCCAATCATCCCTTTCTCTTTCCCTCTCCTCATCCCCCTCCTCTCCTCCCTCCTCCTCCCCTTCTTTAAGCGTCCCTAGACTGCTCCTACCAAGCACCCTTTGAAAAGCGCCTTTCTCTTCTCTTCCTACTACCCGCCACCTCCCACCACCACCACCAGCACCACCAGCAGCAGCAGCACCAGCACTACCAACCGCACTAGCAGCAACAGCAGCACCAGCAGCACCGGCAGCAGCACCAGCAGCACCAGAAGCACCACCAGCACCACCAGCACCCGCAGCAGAAGCAGCACCATTAGCAGCACTAGCGGCAAGCCCGGAAAACCCATTCCCAACAGCCCCAGGAACAGGCACCGAGTTGCTTTGCTGGGACTCCTCACATATGCCCATCAGTGCGCGCATATGCAGCGCTGCTGCTGCTGCATGCGGGCTCGTGCCGTGGGGCAGGAAGAGCGGAATCGACAATCCTGCCGCTCCTGCTGGTGGTGGTGGTGGTGCTGCTGCTGCTGCTGCCGCTGCTGGTGCTGCTGCTGGTGGTGGTGGTGCTGCTGCTGCTGCTGCCGCTGCTGGTGCTGCTGCTGGTGGTGTGAATGCGCTGATCATAGCTCTGGCTGCGTTTTGCTGCCAGCTGCCCCCTCTGCTGCCTTTTTCCACCTCCTCCCCTTCCTCCTCGCTCTCCTCCTCACTCCCCCACTCGTCGTCCTCCTCTCCCTCCCCCTCTTCCTCATCCCCCCGCTTCTTACTCTCCATCCCCTCCGCTCTCCCCGCTTCTCGCCCCTCCCCTCTCCGGCACTCCTGATTTAAGGAGGGACGAGTCTCTAGAGGCGCATCGGAGCACGTGTGATTTAAGGAGAGGCACTCAGTCCGAGCCTTCTCAGAACCTTCCTGGTTGAAGGGGCGTTTCACACGAGGCGGGGGAAGGGGGGACGCCGAGCGGGCCTCGGGGGGGAGAGCGAGGGGCGGGTGAGCCGGGGGAGGGGGATATGAGGAAGGGCGGATCACGACAGGCCACTCTCCTCTTTCTGAAGGGCGATATTCCCGCTCCTCTTTCTGCGTATCGCCCTCCTCCTTAAAAAACGGCCGAATCACGTCAGGGATGTAAACCCGGTGCTCACGCTCCTCTTTCTGCGTATCCAAGCTCTTCCGTCCCTCCTTTTGAGCCGACCCAAAAGCAAGCTCCTCTCTCTCCTGCTCCTCCTCCTCCTCCCTCCGCCCCTCCGCTCCCCGTTCTTCCCGCATCCCCGCCCATGCCTCCTCCCCCCACCGCCCCATTGCGGGGCCCTGGAAAACCCTTCCCCCCTGCGCCTTCCACAGTCCTTCCCCCCACCGCTCCCCCTGCCCTTCCCCCCGCCCTCCCCCGTGCTCTTCCGCTCCTTCCGCTGACCTCCCCCCCTCCTCCCCTCTCCTCTCCCTCATAACCTCCCGGCGGGGAATCCGCCCTACCCCCACTCTCCCCCCGTGCAACCAATTCTTCCCCCCGCGTTCTCCCCCGCCCCCAGGTTTTCTTGCCCCCATCCGCGCTTCTATCTGCTGCCCCAGCCGCTTCTGCAAGCTTTCGGTCGGCAGAGGAACCCTTTTCGCTCCAGCTGCCCGTTCCAAATGTTTCGACACTGCCCGCCCACCCCTCCCACTCATCTCAACCGCACAACCGCCTCCGCCAACGCCGTCACGGGCAGACCGCTCCCAACCGCAAGCATGGCCACGATCGTCCACCCTCGCGCATTTTTCTGGGGTAAATTGCCCTCGGATGTCAAGGTCTGCCCAAGGCTGGGCCCGTTTTATCCCACAATCTGCCCGTCGGGAAACATCCGCGGCGTCATCGTGCGCCGACTCAAGAACACGCCTTGCCGGTGGTTTTATCGAGTCTGGTAGGAGCTGTGCTTGCAACGGGCGAAATTGTGGTAACCCGGCCGTCGCACACTGCTGCGGAACGAAAGGCCTTTCGCCCGGCTGGCCTAATGGGCCATTCCAGGCGGCTAATCCGTCGCCCGACTCCCCCGGCGACAGGCCGTCGCCGTCGCCGTCGCCCGACCCCTGCACCGCTTGGTCGCCGGCGTCTGGTCGCACGACCGAGCGGCCGTCGCCGCGTCGTCGCAGAAGTCGCATAGGAGCAATCATCTCGTCGTCCGCCGGAACCGTTTCCGCGGCTCCGACTGCCGCGACATCACCAGCGCCACCGGAACGGTCGTTTCCCCCACTCCCGCCACTGCAGCGGTTACTGGGGCTGTCACTTCCGCCACTGCGGGAGGCAGGCGGAACCATTTCTCCCCGCGGACTCCGCGGACGCGGCGAGGGGGATGCGCGTGGCTGTGTCGGCCCCCACGGGGGGGGGGCTTGCGGCGACGGCGCTTTGTCGCGCATAATGGCCGTTTCCGCCGCGGGGATTCCACGGCGCGGCGGCGGCTGCGGGCTTTTCGAAAAGGCGTCCGCGTGCGGGGAGTTCCGACCGAAAGGGGGAAGCGCCGGCGCGGGGCTGCGGAATGCGAGGTCTGGAATCGGCTGCTGCTGTAACAGCGCGAAATTGGCGAAATTCGAGAAGTTAACGAGGTTCGCGCACGCGAGAGGGCTCGTCGCAAAAGGGCTCGCCCCGAAAGTTGCGGCGAAGGGGGACGAAGGCGGAGCAAGCGGAGTGAAGGGGGAGGGCGGAGCGAGCGGAGTGAAGGGGGAAGGCGGAGTGGCAATACCGAAGGGGACTAAAGGCGGTGTGACTGTAGCGCCTGGCGCAAGAAACGGCGACGCGGACATTGCCCGGAGCGACGCTAATATGGCTTCTCTGTCCATGCCTTAACCGGTACTACTTATATCGGAACGAGTATAACAACTCTATCGGGGGAAAGGAAGGGAAAGGAAAGGGACGGAAAGGGGCGGAACGGCCAGCACGGCGGTGTGAGCGAAAGAAGCCTCTCTGCCTGAGCCTAACTACGTGCAAGGATTAGAATCCTCTTTCCTCCTAGTAGTAACTTATCGTTCTCCAAAATTGTTGATCATTCAACGGCATCACAGCTCTCGTCTGCTCTCCTAGTAGTAGTCTGCGAGGGATTTGATGAGGTGACGGTGAGGAGGTCCTTGCCACTTGGCTGGGGTTTCGTTTCGTAACTTCGTCCCCATAGCAAACATCGTCGTCATCACCTACTGCGGTTGCAGTGCTTCTTCTGTCTGCTCCTGCTCGTTCGAAAGGTGTAAGCTGGAGCGATATCTTACGAGATCGACGGCTCGTATGCGTGGGGTTCGCAACACAACGCAACTAGCGCGCAATGAATGGGGTCAATGACATGGTGGCGGGGCGAGCGAGAGGTGAGCTAAACTGCAGGCGAAGCGAGGCGACGCAACGGAAAAGCCTTCCGTGAAATCCGGTGGTTTGGCTAAGACGGGCACGCGTGGTTGCTCTATCAGGTCTGATGGGGACACGGTATTTATGGCGTCACACGAGAGGCAGCATTTGAGCTTCATGCGAGGCACAGTACAGCACAGCACGGCTGGAGGAGATGGCATGCGATGGAAATGGCACGGGACGGGAATTGGGATGGGTTGGGATGGGATGGCATGGGATGGGAGGGATCATGGGATGAGTCAGAGGCTGCCATTCCTTCCCTTCCACGTGCTAAGTTTGACCACCAAGCTCTGATAAGAACAAATGGCGGCGGGGTTTGGGGCAGAAACAAACGAATGGGTCTGCAAGTGAAAAATTGTGGCCCCGAATCCACCCCTGATTCATTTCCCTTGCACTTGCTCGTGGTTGGGAATAGACTTGGGAAGGTGTACAGCACAGAATGAGGCGTACACGGCGTGATGCACTGTACCGGACCTTTGTAAACTTAGTGTTGATGCTCCGAGGACATCACAGGTGTTCGGAAGATGGGAATTTGTAAAACAGGGTTTCTTTGAACAACGCGGGACTAGCCCATCAATGATTGTTTCACATTCTTGGGAGGGCAGCCGGTGCACACTGTTCAGAGAAGGATTCGCGGTGCGAGCTGCAATCTGCGCATCTGGGTTCCCCCGATTCTGCGAATCTGTGTGGTTGTGGGGTAGGGAGGGGTGGCGGTCAGAACGAAGGAAGTCAGAGTGCTCTAAAATGTTTTGCCTGTTTTTCCTGAGTGGCTTTCATTGGTCCGGCCGCAAGATCAAGGACTAGGTTGGTATTACCCCCCGTCTCTTTCAGGCAAAATCAGACTCTAGTGTACAGAACGCGGTCTGTCCAGAGCTTGCTTGCTTAAGTCTTGGCTGGGTCGGATTTTCAGCTGTAACCGTACTACCATGGGCAGATCGTGTTTACTGACACAAATCGTAGCCCGTAGAGTTGCACAGCAATCTCCGCAGCAACTTTTCAGCACCCTAGTAAGCGCGCTTTTGCACCCCAACAGTCCTATGGAGCCTCACTCCTCCAAGCATTACGATCATCACACTAGGGAGTTTGGTATCAACACCCTCCCCCCTCCCATTTCGGAAGGGATACCATTATACCCTGAAATTCACGTCTAATGCGGTTTCTCACCCTGAATTGGCACGGCGAAGCTCCTCTCCCGCTTGGATCTGGCTGGGTCCTCCAAAATGCATGGTGGGGGGCGGTTGGGGAGGAAGCAGGCAGTTGTAGAGCACCACCAATCACACGCACCCCGCACGAGGGGGTGAGGGAGTTGGGGGGATGGGGGCAGACGAGTTGCCCTGCCCCCGCCGCATCTACTGCAGCACTGCCGCATGATCCATCCCATCCAACCCAACAAACGAACCCACCTCACACACCATCCACCTCATTTCGTCCCGCCCTTCTTCCGCTCTCTCCTCGCAATCCCAGCTCTCCACCACAGCGACATGCTGCCATGTGGGGTGCTAACGTGCCCGTTGCGCCCACCCCCTCTTCCCTTCCTCGCACTGGCGCTCTCCGCACGCCGAACTGCCGTTGACGGCCTTCGCGTCAGCAGGTGAAATTTCAAATGCCCCGACTCAGGAGCTACACTTCCCGAATTAGGTCAACGTGAGTTTTCAAGCTGGACTTCAGTAGTACAGCAGTGTACAATTCAGTTCTTCTAAAGCAGCTTTGAAAAGCGCTGCCCGAGGGAAGCCATACTGGGGTCTGAACTAAACTGCTTGTTCACGTGAACAACAGTGCGAAGACAAAAACTGCCGTGGGGAAGGAAGACGAGCACGGGAGCTCTACAGTAGAGCATCTTTCCCTCGACCGCGATAGGCCCTATCCACGCCCGGGAGAAAAAAAGTGAATGGTTGATTGCTGCTCTTCGTGCTTTGGGTGCTGATCCTCGCTACAATGCAGTGACAACTGCAAGGTGCTGCTTCTCTCTACATTCGAAGGAGTTCGGGCATGTCCGCAAAGTACGTCAATCTTAGAATGGACAAAATGAGAAATCAACATCAATCATGTTACTGACAGTAACATTGGTTAAAGAATGGGCAAAAACATTCGCAACTATCGGTAAGGCTTGACGTGTAACAATCAAGGAGTGCAAGCAGTGTAGGCGGAGGAGGTGGGGAAGGAGCAGGAGGCGGGAAGGGGGGAGGTGGAGGAGGCGAGGGAGGGGGTGGGGATGGGGGCGGCGGGGGGTTGGGTGGTGGGTGAGGGGGAGAAGGGGGAGGCCTGGGAGGGGGGCTAGGGGGTAATGGGGGTGAGGGAGGCGGGGATTTTGGTGGTGGGGAGGGGGGAGGGGAGGGTGGGAGGGGTCCAGGGGGGAATGGGGGCGGTGGTGGTGGGCTTGCTGAAACAGAAGAGTGAGAGTGTGCGGGTTGGGGTGAAGTAGGAAAAACAGAGGGGGGTACACATAAGGAGGGAAAGAGGGGTATGAGAGCAAGAAAATAGCGTGGGGTTCAAACCGAAAGCATGCAAAATGTCGGCACAAAGGCAAAAAGAGAGAGGCCAGGTGTGGCCTTCCAAGCGGATTAAGGTTGACCATACTTAGACATTGCCAGACTCCGTAACCCCAGGGTTTACCGTATTGCCATACTGAGACGTTGGCAGACTAAGCATTGTTATCGGCTGCGTTGACGGCTGAACACAGCTCTGTCCGTTTACTACTCAGATGCACTTACGAGGAAAGTCGCATGATTTGGCGTCTGGGGTCCGGACAAATGGCGCCGTGCACTTGCACTGGTAGAACAGGACTCCGTTGCTGGTCAGGTTCGCCGCACACATCCCCTTCTCCATCCCGCACTGCTGGTTCGGGAAGATCGGCATCGCAAGGCTCGTCCCGCAAAACACGAAGCACTCATCCTCAGTCCGCTGCGTCTCTACTATATTCACTGTGGCACCAGACATGCTAGTGCAGGTGTTGACGAGGTTGAGGAGGCAGTTCTGAGCTGCTGAGTAGGTTGAGGTAGGGGGGTCCGGGCAGAGCGGCAGGCCGAGGCTGTCGGAGCCGTCGTTGGCTGACCCGAAAAAAAAGTTGTTGGAGAGGTCGATTGCTTTGAGCTCCCCGAGGAATCCGATCTTGGGTAAATACCCCGTGAAGAAGTTGAAGGAGATGTTGCTGGGGGTGGATATGAGCGAAGGGCAGAACAGGGTGGCGGCAGGGAGAGAGGGAAGGAGGGAGAGAGGGGGAGAGAGTGTCAACTAGAGTAGAAGGAAGAGACAAGAGTGGGGAGATGATGGGGGACGAGATGACAAATGCAGAGGGAGGAGGAAGTGGGAGAAAGCACCGACTGAGTTGCTCCAGATAACATACAGACAGAGGTTGAAGTGAACAGTGTGTACTATAACAGTGAAGTGAGCTCGTGTTCCGCAAACATTGGGAGTCCGTGCTCAAATAGCATGTCGTTACGTGGTGACTTTTGAGTCGGCTCAGAAGTGAGCTCAAATTGTTGAGTATTCATTGGGAGTCCCTGGCATGTTTCTCCATGTGCAAATAGCATGTTTCTCCATGTGCAAATAGCGTATTTTTCCGTCGAAAGGTGAGATGGCATGACGTGGCATTATCGCAGTGAGAGAACCTGGCTGAATTTACGTGGATGGCAGGGAGGTGAGAGCGCTGAACATCGTCCCGACATGGCATGGCGTGACGTGACAGTGTCGCAACGAGGGCTCATGACTGAAACTAACATGGATTGCAGAGAGGTGAGAGCGCTGAAGATCGTCCGAACGTGGCCGCTGAAATAGTTGCTGCTGAGGTCCCTGTCATTTGTATGGAGGGAAGAGAGGGAGAAGGCTGAACATGTGAGTGCTTGAGAACAAGTGAGGTGAGGCAGCTGAAGACCGTCCAAATCTGGCCGCTGAAATAGTTGCTCCTGAGGTCCCTGCCATTTTGATGGAGGGAAGAGAGGGAGAAGGCTGAACATGTGAGTGCTTGAGAACAAGTGAGGTGAGGCAGCTGAAGACCGTCCAAATCTGGCCGCTGAAATAGTTGTTGCTGAGCTCCCTGCCATTTTGATGGAGGGAAGAGAGGGAGAAGGCTGAACATGTGAGTGCTTGAGAACATGTGAGGTGAGGCAGCTGAAGACCGTCCAAATCTGGCCGCTGATATAGTTGCTGCTGAGGTCCCTGCCATTTTGATGGAGGGGAAAGAAAAGAGAAGGCTGAACATGTGAGTGCTTGGGAACAAGTGAGGTGAGGCAGCTGAAGACCGTCCACACGTGGCCGCTGAAATAGTTGCTGCTGAGGTCCCTGCCATTTTGATTGGTATGCCAACACCAGGCAAGAAGGGGAGAGAGGGAATCACAATAAACAGAGCATGTATGAGCAATGGAGCTGGAGTCCTGGCATGGCCGCTGCAGAAGTTGCTGCTAAGGTCCCTGCCATGTCGATCGCTATGCCAACACCGGGCAAGAAGGGGAGAGAGGGAATCACGAAGCATAGAGCATATATGAGCAATGGAGGTGAGGGTCTCACTAGTTCCTACTGTCACTGTGCTGTGCACTAGTGTGAGTGCCGTACAGTGCTAACAGGGAGCATAGAGATGAATACACTGTGCTGTGCACTAGTGTGAGCGCCGTACTGTGCTCACAGGGAGTAGAGCAATTGCAAGTTGGGGAGGCTGCTAGGCAGCGCCTCAAAACTCTTATCACGCGTACAGTGCTCACAGGGAGTTTAGAGATGAATACATTCTGTGTGTGATGTGAACCACTCACAGAGAGTAGAGCGATTGCAAGTTGGAGAGGCCAGTAGGCAGAGAGCCGGACAAGGAGTTGAAAGAGACGTTGCTGGGCGTTGGGGGGAGGCAGGCATTGGGGAGGTAGATATGGGGAAGGAATGGTATGGATGTGAAAGAATTACAAGGCGGAGAGGCACTAGGCGGAGAGCCGGGAAAGGAGTTGAAAGAGACGTTGCTGGGCGTGGGGCGAGCAGCCAGGGGGGCTGGGGTTTGGATATGGGGAAGGAGTGGAATGGGGGAGGCAGGGAATGGGGGAGGCAGGGAATGGATGTGAAAGAATTGTAGGGTGGAGAGGGCTGTAGGCAGAGAGCCGGACAAGGAGTTGAAAGACACGTTGCTGGGCGTGGAAGAGGGCGGAGCCAGACAGGTTGCTGGTGTTGGGGGGGCAGGCGTGGGGTGAGGTAGCGAATGGGAACGCAGAGCGCAGGAGCAGTGGTGCATGGGAATTGGAGTACATAAGGATACTGCTAAAAACTCCATACATCTATATGCATCGTCATACATATGCAATGTATATATTAATATAATTTACATGTATCCACTGAAAGATGCACTCACAAGAATCGAAGGTCAGTCATGTTGGTAGTGAAGACGGAGGGCAGGTCACCCATGAGTGAGTTCTTAGAAACGTCTCTGAAGCAGCGGAGCACAAACAGGGCACCAGAAGAAAAGAAAGAAAAAAGTTAATAATTAAATAGTAATAATAGTAATAATAATAATAAATCAAAACAAAACAAAACAAAACGTATCTACGAAAGGGGACGCGTTTATCTAAGGACATCGATGAGTGTGGGGTACTCTTACCTTTCTATAATGTGCAAGAGCAAACTGCAGTGCAAGAACTAAATAAGTGGTTTGAAAAAATTGACAGAAAGCTACACGGCTGAGAGAAATTATGTTTGAAATCATAATGAAAATGTGGTAACAGAAGGATAGGTAGGAGGGGTTGGAATGGAAGGTGCGTTGACTTGGCAGCACCGTTGGGAGATGGGACAGTGAGAAAGTGGAGGGGGGGAGATCTTACAGTTGATAGAGATATGAGAGTGCGGAGAAGGAGAGAGGGATGGGTCCGGTGAGTGAGTTGTTGTTGAGGAGACTGCTCGGGAGAAAGGGGTCAGGAGAGATGCAGGGTGGTCAGGGAGGACGGAGATAGGTGTTTTGAGACATCTCCAAACGAGGAGAGAGGTAACATGTGCGTGAATTGAGGTGATGCGTGAATTGCTGAGGAGTCTATTTTTGAGGTGCCTCAAAGAGAGGTAACATGTGCCTATTGAGGTGATGTGTGAATTGCTGTTGAGAAGAGTGCTCGGGTTAAACAGGGGGAAGTGCGGGCAGGCAGCAGGCGGAAGAGAAGCATGTTTCAGCATTTTCAAGGGAGAGAAGAAAGAGGCGGCGAAGGAGGATTGGAGGGAGGAGGTAAGAGTGGAACGACAGGCCGGAGAGGAGGGAGATTGGGGAGGGCTACAAGGCTGTAGTAGGAGAGTGAATGGCAAGAAAGGCAAGAGAGGAGGGAGGACGGAGCTTACAGGACAGCGAGGAACTCAAGGCTGGAGTAGAGTGAGGGTATGGCGCCGGACATAGCGTTGTTGGAGAGAATCCTGGTGGGGAGACAAGGCGATGGAGCGTGGGGGGAGGCTTTTGAGTCGACTCAAAACCAGGCTGTGATATGACGGATACGACGGGTATGGCGCCGGACATAGCGTTGTTGCAGAGAATTCTGGTGGGGAAACGCGGAGGTGAGGTATGGGGGAGGCTTTTGAGTCAGCTTGAAAGCAGGCTGTGGGTGGGTATGCCGGGATTGACGGGTATGGCGCCGGACATAGCGTTGTTGGGGAGAATCCTAGTGAGGAAACAAGGGGATGGAGCATGGGGGGAGGCTTTTGAGTCGACTCAAAAGCATGCTGTGAGTATGAAGGGTATGACTGACAGGCATGGCGCCGGACATGGCGTTGTTGCAGAGAATCCAGGTGGGGAGACACGGGGATGGAGCGTGGGGGGAGGCTTTTGAGTCGACTCAAAACCAGGCTGTGATATGACGGGTACGACGGGTATGGCGCCGGACATAGCGTTGTTGGAGAGAATTCTGGTGGGGAAACAAGGGAATGGAGCGTGGGGGGGACTACTGAGCCGACTCAAAAGCAGGCTGTGGGTATGGTGAAGGATGGAGCGTCGTTGGAGCGAACCCTGCTTCGATTCAGCGAGGAACAGGGCACGGGGGAAGGGTGGCCTGTGAGACAGGGGTGTTTTGGTATGAAAGGGGATGGTGTGGTGGGGGGTGCTGTGATGGGGGGTGGTGTGCTGGGGGGTGGTGTGATGGGGGGTGGCGTGATGGGGGATAGCGAAATGAGGATAGGGTGCAGGGGTTGGGTATGTGAGGGTTAGCATGCGGGGTTAAAAGGACAAAAAGGGTTTAGGGGACAGGGTTTAAGGGGGAAGTGAGAGTGTGGGAGGTGTGAGAAGAAAAGAGGGGATGAGAGAGGGTAGAAGAATACGAAAAGGTCTGGAGGAAAGGTGCACAAGGTTGCTTTTGAGTCGACTCAAGAGAGAGTAGAAGAATACGAAACGGACTGCAGGAAACTGTATGGTGCACAGGGTTGCGGTGGGCTGCATGCATACAAGGAATCGAGAGTGGTGAGGGTGCTGAGGGAGGAAGGCAGAGATCCCGAGAGCTTGTTGTTGTTGGCGCGACTGGAAGGAGGGGAGACGGGAAGTGGAAGGGGGGAGCGAAAGGGAGAGGGGGGGGGGAAGGGGGGGAGGAGGAGGGGGAGGGGGGGGGAAGGGGGGTTGGGGGGGGGTGGTTGGCAGAGAGACGCAGTGCTGTGAATACTGAGGGAGGCAGGCAGGCAGGCAGGCAGGCAGGCAGGCAGGCAGGCAGGCAGGCAGGCAAGGCACTTGAGAGCCTGTTCTTCTTTCTAGCAACACGATAGGGGAAAGACGGTGGGAAGACGATAAATGGAAATGTGAAGGGGAGAAAACATGGCAGGGGGGGGAAACATGGGAGGGGACGAATACATGGGAGGGGACGAATACAAGGCAAAGGCCTTACATATAGACGAGAGACACGAGGGTTGAGAAGGACGCTGGTATCGACCCAGAGATGGTGTTGTTGTCAACGAATCTGCCAATAACGAGGACAGGGAAAAAGCATCTCGGAAGGATAATAAAAACCTGAATGCACCAATGAGGCGTTTGTGAAGGAGGGGAGGCAGCTGCCAGCCAGCTACAGGCTTTGAGGCGGCTCTAAATGAAACAGCATACATCTAGAGAAATAGGCATACCGGTTTCAGCTCCCTCTCCCGTTCTCTTCCTCTCCCAGCGCACAAGCCGTGTCAATTGGAGAGAAGAAGGCATACAGGTTCCGAAGATTGGTGAGCGTGCTAAGAGCAGGAGGAAGAGCACCAGAAAGGGAGTTGTTACTTAGGTAGCTGGAAGGGGGGGAAGGGAGGGGCTGAATGAAAAGGAGCCAGGGGGACAACAGGCTTTAGGAGTGACGAGTGTGGGACGAGCAGAAGGAGGGGAGCCGATTTTTAAGGCGCCTCAATAATCATCTCAGTTCTCGCGGATTTTAGAAGGAGGCAGGGGCACAACAGGCAGGGGGACAACAGGCAGGGGACAACAGGCAGGGGGACAACAGGCAGGGGGACAACAGGCAGGGGGACAACAGGCAGGGGGACAACAGGCAGGGGCACAACAGGCAGGGGGACAACAGGCAGGGGGACAACAGGCAGGGGGACAACAGGCAGGGGGACAACAGGCAGGGGGACAACAGGCAGGGGGACAACAGGCAGGGGGACAACAGGCAGGGGGACAACAGGCAGGGGGACAACAAGCTTCAGGAATGACGAGTGTGGTTAGAGCAGCAGGAAGGGAGCCGGCACGGCGAAGGGGTTGCGGCTGAAGAAACTGGAAGGGAGGAGAGAAGGGGAGGAGGCAGGGAGCCGGAGAGGGGGTTGCTGCTAGGGGGAGGAGGGGGGAAGGTTGTGGGGGAGGAGGAGAGGAGGAGGCAGGGAGTGAGGTCGCTGGGCATGCTTGAGCCAGGACGGGAGCTGGGCATTGTTAGGTTTTCAACACAGGATCGTTGGGCATGCTTGAGCCAGGACGAGAGCCGGAGAGGGGGTTGCTGCTGAGGTGGCTAGATAGAGGAGGTAGAGAGGAGGGGAGGAAGAGAGGAGGGGAGGAGGGGAGGAGGGGAGAGGAGGCGAGGAAGGGAGGAGGGGAAGAGGGGAGGAGGGGGGAGGAGGGGGAGATGGGAGGGGGGAGAGGAGGGGAGGGGGGAAGGGATGGAGCCTGAGAAGGATGCATGGGATGGGATCAACAAGCTTGGAGCATGGTAACTGCGCTTTATGCGGCAGATGACTTTTGAGGCGCCTCAAAAGAAGGATGCATGGGATGGGATCAACCAGCTTGGAGCATGGTAACTGCGCTTTATGCGGCAGATGACTTAAGGCGCCTCAAAAGAAGGATGCATGGGATGGGATCAACAAGCTTGGAGCATGGTAACTGCACTTTATGTGGCAGATGACTTTTGAGGCGCCTCAAAAGAAGGATGCATGGGAAGGGATCAACAAGCTTGGAGCATGATAACTGCGCTTTATGCGGCAGATGAGGTGCCTGTGTGTTATGAGTCTATTGTTGAGTCGACTCAAAAATTGAGTCATAACACATGCAACAGATGAGGTGCCTCAAAACACGACCCCTGACATGCAAAACAGGTATCACACTCTCGCTCACACGGCCTTCAGAACTGCACTTACATGCACGCGTTCACACCCACCCACTCACATGCCCCCTAGAGCTGTCAACATGCATGCACGCGTTCACACCCACCCACTCACATGCCCCCTAGAGCTGTCAACGTGCATGCACGCGTTCACACCCACCCACCCACATGCCCCCTAGAGCTGTCAACGTGCATGCACGCGTTCACACCCACCCACTCACATGCCCCCTAGAGCTGTCAAACATGCATGCACGCGTTCACACCCACCCACTCACATGCCCCCTAGAGCTGTCAACGTGCATGCACGCGTTCACACCCACCCACTCACATGCCCCCTAGAGCTGTCAACGTGCATGCACGCGTTCACACCCACCCACCCACATGCCCCCTAGAGCTGTCAACGTGCATGTACGCGTTCACACCCACCCACTCACATGCCCCCTAGAGCTGTCAACGTGCATGCACGCGTTCACACCCACCCACTCACATGCCCCCTAGAGCTGTCAACGTGCATGCACGCGTTCACACCCACCCACCCACATGCCCCCTAGAGCTGTCAACGTGCATGTACGCGTTCACACCCACCCACTCACATGCCCCCTAGAGCTGTCAACGTGCATGCACGCGTTCACACCCACCCACTCACATGCCCCCTAGAGCTGTCAACGTGCATGCACGCGTTCACACCCACCCACTCACATGCCCCCTAGAGCTGTCAACGTGCATGCACGCGTTCACACCCACCCACTCACATGCCCCCTAGAGCTGTCAACGTGCATGCACGCGTTCACACCCACCCACTCACATGCCCCCTAGAGCTGTCAACGTGCATGCACGCGTTCACACCCACCCACTCACATGCCCCCTAGAGCTGTCAACGTGCATGCACGCGTTCACACCCACCCACTCACATGCCCCCTAGAGCTGTCAACATGCATGCACGCGTTCACACCCACCCACTCACATGCTACGTGACCGCAAACGCTCTGGCGGGGCAGCGTTTAGCGTTTAAACGCAGCGTTTAAACGCTAAACGCTAAACGCTCGCTAAAACGCTAAACGCTCGGGTAAAATTTTAGGGGCAGCCCGACGAAAAAATCGACCAATTTTTTTCCGCGACTTTGCGACCTGGCGAATTCAACTAGACATTCATCAAGTCGCAAATCCCAACCTAGCGACCAAAAAACGCATCCAACTCTTTTGCCCCGCTCAACCGCACAGCACCCTGTTCATCTACGACCACTCCAACCTAACCACTTTCTCCCCTTCTTCCATCACAAGCTCTTCCCCATGAGAAACGGGAACCCTGGAGTTCCGCGCGCCATAGCCGTAGTTCAGATCTAGTCGTCATTCTCTCATCTCCCACGCCCACTCACCTTGGCCACCTAATTTCGCGTCAAGTTAAGGGCTCACGCCCATGTCGACCCCCCCTAATGCTGCAGACGCTAATCCTACAGCGTCTGCAGCGTCAAATATTTACGAGGCAGAGTCTAATCATGATACAATTTGGAGAAAAAATGTTGTAAACCATAATCCCCTTGCCTCCCCCTACCTATCCCAGGTTTTTTTACCCTGCCCGGGGAGTTTTTTTCGGCTGCCCGAGAGTGCGTTTACCTTAGCGTTTAGAAACTCAAGCAGTCGCGTTTAGCGTTTAAACGCTAGCGTTTAAAAGATGCGTTTAAAACGCTAAACGCGTTTCCGGTCACGTAGCTCACATGCCCCCTAGAGCTGTCAACGTGCATGCACGCGTTCACACCCACCCACTCACATGCCCCCTAGAGCTGTCAACGTGCTGTACTGGGATAGGATAGGAGGGATGGAGCCGGTGGTGAGTGAGCCTGTTCAGAGGTGCCTCAACACAGCGTGCAAATGACTACATGCTAGAGGGCGAATGACTACATGCTAGAGGGCGAATGACTACATGCTAGAGGGCGAATGACTACATGCTAGAGGGCGAATGACTACATGCTAGAGCCTAGAGGGCGAATGACTACATGCTAGAGGGCGAATGACTACATGCTAGAGGGCGAATGACTACAAGCTAGAGGGCGAATGACTACATGCTAGAGGGCGAATGAATACATGCTAGAGGGCGAATGACTACATGCTAGAGGGCACGCTGACATACACACCCACTCACATGCCCTCTAGACCTGTCAGCGTGCTGTACTGCGATGGGATGGAGCCGGTGAGCTTGTTCCGGCGAAGATCACTGCCAGAAGAGCAAACACGGAGGCGGAGCAGAAGGGCGTGAGGAGAGAGAAGAATAGGTTGGGGAGTGTTCTGTTTTTGAGAAAAAACAGAAGATCGCTGCCAGGAGAGCAAACACGGAGGCGGGGCAAAAGGGCATGTGGAGGGAGAAGAACGGGTTGGGGATGAGGTGAGAGAAAACGGGTTGGGGATGAGGTGAGAGAAAACGGGTTGGGGTTGGGGATGAGGTGAGAGAAAACGGGTTGGGGATGAGGTGAGACAGAGGACATGTGAAGAGGAACACCGTTGTTGAGTCAGATATGAGAATTGCTGTAAGGGCTAAAACTTGGGCAAATTTTTGAGTCGACTAACTACAGAGTCAAAGGCCTTAAGGGCTAGAGCTGGCTTGAAAAGAAAGGAGCTTATACAGACACTGGCACGACATGAGAACGAGGAGGAATGCAGGAAGCGTCAAACCACCCTGCCCTGTGATTATTTCCTGAATAGCAAAAGAAACTCGAAAAAAAGTCGTCTGTCACGACCATACCTGACACAGGGAGTAGGAACAAGCTCAGCTCAGCTCAGCTCAGCTCAGCTCAGCTCAGCTCAGCTCAGCTCAGCTCAGCTCAGCTCAGCTCAGCTTTTCAGTCGACTCAAATGCAGAGTCTGTCACCACCATACCTGACGTAGGGAGTAGCAACAAGCTCAGCTCAGCTCAGCTCAGCTCAGCTCAGCTCAGCTCAGCTCAGCTCAGCTCAGCTCAGCTTTTCAGTCGACTCAAATGCAGAGTCTGTCACCACCATACCTGACGTAGGGAGTAGCAACAAGCTCAGCTCAGCTCAGCTCAGCTCAGCTCAGCTCAGCTCAGCTCAGCTCAGCTCAGCTCAGCTTTTCAGTCGACTCAAATGCAGAGTCTGTCACCACCATACCTGACGTAGGGAGTAGCAACAAGCTCACATGTTAACGAGCTGACGAAGGGCAGAGAGGGAGGGGGGCAGCGACCCTGTGAGAAGATTGTTGGGAAATGAGCTGAGGAGGGGGTGGGACAGGAGGGGGTGGGGAAGGAGGGGGTGGGACAGGAGGGGGTGGGGAAGAGGAAGGGATGGAACAACCGAAGGAGAATAGCAGCTCGGTAAGACACACTGAGATGGGACAAAAGGCTTGTTGTGAGAGACGACTCGAAACAACAGGCGGTTGGAGGAAAAAAGAGAAAGGTTTAACAAGTAAGGAGGAGTGGAGAGGAGGAGAGAGACAACAGAGAGAGTTGCACGGAAAGAAGGCAAAAAAAGGCCTCAGCGCCTCAAACCCACTTGTCTAGTAGCTTGATTGTTGACAGTGGAATAAAAACGCACAGCACACTGCTGTTTGCGTAAGACTTGGCTGTCGATTCAAAAGCAGCATCGCACAGCAGCACACTGGTGTTTTGGGTAAGACTTGGCCGTAGATGCTTACAGCGCAGCTTGCTTACAGGATAGTTAGTGCTGTCAGTTTGGAGAGGCCTGAGGGGACGGAGCCAGTGAGAAGCATGTGTTTGAAAGCAACAAACTGCTATTTTAGGGGAGAGCTGGCTGTGTTGTAGATGCTCACAGCACAGCAGCTTGCTTACAGGATAGTCAGTGCTGTGAGCTTGGAGAGGCCTGCAGGTATGGAGCCAGTGAACAGATTCGAGTCCAGGCGCCTGGGACGGAGGGAGAGAAACAATGGGTGGGTTTTGAGTACATATGTACTCAACTCAGTGAGTCACCTAACTTTGCGCGGTTGGCTCTTAGAGAGGCCTCAGGGGACGGTGCCTGTGAGTTGATTCGATTCCAGGCGCCTGAGAAAGGAGGGAGGGAAACTAGTTTTGAGGCGCCTCAAAACTTGTTTTGTTTTGAGGCGCCTCAAAACTTTGCGCGGTTGGCTCTTAGAGAGGCCTCAGGGGACGGAGCCTGTGGGTGGATCCGAGTCCATTTTTGAGGCGCCTCAAAAATAGACTCCTCGGAGCCTGTGAGTGGATCCGAGTCCAGGCGCCTGAGAAGGGAGGGAGGAAAACAGTCTGGGGAGGGGGGGGGGGGTGAGGGGGGTTTGAGTCAATATGTACTTAAGGAGTCACCTCACTGTGTGCGGTTAGCTTGGAAAGGCCTCACGGGATGGAGCCTGTGAGTTGATTCGAATCCAGGAGCCTAGGAGGAGGTGACTTTTGAGTCAACTCAAAAGTCAAGAATCCAGGAGCATAGGAGCCTGCTCGGACATGGAGAGAGAGACGCAGAAAGAAAAGGGAAGCCAAAAAACAGATCAGCAGTAAAGGGGCGTTAGAGCAGGCTGCAGGACTGGTTATAATCAGACGGTTTTGGTGCACGAGCAGCTGCTTTCTAAGGGAAAAGGGTAGTGGTGACGTACTGGGGGTGGGGGGAGCAGAAAGATGGGTGAGCCTTACACCACATGCAGGGCTGGTTATAATCAGACGGTTTTGGTGCACGAGCAGCCACTTTCTAAGGGAAAAGGGTAGTGGTGACGTACTGGGGGTGGGGGGAGCAGAAAGACGGGTGAGCCTTACATGCACCACCTGTAGGCATGCTTGCGAGGTGGCGCTGTTAGGCTTTAAGGACGCGAGGCGCTCAACAGCATGCTTACACAGTAGAAGTGAGACATGTGAGAGTGGAGGGATGTGAGAGCCGAGGGATGTGAGAGTGGAGGGATGCCCTGTCCTGTGGTGGCATACATCTCTCTCAGCGATTCCATTCTCTCGTACCTCAACAGCTTGCTTACAGGGTAGTGAGGGATGTGAGAGTGGAGAGGAATGGAGGAAGGGGGCCAGACAGGGAGTTGCCAGGCAGTTTCCTGACGTTGATCAACCGGGGGATGGGGGAGAAGACAAAGGGAAAGCGGAGAAGAGGGATGGAGGCATGGGGAGAGAGGGATGGAGGCATGGGGAGAGAGGGATGGAGGCATGGGGAGAGAGGGATGGAGGCATGGGGAGAGAGGGATGGAGGCATGGGGAGAGAGGGATGGAGGCATGGGGAGAGAGGGATGGAGGCATGGGGAGAGAGGGATGGAGGCATGGGGAGAGAGGGATGGAGGCATGGGGAGAGAGGGATGGAGGCATGGGGAGAGAGGGATGGAGGCATGGGGACGAGAGGGATGGAGGCATGGGGAGAGAGGGATGGAGGCATGGGGAGAGAGGGATGGAGGCATGGGGACGAGAGGGATGGAGGCATGGGGACGAGAGGGATGGAGGCATGGGGACGAGAGGGATGGAGGCATGGGGACGAGAGGGATGGAGGCATGGGGACGAGAGGGATGGAGGCATGGGGAGAGAGGGATGGAGGCATGGGGAGAGAGGGATGGAGGCATGGGGAGAGAGGGATGGAGGCATGGGGAGAGAGGGATGGAGGCATGGGGAGAGAGGGATGGAGGCATGGGGAGAGAGGGATGGAGGCATGGGGAGAGAGGGATGGAGGCATGGGGAGAGAGGGATGGAGGCATGGGGAGAGAGGGATGGAGGCATGGGGAGAGAGGGATGGAGGCATGGGGAGAGAGGGATGGAGGCATGGGGAGAGAGGGATGGAGGCATGGGGAGAGAGGGATGGAGGCATGGGGAGAGAGGGATGGAGGCATGGGGAGAGAGGGATGGAGGCATGGGGAGAGAGGGATGGAGGCATGGGGAGAGAGGGATGGAGGCATGGGGAGAGAGGGATGGAGGCATGGGGAGAGAGGGATGGAGGGAGGTGGAGAAAGTCACTGTGGAGCGAGTTAACCAAGCCATCATTTCTCACTGATATCCGTTAAAGCGGAATAAACCATGTGTCCTTTAAAGCGGAAGGGGCCTGTAGAGGTCGTTGAGCTTACGTAGTGCTGGGAGTGCTGAGATGCCTTTTGGGTCAACTCAAAAGTCACCGTGAACAGCAGGGTGAACAGGTTACAGGGCGTATGGAGGATGAACAAGCATACAGGTATTTGAGCTTCTCAAATGATTTTTGAGGCGCCTCAAAAGGCGTATGGAGGATGAACGAGCATACAGGTCTTTGAGCTTCTTAAGTGCCGAGATGACAGATGGGAAGGCCCCTGTGAGCCCGCTCTTGCTGAACGATCTGCCATGCCACATGGCGTGGGGGGGAGGGGCAGGTGGGAAGGGGGGGATCACGATCCGAGCGGAAGGGGGTGAGGTTTAAGAAGTTTGCTGAAAAGGCCCAGCGGCTGCTGTTCAGAATACTTTTCTGCTTTTAAGTCGACTCAAAAGCACACGGGATGGGGGGGATCACGATCCAAGCGGAAGGGGATGCGGCTTCTTAAGCACAGCCGCTGAGCTTAACAAGGTTGCTGAGAAGGCCCAACTGTTGCTCGCTCTTCAAAATACTTTTCAAAGCAAACGAGATAGGGAGCACTGAAGGGCTGCTCTCTTGAGTCGACTCAAACGTCACATCAGCAGGCGAGGAAGCAAAGGGCTCGAGGGTTACTGTACAGGAGCGTTAGAGAAGTGAGCTGGGTTGTGGACGCTGGCAGACTGGCGATGTCTCCGTTCGCAGCTCTGGCTTGATGCACGTGGAGGGGGGGGAGGGGGGGAGGACGGGGGGCAGGCAGAGGGGTCGGGGGAGGGATGTAAGGGCTGGAAAGAGGGGCGGCAGAGGGGCAAGGGGGGATGGACGGATGTACAACAGAAGCGTTAGGGACGTGAGTTGGGGGTCGTGGGGTCTGGCTGGGAGACTGGCAATGTCGCCGTTTGCAGCTCTGGCTTGATGCACGGGGGGGCAAGAAGACAAGTAAGCTGCAGGTATCCTGCTTGCTCAGTGAATCCGAGCCTTCAATGATCCGTTACAGTCACAGTGGTCATAAACTTGGCGCCATGCACATGCACTGCACTGCACCCACACTCACAGTGATAGTAACGCTGTCAAGTCACCAAGCGCGGAAGGAATCGTCCCGATTGCATCGTACAGCGATCTGCATGGGTTGCGGGGGGGGGGGGAGTGCCAGACCAGACAACACCAGCTATTAGTGGACGAGACATGCACAGAAGCAAGCAACATCGGAGAAGAAAAACTACTCTAGCCGCATGATGGGCATTGAGACATAAACAGTGATGATTCACTCACAGCGAGCTGGTACCCCGCTCCCCAGGGTGTCAGAGTCAGCCTTTAGACCAGCGAGCAGACCGACCAGGTTTTGAGGCTGACACACTCACACAGAAACCATGTTCCCCGGGGTCGCAGCCCGCTCCAGAGAGCAGGGAGTAATCCGACCGGCTTCTGAGGCGACTTTTGAGGCGCCTCAAAAGTCACCAGAGAGCAGGGAGTAATCCGACCGGCTTCTGAGGCGACTTTTGAGGCGCCTCAAAAGTCACCAGAGAGCAGGGAGTAATCCGACCGGCTTCTGAGGCGACTTTTGAGGCGCCTCAAAAGTCACCAGAGAGCAGGGAGTAATCCGACCGGCTTCTGAGGCGACTTTTGAGGCGCCTCAAAAGTCACCAGAGAGCAGGGAGTAATCCGACCGGCTTCTGAGGCGACTTTTGAGGCCCTCAAAAGTCACCAGAGAGCAGGGAGTAATCCGACCGGCTTCTGAGGCGACTTTTGAGGCGCCTCAAAAGTCACCAGAGAGCAGGGAGTAATCCGACCGGCTTCTGAGGCGACTTTTGAGGCGCCTCAAAAGTCACCAGAGAGCAGGGAGTAATCCGACCGGCTTCTGAGGCGACTTTTGAGGCGCCTCAAAAGTCACCAGAGAGCAGGGAGTAATCCGACCGGCTTCTGAGGCGACTTTTGAGGCGCCTCAAAAGTCACCAGAGAGCAGGGAGTAATCCGACCGGCTTCTGAGGCGACTTTTGAGGCGCCTCAAAAGTCACCAGAGAGCAGGGAGTAATCCGACCGGCTTCTGAGGCGACTTTTGAGGCGCCTCAAAAGTCACCAGAGAGCAGGGAGTAATCCGACCGGCTTCTGAGGCGTTTAAAGAAGATCATATGAGATGGAAAGCTGACACCCTCACTCACAGCGATACAACGTTCCCCAGGGAATCGCAACCTGTCTTTTGAGCCGACTCAGAAGTCACCACGTTTTCATGATCGGTACTGAGGCATACACAGTGGTACACTCACAGCGATACAACGTTCCCCAGGGAATCGCAGCCTGTCTTTTGAGCCGACTCAGAAGTCACCACGTTTTCATGATCGGTACTGAGGCATACACAGTGGTACACTCACAGCGATACAACGTTCCCCAGGGAATCGCAGCCCGCCCCAAAGAGCAGGGAGCAATCCGATCCGATTGGCTTCTGAGGCATTCTAAGGGGATATTGTGAATGGAAAGCTGACACCCTCACTCACAGCGATACAACGTTCCCCAGGGAATCGCAGCCCGCCCCAAAGAGCAGGGAGCAATCCGATCGGCTGGTCCAGAACGCCTTAGGACTGCGACTAGGATACAGGAAATCTAGCCCGTCTCTTATCGAAACCAGAGCCAGCCCTGTTAAGGGGATGGAGGAAAGTGAAGGAACGGCAAAGGGGTTCATTTTGGGAATGCCGTTTCACATACGTTGGTTCTGTGCACGCTTTGGAAGTTCGGACAACTGGGAACAAATGCAGTGCAGTAGTGGAGTAACTGTTAGCGCGTTTCTTCTGTAGCGAGTACATCATAACCCCAGTTCAAGTCCAGATAAGTAAGTACACTGCGGGTAGGGCGCGGCAACGGCAGCAGCACAAGATTGCCTGTTGCAAGAGTGCTTATGAGTCGACTCAAAACGCGCAAGACTGAAGATTAAGTACGTACATTGTGGGTAGAGCACGGCAACAGCAGCGGCGCAAGGCTGCCTGTTGCAAGAAGGAAGCAGCAGCACCAGCAGCGGCAACAGCAGGCAGGTTCGGAGCATGCCACGTGGCAACCGGCAGGGAGAGAAAGTCCCTCTGGAGTGCATCCCGGTATAGCGTGTCTCGCTAGAGTGCGGCATTTCCCTAGAGTCCTTCCCGCTGCAACGTGCTCCGCTAGAGCGCATAGTAGAGCTGGAGTTTGTCCCGCTAAAGTGTGTTCCACTACAGAATCTCCTGCTACAATGCAACTTGAGAGAGTTTAAACCTACTTATTTCCCTAAGAGCCGCTGAGTCAACTCCTCTCGCTCCTCGCGGCCTGGACATTTCGAGAGAAACACATTTCCTCTTCGTCCCTGATCGATTCTCTCGGCTAATCGGTTTCCCTCGAGCCCCGTCCTGAACAATTTTTCTAACAGAGCCCCGTTAACCCGGTCCTCGAACCCGGTCCTCGAACCCGGTCCTCGAAACTACCGTCGTGTTACCCACTACTGCCCTCGTTCCTGCAACGAATTCGGAAAGCGCGAGCTCTGGCTTCGAGCGAGCCGACCACCATAACCCCAGTCGAATACTACTAGGAAGGGCTGGCGGCGTGAAGAGGGAGCGTCGAAAGAAGCGTTGCAAGAGTAGTGGTGCTATGTCAACAACAAAAAGAAGCGTTCCACGAATGGCGTCATGTCATGATGGCTTTCATAGTGGTACAGTACACGCGGATAGCAACAGTTACAAACGCGTGGAACGCTAGCGGTGGAAACGCGGCGGAAAGCAAGCACTGCTGCTTAGTATGAATGCAAAAGCCACGTGGGGATAAGTGGAGTGGAGTGGAATCAGCGAGTGTCCCGCTGCAAGAAGTGGAGCTTTGATTCCGGGTCGCTACAGACCTCCTCGGTTTAAGGTAAGGCTCGAAACGTCTCATTTCATAAAATCCATAGTATTTTATTACGTGTTGCTGTACCCTAGCTGGTTTGGAATGAGGTTATCTCGAGGCGTATAATCCCAAACAGGTAGCCTGCTGGCGGAGTATGGCGCCTGCTGGTGGAGCAGAAATTGGCTGTGCCCTGCTCACGATTCACAAATCAACTTTTCTGGTCAGCAGGTGGTGCCAGGGGCCCAGGGTAGAGTTGCTACTAGGGCAGCTGCCAAAATAAATCGAAGGCAACTACAGTTTGTATTCCTGCCACTGTAGTTTAGCTTGAAGTTGCATGAACCACAATCTACACCACCCACAAGTTTGTGCGAAAAAAGATATGCGATCACTTTTGTGGTCCCGAGTTCCCAGATATTCCCGAATGTTGTTGGTCGGACCAAGGAGCTGAGTGAGAAAATCGCCGCCAGGTTGTCCCTCCATAGGGATTCCATCGCTGACAGCCATGGCTACTAGTACTAATATGATGGCATTCCGAGACTACATGACGTCTTTCCGTCTTGGCTGGATAGGAGGAAGGAGCCTCTGTCCTCCAAACCCCGGCTTCGGGGCTCTGTCTTGGAGTCTCTTCTCTAGCCATTCCCTCGCTGGTGTAGGGCGAAGCAACGAGAGAGCATTTTGCCAGTGAAACCCCACAAGAGTCGACATCGCTATTACGTTCTCCCCCTTCGCTTCATTTCCGATTCTCGGCTCGTTTCTTCGAACAGGACGCTCCATTCATCCCAACGTTCAGGATTCTGCACTACCGCGTCAGTTCTCAACGCGTACAATCAACCTCCCCCAGAAATCCGCACATTCTCCGCTTAGTCAGGTCGGGAAAATGCGCGCTGGACCTAATAATCGCTTTTCGCCGGCTTCACTCGATAAATTTTGAGTAGTTCCACGCGAAATACCCTGGAAATGGCGAGCGCCGAGCGCCGTAACCACGCCACCCTTTACCTGTGGCTCGTCTTGCTGCTGTCGCTGATTGTACCGCGGAATACAGCATCTGCTCAAGCTGTCAACGAAACCGACTGTACGTTATCTGGTTACCAGCCAAGTTCGTCGTGATGTTTGTGGCTCGTGTTTCTGCTGTCGGTGACTATACCGCAGAGTACAGCATTTGCTGTAGCCGTCATTTGAACAGAATGTAACAACCATGTTACCTCCGCGCCATGCTTTCCCGTACCATGCTTTTCAATGCGTCTTGCCAACGAAAGAAAGATTTTCCTTCCCATACTCACTGAACTCAACTTCACCCACCTTGAGCGCACATTCGCCGGTCTCTTTCCCTACACTCCACTCCCTTACCGCCCACGTGACACGTCACGTCCACCTGCCTTTCCAGGGAAGACTCTCCTTCGCTTCCTCAACAACCTCAACTTCACCAACCCTGGCCGCAACCCCAAGGCTCGTTAGAGGCGCCTCATAGCCCCGAGGCTTACTATAAAACGGCGTCCCTTGTGCCGCCATGCGCGTCCATGCAGGGACGACCCTCCTTCGCATCCGCAACGACCTCAAATTCACCAACCCTGGCCGCAGCCCCAAGGCGAACTGGAAGAGCTTATTGCGAGATGTCATTCCGTCCCATGTGTGTCCCCTCCCCGCCATGCTTTTCCATCCCTGTTCCCAATTTTTGAGTCGACTAAAAGTTTTTGAGTCGATTTTTGAGTCGACTAAAAGTTTTTGAGTCGATTTTTGAGTCGAATCAAGAATAGAGATGTCATTCCGTCGCATGTGTGTCCCCGCCATGCATTTCCATCCCTGTGTTACCAACCCAATGCAGGGACGACCCTCCTTCGCATCCTCAACAACCTCAACTTCACCCACCTTCAGCACATGCCCGCCTCTCTCTCAACCCACACTCCACTCCCTTACCACCCTTCCTTACCCGCCCTGCCCTTCCAGGGAAGACCCTCCTTCGCATCCGCAACGACCTCAACTTCACCAACCCTGGCCGCAGTCCCAAGGCGTACTGGAAGAGCGGGAGGAACTGCGAGGAGCTCTTCGGCGTGATATGCGATGACCTTGGATACGTGGTTGCGCTGTGAGTGCTCTCAATGGGGTGCACGTGTGTGTGCGTGCGCGTGCGCGCACGTGTGTATGTGTGTGCGCGAGCACGCGCGCGTGTGTGTGGGTGTGCGAGCGTGTGTGATTTTGGCATTATTTGCGATGACCTCCGATACATGGTTGTGCTGTGAGGGCTCTCTTGATGGGGTGTGTTCCGTGCTCCTACCCGTGTCCAACCACCCTGGTCTCCCACCCTGCAGCACTCTGTATGGGGTCAACGGCTCTCTTCCCAACGCCATTGGCGAACTGCCCTCCCTCGCCTTCCTGTCAGTGCTCTCACCTTTGGCTCTCTCCGTTGTGCTCTCTCCTTTGGCTCTCTCCGTTGTGCTCTCTCCTTTGGCTCTCTCCGTTGTGCTCTCTCCTTTGGCTCTCTCCGTTGTGCTCTCTCCTTTGGCTCTCTCCGTTGTGCTCTCTCCTTTGGATCTCTCCGTTGTGCTCTCTCCTTTGGATCTCTCCGTTGTGCTCTCTCCTTTGGCTCTCTCCGTTGTGCTCTCTCCTTTGGATCTCTCCTTTGGATCTCTCCTTTGGCTCTCTCCCCTCCCAAATCTATCCGGCTCTAGTCTCCCTGCCGTCACTTCCCTGTCGCTTTCTCTATTCCCGCCCCCTTTTCACTCTCAAATGCACAAGTGAACTTCTGAAAGTGGGGAGTCTACTTTTGAGGCGCCTCAAAAATAGAATTTTCACTCTCAAACGCACAAGTGAACTTCTGAAAGTGCATAGGGGACGGGACAAGAGAATCTCCCCCTGTGAAATACCCTCCGTGTCGTTCCTGCCAGAGCACTCTCTCCCTCCATCTCTTCCTGCCTCTGCCGTCCCCCCACCCTGTCTCTCCTGTAACCATCTCATCCTCTTTCCTTTCCTCCCCCCTCTCTTCCACACCATGGTTGCAGGCAACACGCTCACATCCTTCGTTGTATTGAGAAGAACTGAACGGCCCTATGTCTGGGCTGACCCGCTGTCTCCCCCGTCTCCCCCCTTCTCGCCCTCACTCCCCCTTCCCTCTCTCCCCCTCTCTTCCCCTCTCTCCCTGACCCACCAGGTCTGCTGGCAACAATGTTACTTCCGTCCCTTCCACCCTCTCGCTACTCAGCGCCACACTCACCTCCCTGTAATGTCACACTTCTTACACTCACCTCCCTGGAGGGTCACACCTCACACTTCTCACCTCCCTGGATGGTCCCACCTCTCGCACTTCTCACCTTCCTGTAGGGTCACACCCCTCACACTCACCTCCGTGTAGAATCACACCTCTCACCCTCACCTCCCTGTATTGTCACACTTCCCACAAATCTCTCCTCCCTGGGGAATCCCCGTGTATCTATTCCTGTTCATCCAGTCAGCATCACTGCCTTCTCGCCTTCTCGCCTTCTCGCCTTCCACCAACTCCATCTCTCAAACCCCCTCTGGCCAACCCCCTCGAGATTTTTGAGTCGACTCAAAAAACGCCTTCCACCAACTCCAACTCTCAACTCCCTCTGGTCAACCCCTCCCTTTGATACCCCCCCCCCCCCTCCCCCTTTCCCTCCCCTCCCCTCCAGCTATCTGAGCAACAACCAGATCTCGGGGACATTCCCTCGCGGAATCACATCGCTGACAGCACTGCAGCAGCTGTAAGCAGCACCTCAGGCGTCATGGACTCATGGCTGATGTATCTCCACTCCATGCTTGTTGCCATGCCAAGTTTTTTGAGGCGCCTCAAAAATATTTCTCCATGCTTGTTGCCATGCGAAGTTTGAGTCCGCTCATGGCATTCCCATCCACCATGATGACCATACTCCTATGCACTACTTTTGAGTCGGCTCAAATGCCGAACCAAGATCTCATCTCCATCCGCTCATGCCTAATTTCCATCCACCATGACCATACTCCCATGCACTATTCTCCCGTCCACCATACTCCTATCCGCTACACTCCCGTTCACATACTTCCCTTCACCATAATCGCACTTGCTATGCCGCCCCATCCCATCCACGTGCGTCCAATCCCTATGCCTCAGCAACATAGCACAGAACAGGCTCACTGGCAGCATAGTTTTGTTGTCAAGAACACTCCCACTTGTGATGCTCCCTCTTACTATGCTCCCCCACACCATCCACGTGCTTCCTTCCCCATGCCTCTCAGCAACATAGCACAGAACAGGCTCACCGGCAGCATACCTGTCGGCATCTCCCGCCTCTCATGCCTCACCTTTCTGTAAGAAACGGCTACTGTCGAACTCAACTCCCTCTGATCCTCCCATCTCCCACCTCTCATGCTGCACCTTTCTGTACGACGGGCTGCCTGTGAAATGCTTTTGAGTCGACTCAAAAGCACCTCTCATGCCTCACCTGTCTGTAAGGGCTGCCTGTGAAATCGTTCACACTCTCACGTCGCTTTCTGTTCGTCCAACCTCCCGACCCGCTTTCCTCCCATCCCTCCTCCTTCTCCCTTGGCTCTCATCATCCATCCGTCTCCCTACCCCACTATGTTATTCTCACACACACCGCCTCGTCTCACCTCCAGCCGAATGGCTGGTAATCGCCTGGAGGGACCAATCCCATCACCAATATCGACTGGTTATTTTGTGCACCTCATAAGCAGACCCCTTCCCTCCGTACTCACTTCTGCCCGTGTCCTTTCCCCTTTTCTCTCATCCTCACGCCTCTCCTCTCCAGCCGAATGGATGGTAACCGCTTGGAGGGCCCAATCCCTTCGCAGATTTCAACCATGGCTGCTCTCTCTTACCTGTGAGTGATGCTTGAGACGCCTCAAAGAACCGCTTTGTACCTGTGAGTAATGCTTGAGACGTGTCAAAGAACCGCTTTGTACCTGTGAGTAATGCTTGAGATGCATCAAAGAATCGCTTTGCACATGTGAATGATGCTTGAGACGCCTCAAAGAACCGCTTTGTACCTGTGAGTAATGCTTGAGACGCCTCAAAGAATCGCTTGCACATGTGAGTGATGCTTGAGACGCCTCAAAGAACCGCTTGGCACCTGTGAGTGATCCTTGAGACGCCTCAAAGAACCGCTTTGTACCTGTGAGTTATGTTCATGCTTCACGATGAGGTGCCTCGAAGCTGAGGCCGCTTGGAGGGCCCAATCTCATCGCAGATTTCAACCATGACTGCCCTCTCTTACCTGTGAGTGAGAAGTGTCTTTGAGACGTCCCAGAATTAGTCCCTTACATCTGAGCAGTGCTATTTAAGGCGCCTCAAAACAGGCAGGTATTTTCTATGGGCTCTTGCACCCTCCCCCGATACTCTCCTTCCGCTTTTCCCTAATGCGTGTTTCCTGCCTTAAGTTTCCCTCTCGTTCTCCATTCTTGGCCATCTCCTGTCTTTCCGTCTCCTGTCTTTCAATCTCCTGCTTTCCCTCACCTAACTTGCCCTCTCCTGCATTTTCCACGCCTGTTGTCAGCTCATTACGGAACAATCAGCTCTCAGGGTCTATTCCAGCCTCAATCTCTCGCGTGCAGGCCCTGCAACTCATGTGAGAAATGGACCACTTGAGCCTTCCCAGAAAACTTTTTGCTAGAATGTTCGGATATCCTAAATGGATTCTCGCAAGCAAGTGACGTCCCTCCCTCCCCTCGCCTGCCCCCAGTGACTTCCGCAACAACCCTCTTGCCTGCCTACTCCGCTCTCCCCCCTTACCACTGTGTGTAATGAGTCGATTTTTGATTCGACTAAAAAATCGACTCATTCCGCAACAACCCTCTTGCCTGCCTACTCCGCTCTCCCCCCTTACCACTGTTTTCCCCCCCCACTACCGCCCCGTGATAGAACCCCGCCACTACCACTGTTTTGAGGCGCCTCAAAACTCTTCCCCCCCACTACCGCCGCCCCTCCCCTCGCCTGCCCCCAGTGACCTCCGCTGCAACTCTCTCACCGGCTCCATCCTATCTGATTTCGGGGTTCTCTCCAAGCCTTTTTGGTTTACCTCCCCCCTCCATGTTCCCTATAACCCCCCACTACCGCCCCTCCCCTCGCCTGCCTCCAGTGACCTCCGCAGCAACTCTCTCACTGGCTCAATCGCATCGGGTCACTCTCCAAGCTCATTCAAGTCACTCCCCCCCCCACGACCTCCTATACCCCCCACTACCATCCCCCCACCCCCCCTCCTCCTGCCCCCAGTGACCTCCGCAGCAGCTCTCTCACCGGCTCAATCGCATCGGGTCACTCTCCAAGCTCATCCGAGCCACTCCCCTCTCCACGGCTTTCTGTACCTCCACCCCCGTCCTCCCCTCCCCATCCCCGTCCCTCTCCTCACCATCCCCCCCCAGTGACCTCCGCAACAACTCTCTCACCGGCTCAATCCCATCCGAGATCGGGTCACTCTCCAAGCTCATTCAAGTCACTCCCCCCCCCCCACGGCCTCCTATACCCCCCACTACCGTCTCCCCTCCCTCCCCCCCTTCCTGCCCCCAGTGACCTCCGCAACAACTCTCTCACCGGCTCAATCCCATCCGAGATCGGGTCACTCTCCAAGCTCATTCAAGTCACTCCCCCCCCCACGGCCTCCTATACCCCCCACTACCGTCTCCCCTCCCTCCCCCCCTTCCTGCCCCCAGTGACCTCCGCAACAACTCTCTCACCGGCTCAATCCCATCCGAGATCGGATCACTCTCCAAGCTCATTTGGTTGTGAGTTCCCGTTTTCCTTCGATCATGGTACCCGCCGCCAAGTATTCATAACAACACTGTAGAAAATATATTTGTGTTACTTTGTGACCTATACTCACTCACTCACACATGGACGACTGAGGATGGCTACTATCTGCTTCCCCTATATCTTCAGATGGTAGTCTACATCTGCAAGACTGCAACCTCCCCTCTTGACTTCTGAGTCGACTCAAAAGTCACAACTAAGGATGGCTTTAAGCTAGTACCTGCTTCCCCTCCCCTATATCCTCAGCTATGTTGGCATAAACGCGTTTCCGCGTTTTTGCGTTTCGTTTGGAACGCTTGCGTTCAGGACGCAAAACGTAGGATTTCAGGCTTCAAATACGCTTGGAAAACGCCTGCCCGGGCAGGCGGAAATTTTTGCCCGGGCAGGGGATATAGGGGGAGTGGGGGGGAGGGGGAGGAGAGGGGTGAGGAGGGGACAGCAGAAATTATCTTTTCACATTAACATCACGCTAAGGACACACATTCACAGCCACATCTCTCGACTACCTATCTCCTCTCCATCATCTATGCCTCTTCCATCCGACCTTCTACATCTCCCCTACTCATTCTCATCCTCCATCACATTATCTTCCCCCTCCGCCGCCACATCTCCTGACTACCTATCTTCTCTCCATCATCTATGCCTCCTCCATCCGACCTTGTACATCTATCCTACTCATACTCATCCTCAAGCACATCATCTTCCCCCTCCTCCGCCTCCTCCTCGAGCACATTGTATCCCTCCGGCATGGGGGGCTCGGGGATGTTCCCAGCAACAACCCCAAGCCCCTCCTCCTTCTTGTACCAGTTGTGGACCACATGCCAGTTGTGGGCCACGTACACCAAATCCCGGCACTTCTCCGACCCCAAGCGGTTGCGCTTGGCGGTGTGGACTGAGTCCCACACCGCCCAATTGCGCTCGCATGCGGCTGCAGAGACGGCCTGTGTGAGGACACGGCAAGCGAGGGCGGTGAGGGCGGGATGGTCGGTGCCATGCCAAGTCCACCACCGCACCATGTCCATCTCTCCCGCCTTCACCAACTCACGGTCAGCGATTGCCTCGGCAAGGCCAAAGCTGCCGCGCATGGTGAAGAAGTCGGTGAGGCCGTCCTGAAGCACCACTGATTCCTTCACCGTCCTCCCATTCGGGAGGGTGACCATGCGCCGGTCGAAGTGGGTGGAGAGGAACTTTTTCAAAACAGTGGTGCACTCCTTATCCTTGCGGAAGATTCCCTCTGTTTGGTTGGCCGGATTGAGCATCCGGCCAACCACGTGCAAGGGGCAAGCCAAGTCTTGATCCCACCTCTTCTTCACCAACCCCCGGATCTCTTCCGCCTCGTCCTCGTTCAGGAACTCCTCCCCATGCTTGTCGAGCATGTCATCCATGTCCACAGTGAGTTGCAACATGAGGTCGTAAATCTTACCCATCATTCCCTTCGCCGACGAATCCGTGGCCCGCATCACCATAAATGGCAGCTGCATGAGGTGGGTGAAAGCTTCAGCCACATTCCACCACTCACCATCCATGACCGCCGTGCTAAACACCTCTGCCGCTGCCCTCCTCGCCCCTGCAGCAGCAAAATCCTTCCACTCGTTGCTCAGGACGAGTTGCGTCAAGGCCCGCCGCACCTCAGTCAAGCGCCCCACCGCTATGTAGGTGGTCCCGAAGCGAGTACCGGCCGGCCGCAAAACTTGTTTCGTCTTTCCCCCATCCACCTTGCAGTTGCGCATGAAGTTCCGCGTGAACTGATGTTTGCGGACGAAGGCGATGATGTAATCTGCCTTCTCCACCACTGCCCGCGCCCACGCCATCTTCCCAATGTCCTCCATGAGGAGGTCCAAAACATGCGTGGCGCACGGGACCTTCTCAATGTGGGGAAATTCTGCCATCAACTCCCTGCACGCCGCGCCGTAATTGCTGCCGCCGTCGGTGCAGAACGCAACGATGTTTTCCGGGCCCACGCGCTGCACGATCGGGCGGAGGATGCTCGCGATGTACCCGCCCGTTTTGAACTCCATGTTCGTATCGATCGACTCCACAAACACTGCCCCACTGTCGTTGATGAGAAGTATGTTTGCCTGCGGCCTCCCGTTCACATCAGTCATCATGTCGCTGGCTAGGGTTACGCCATCCCTCTCCCAGCTGGCGGCGATGGGGCCAAGCGCTGTCTCCACACGCGTGCGGCATGTCTGCAGCCCCGCACCTCCTATGTACCGCCGCTTGGGGGCAACATAGGAAGCGCCTGCACGACCAATGCAGGAGATGGCGTTGGTGAAGATGGGGTTGTCCGCGATGTGCTCTGGCAGACGAAGAGCCGCGAACATGAGGCATATCGCCTCATCCGCAGCTTTCCGATTGCACGTGGGCTCATCACCGAAAAAATCGGTCATGCGGCCTCTCATCCCGTCGCCGCCGACAGCTTGCAGCGCCAAGGACTCTGCACGACGCCTGCAGTCCCTCGACTCATTGTTTCGCTCCTGATGCGCCTTGACCTCGTCACGAGCTTTCTTAGGAACGGCGGGGCAGAGGTGGACGCCACGACGCTTCATCCCGTTCCACTCCGTCAAATGCTGTGCGGCGCGCGTCGTGCCACCAACGAATGTCGCGGGACAGTAGTGACACTTTCGCGACTCTGTCAGCTTACCGTCCGCTGCCACACCCGTCCTAAAGTGCTTGAATATCGCATGGTCGGGCTGTTCGACGAACGTGGTGACACCGGTGGAACCCTCGCCCTCATCCGATTGAGGAGCATGTACTGGCGATGAGGAGGACGCCATGTTAGAGGCTGGAAATCGGATAGGTTAGCTGCTGGAATCTAAAACGTAAGGGTAGGAGTAGATCGTGGCTGTGCATGGAAGGTGAGCCAAGTTCTCCTCTACATATAGATCTGGATCTAGTAAGGGGGAATGGGTTGGGAATTCAAACACGTTGGGAAAAGGGAGGGAGAGACTGACAAGTTTATGTGTCGCTGTGAAAATTTTCGCGAATGTGCAACGCGCGAAATGTGCTGTCGATTCGCGACGCGCGGCGAAATGCAATTTCGATTTCTGATATCGCGCGTTTTTTTTTTGCGTTTTTTGCTTCGGTCAGCCCGGTAAAATTCCGCGGTGCGTTCGAGCGTTTTGATGCGTTTTTGAGTATTGCGTTAAAACGTTTGCGTTTAAACTCAAAACGCAAACTTGCAAATGCGTTTTTGTCAACCTAGATCCTCAGATGGTAGTCTACATCTGCAACCTCCCCTCTTGACTTCTGAGTCGACTCAAAAGTCACAACTAAGGATGGCTTTAAGCTAGTACCTGCTTCCCCTCCCCTATATCCTCAGATGGTAGTCTACATCTGCAACCTCCCCTCTTGACTTCTGAGTCGACTCAAAAGTCACAACTAAGGATGGCTTTAAGCTAGTACCTGCTTCCCCTCCCCTATATCCTCAGATGGTAGTCTACATCTGCAACCTCCCCTCTTGACTTCTGAGTCGACTCAAAAGTCACAACTAAGGATGGCTTTAAGCTAGTACCTGCTTCCCCTCCCCTATATCCTCAGATGGTAGTCTACATCTGCAACCTCCCCTCTTGACTCATGAGTCGACTCAAAAGTCACAACTAAGGATGGCTTTAAGCTAGTACCTGCTTCCCCTCCCCTATATCTTCAGATGGTAGTCTACATCTGCAACCTCCCCTCTTGACTTCTGAGTCGACTCAAAAGTCACAACTAAGGATGGCTTTAAGCTAGTACCTGCTTCCCCTCCCCTATATCCTCAGATGGTAGTCTACATCTGCAACCGTCCCTCTTGCGTCCCTATATCGTGATCGTAACTGTTCCGGTGTGGATCATCCATCTGCGACCCATCAGGTACCTGAGCAACAATAAAGTGTCAGGGTCTCTGCCATCCACCATGGGCAAACTCACGCGCCTCAGATACTGGTAAGTCTCCTCCTCTCCCATCCGTGGTTAAGTAGGTTAGTATTGAGACGTCTCAAAATTAACTTCAAAGTGTCTGTCAGGGTCTCTGCCATCCACTATGGGCAAATTCAGTCGCCTCAAGTACTTGTAGTACGTCTCCACTCCCACTCCCATCCGTGGTTAAGTAGGTTAGTATTGAGACGTCTCAAAACTAACTTCAAAGTGTCTGGCAGGGTCTCTCTCTGCCATCCACTATGGGCAAATTCACTCGCCTCAAATACTTGTACGTCTTTTGAGGCGCCTCAAGTACTTGTACGTCTTTTGAGGCGCCTCAAGTACTTGTACGTCTTTTGAGGCGCCTCAAGTACTTGTACGTCTTTTGAGGCGCCTCAAGTACTTGTACGTCTTTTGAGGCGCCTCAAAACTTGTACGTCTTTTGAGGCACCTCAAGTACTTGTACGTCTTTTGAGGCGCCTCAAAACTTGTACGTCTTTTGAGGCGCCTCAAAACTTGTACGTCTTTTGAGGCGCCTCAAGTACTTGTACGTCTTTTGAGGCGCCTCAAGTACTTGTACGTCTTTTGAGGCGCCTCAAGTACTTGTACGTCTTTTGAGGCGCCTCAAAACTTGTACGTCTTTTGAGGCGCCTCAAAACTTGTACGTCTTTTGAGGCGAGACGATTTTTGAGGCGCCTTTTGAGGCGAGACGATTTTTGAGGCGCCTCAAAAAAAGTACTTGTACGTCTCCACTCCCACTCCCATCCCCCCCGCACCCCCCTCCTCAATCGGTCCTTCATATTAGATAGGCACTATAGGCTACATTGAGGGTGCAACCAAGGCAAGGCACACGGTAGATCCCTAAGGGGAGCCTTACTAAGGGAGCTCCTCCTCGGTCTCTAGGGGTTTGGCAGCAGGTCTCCAGCTCGTAAGGGCTCAGAGGGGTCTCCTATCTTCTAGGTTCCCTACTCTCCTCTGCTTTCTCCTGCCCAATTCCTTCCTTCCCTTTCTCTTCATCCTCCCCTTTTCGCCCTCCAGTCTCTCCCCATAGCATTGCTTGCGTCACTCGCTCCCCTATCACTCCGACCATCACCGTTTTGTGTCCAAAAACATACCCCCTTCCCCCTTCCCCCTTCCCCCTTCCCCCCTTCCCCCTTCCCCCTTCCCCCTTCCCCCTTCCCCCTTCCCCCTTCCCCCTTCCATTCCCCTCCTTGTTTTCTTCTCTTTCCCTCCCTTATCTCTCTCCTGTGCTGCAGTTTTGCGGATAGCAATTCCCTCACAGGCTCTATCCCGGGCGCCGTCTCCAGTCTCATCTCCCTCAGCTACCTGTGCGTCAACCCTCCCCCTCCCTTGTACCAAGTTTCTATCTTTTTTTCCTCAGCTGCTATTTAGACATTTCTCCCACTTTTCCTGCTACTGTATCCATCTTTATACGGGTGTGAGAAAGCACATGCCTCTTGTTCACCCACTCTGTGTTTTTTCAGGCGATTTCAAAAAGTCTCATGCCCACCCTTCTCATCCCGGGGTGATCCTGAGAATTTTTAATGGCACCTGCACTGTGTCTCACGCTCCCCCTCTCATCCCACCAGCTCTGCCAGCAGCAACCAGCTCTCAGGCTCCCTCCCTGCAGGCATCACTGTTTTACCCAATCTCAGCTTTCTCAGTGTCTTTCTCACCGCATTCAACCCTCCCCAACCTCTCCCATCCACATACCATCAGCACTGCCAGCGGCAACCAGCTTCAGGCTCCCTCCCTGCAGGCAACACCGCCCTATCCCAACTCGGCTATCTCCATGTCATTCTCAACGCATCCAACCCTCTCCAACCTCTGGCTCCCCGCATCCCACTCGCCAGCTCTGCCAGCGGCAACCAGCTCTCAGGCTCCCTCCCTGCAGGCATCACCGCCCTATCCAAGCTCGGATTCCTGTGAGCCCCTCTCAGGGTTCCCCCCTTTCGTTGCTCTACTACCTCTGCTATACTCGGCTTCTTGCAAGCTCTTTGCGCTTCTACTACCTCTGCTATACTCGGCTTCTTGCAAGCTCTTTGCGCTTCTACTACCTCTGCTATACTCAGCTTCTTGCAAGCTCTTTGCGCTTCTACTACCTCTGCTATACTCGGCTTCTTGCAAGCTCTTTGCGCTTCTACTACCTCTGCTATACTCGGCTTCTTGCAAGCTCTTTGCGCTTCTACTACCTCTGCTATACTCGGCTTCGTGCAAGCTCTTTGCAACCTAGAACTGTCAATGAATTTCAGTTGGAAACGACTCGTTCACACTACTTCACTCGCCTCCTCCCCCTAACCCCCCAAAATGGATATGGGAGCATTTCTGCTTTTCTGTTTTGCAAGCAAGCATCCACTGCTCCGCTCTCGCACTCCCTCGTCAGGGACCTTGCCCCCTTGTTCTCCCTCTTTTCCAGTCTCCAATCCTCCCCGTCCCCGCCCCAATCGTCCCTTTCCCGTTCATCCAAACCCCCCCTGCCGCCCTCGCAGGCAGCTGGACCACAATGCTCTCTCCGGCTCCCTGCCAGAGAAGATGACTTCGCTCAACAACATGGTGTACCTGTATGTGCATATTTGAGAATTCTAAAAAAATATCTCGCATGGTGTACCTGTATGTATGCGCATCTATGGCAGTAGCCAGGCTTTTATCATGTCTACAATTTATCTCAATGCTCTCTCCGGCTCCCTACCAGAGATGATGACTTCGCTGGTGTTCCTGTACGTGCGATTATGTTAATAAGTCAACTCAAGAAGTGGCTTATTTATGAGTCGCCTCCCCACTTCACTCCCCATTCTCCTCCCCCTTTCAATCCCCGTTTTCCTCCCCTTCTCATCCCTCCTCACTTCCCCGTTCCCACATCTCACTCCCCTCTCCCCTCCCAGCGACCTCTCTTACAACGCTCTCTCTGGCACGCTGCCTTCTTTCTGCAGCCATGCCATGGGCAATCTCCACACCGTGTGAGCATGCGGGGGTTTGCTTGGTTACGTTGCTTAAGCCGCCTCAAACGAACGCTCTCTCTCTCGGGCACGCTGCCTCCTTTCTGCAGCCATGCCATGGGCAATCTCCACACCGTGTGAGACATGAGGAGGCTCGAGGGTTTCTTATGTGGAGCTGATTTTCTAGCAATTCCTCCTCTCAGTGTGCGGTAGTGCTTCCAACGAGTTCTCTGAATAACTGCATTTATGGGACTTTCAACCGTCTAAGTCGATGTAAGATACCCCTCTCCCCCCACCCTCTCTCCATTTCTCCCCGCCCTAGTGCATTGATTTATGCAATGTTGAGTTGACTTATCGGACAGTGCACTCGTGGGGTGGGGACGCTGGTGCTGCTTTATTGTCTTAGTCAAGTCAAGACCGCTCTCCCCCCCACTAACCCCTCGTCTCCCTCCCCCCTCCCCCCTATAGCGACCTATCTGACAATGCATTCATGGGGACGCTGCCTGCTGGCCTTGCAAACTGCACCACCCTCATCAGCCTGTGAGTTAGCGCTTCCCTCCTTGTTCTCCTATTGAGCAATTCTTTACTTTTTTTCTTTCTTTTTTTTAATGAAGTAGCAGAGTGGATGGCAGTCTCACCACCCTCTCCTCCTTACTCTGCCTTCCCCTCTTCATTCCAACCCCTTTTTCTCTTTCCTGTTCTCTTTCCAACGCACTGAGTGGCAGAGTGGATGGCAGTCTCACCAACCTCTCCTCCTCTCTCTGCCTGCCCCTCTCGCAGCGATCTCAGCAACAACGCACTGAGTGGCAGAGTGGATGGCAGTCTCACCAACCTCTCCTCCATCTCCTCGCTGTATGCACCTGTCGCTTCTCAGTCAACTCAGAAACCCCCTCACGTTTGAGGCGCCTGAAACATAGGCTGTGCTGAGGTACCCACTGCTTCTCAGCCAACTCAAAACTGTTTGGCAAAATTTGAATTCGCTCCTCTCACCAACCTCTCCTCCATGATCCATCTCCTCACTGTATATACCCCATTGCTTTTGGATCGGCTGCTTATTACAGTTCTACTTCTTTAGTCGAGACAGAAGCTTTTCCATCTCAAAAATTCCTTTACAGGGTGTTTTTGAGAATTCTCAAAAACACCCTTTTTTTCCCGTGTTCCAACTCCCTCACAGCCCAACCCCACTGCCTCAACCCCTCCTTTTCTACACATCCCTTGCACTTACCCTGCTTCCCCACCACCACCCCCCCTCCCACCATCAACCTATCATGTCTTTTTTTCAAGAATTACTTTTGAGGCGCCTCAAAAATACATTCTCCCATCCCATTCCTCTCCACAGGTCAAACCCCCTCCCTGAGCCTCTCTATCCCTTTCCCTCAGTATTCCAATCAACCCCTCCACTCACCCCCTCCACTCACCCCCTCCACTCACCCCCTCCCTACCCCCCCCACCAGTAACTTGTCTCGCAACTCCTTCCATGGTGCACTTACTTCACTCCCCCCCATGGACCAGATCGCCTCCCTATACCTCCCCAAAACTTCTGTCTGCATTCCCCTCCCTCCCTTTCCCCCACGGGTAACTTATCTCGCAACTACTTCAGTGGAGCACTGCCCTCGCTCCCCTCAACTCAACCGACCAGATCGCTTCTCCAGACCTCTCCTACAACTTGTTCCTGCGCTCTCTTCCCCCCGTCCCCCCCCCATTAGTAACTTATCTCGCAACTTCTTCAGTGGAGCACTCCCCTCGCTCCCCTCCATCGACCAGATTATCTCGCTAGACCTCTCCCACAACTACTTCTACGGGCCCGGCCACATAACAGACAACCAAGGCCGCCCGCTCTGCCAGTCCGCCGCCCAGAACCTCTTCCTGGCCGGCAACTGCGTGGTTTTCAACGCGTCTTTCGCCCCCCTGTGCTCGTCGGAGGTGCAGAGGGATTCAAGTGGGTGCAAGGTGTTCTGCTCAACAAATATGAGTCTGTCTGGACAGCCGCGGGAGAACGCCCAGTGTGGGGGGCTAGGGACGTGTGAAGCTGTGGTTGCAAACGCTGCCCCTGGTGGGAAACTGAGCGGCAGCAGTGGGAGCAGCAGCAGCAGCAGCAGCAGCAGCAGCAAAAGCAGTAGCAAGGGTGGTGGTAACAAGAGTAGCAGCAAGGGTGGGAAACAGAGCAGCAGCGCAGCAGCAGCAGTGGATGGGGGTAGAGTGAACTTTGCGTGCAACTGTATGACGGATATTGCCGTGCCCACTGCAAACGGCATGTCCTGCACTCTCATCAGTAAGTGCTGCTAATTCTGACATGCTAGCTGAAGTCTGTAATTCCACTGGAGGGAAAGTAATAATTGGATGCGCCGTTCTAATCTGGCTGAATCGGATGTCCCCAATGCGAGCAGCATGTCCTCTGCTCTTATCAGTAAGTGCCGCTGTTTTTGGTAGGCTAGCGGGGAAGTCTGTAACCTCGCTTGCAACCTCCGGTTACCATCCCCTGCCCCTCAGTGCAACCTTATTGTGCCCCAGCTCTGCTGTAGCTGCTGCTGTAGTTGCTGATGTAGCTCCTGAAGTCGCGTGTTTTGTTGATTCTGGTTTTTTAATCTGTTTGCCCTTTAAAATTATGTAGGTTTTGGAGTTTTAAGCATGTCTCAAGCCTGTTTCCAAGCCTGCTTTCTGGCCTCCTTTCCTTTCATGCCTGCTTCTTGAGTTGACACAAAAGTCAGCTCCTTTCATGCCTGCTTTCATGTTCGTTCTTTTCCAAGCCTCCGTTGTTTTTTTTTCAGAATTCTCAAAAAACACCTGCAGCAAAAGTCAGCTCCTTTCATGCCTGCTTTCGTGTTTGTTATTTTCCATGCCTCTGTTCTCTCTCTCGGTTTTCTTCCTCACTGCGTCTGCCACTCACCCCACCCTGCCTATTCCCCCCATCTCTTGCTTTTGCGTCCTCTGCTCTGCTCTTGCAGCCAAGCCTCCCCCGCCTCCACCTCCCCCAAGCCCACCTCCGCGCCCCCCCCCTCGTCCCCCTCGCCCTCCCCCTAATCCTCCCCCTCAACCTCCTCCCAGCCCAAACCCCCCACCCAATCCCCCGCCCCCTAGCCCACCTCCCCCCAGCCCTCCCCCAAGCCCCCCACCTAACCCCCTCCCCCTAGCCCACCTCCCCCTAACCCTCCCCCTAGCCCCCGCCCAATCCCCCTCACCCTAGCCCACCTCCCCCCAGCCCTCCCCCTAGCCCCCCACCCAATCCCCCGCCCCCTAGCCCACCTCCCCCAGCCCTCCTCCAAGTCCCCCACCCAATCCTCCTCCCCCTAGTCCTCCCCCAAATCCTCCCCCTCAACCTCCTCCCAGCCCTCCTCCAAGTTCCCCCCCTCCCCCTAGCCCATCTCCCCCCAGCCCTCCCCCAAGTCCTCCCCCCAGTCCTCCCCCAAGCCCCCCACCGAATCCCCCTCCCCCTAGCCCACCTCCCCCCAGCCCTCCCCCTAGCCCCCCACCCAATCCCCCGCCCCCTAGCCCACCTCCCCCCAGCCCTCCTCCAAGTCCCCCACCCAATCCACCTCCCCCTAGTCCTCCCCCAAATCCTCCCCCTCAACCTCCTCCCAGCCCTCCTCCAAGTCCCCCCCTCCCCCTAGCCCACCTCCCCCCAGCCCTCCCCCAAGTCCTCCCCCTCAACCTCCCCCCAGTCCTCCCCCAAGCCCCCCACCGAATCCCCCTCCCCCTAGCCCACCTCCCCCCAGCCCTCCCCCAAGCCCCCCACCGAATCCCCCTCCCCCTAGCCCACCTCCCCCCAGCCCTCCTCCAAGCCCCCCACCCAATCCCCCTCCCCCTAGTCCTCCCCCGAATCCTCCCCCGCAACCTCCTCCCAGCCCTCCCCCAAGTCCCCCCCCTCCCCCCCCTCCCCCTAGCCCACCTCCCCCCAGCCCTCCCCCAAGTCCTCCCCCTCAACCTCCCCCCAGTCCTCCCCCAAGTCCCCCACCGAATCCCCCTCCCCCTAGCCCACCTCCCCCCAGCCCTCCCCCAAGCCCCCCACCGAATCCCCCTCCCCCTAGCCCACCTCCTCCCCGCCCTCCCCCAAGTCCCCCCCCAATCCCCCTCCCCTCAGCCCTCCCCCAAGTCCTCCCCCACATCCTCCCCCTCACCCTTCCCCCAGTCCCCCTACTAGCCCCCCCCTCGCTCCAACCCTTGCTCTTGAATCACTCACTCTTTCTTCTCAACCTCCCACACCACCACCATCACCTCCCCCTCCTCCCCAGCTTCACCTTCCCCCCAGCCCGCCTTCCCCTTCTCCCCCTGCCCAATCTCCTTCCCCGTCGCCTCCCCCTTCACCTCCCCCTCCCCCGAACCCACCGCCGTTGCCACCCCCACCGCAAGTGTGCTGGTGGAATAATAACAAATGGGTGTGCCCTCCAGGCCAAGTTTCTCCAGGCTGGGTACCTTGAGCATTCTGCTTTTGAGTCGACTCAAACCAAGTTGCACCAGGTTGGGTACCTTGGGAGAGCATAACATGAAGAGCAGGATCAAACTTTTCTCTGGATGAAACCATTGACTTGAGACAGTCTCCACTTGATCCGATGCGTAGTCATGCATCTTCTCTGTTCCTCGTACAGTGAAAAAGAGAGTTCCATTTTTTCCCACATTTGAGTGGTTGTGGGCAAATTGTCAGTCCGTTCTTCCACAACATCCGTTGCAGTCCCTTGAAAAGCAACATCTGCATTCCACTCGCACCCGACTTCCCCCTTGTGAATTCCGCTTGCGCGGGGCCCCTCTGTCAACATATAATTGTATATGATATAGGCTAGATAGGTGCATGCTCATTGAGAGTACAACACCTTAGGTTATATCCCCATGTATCCTCTAATCATACTCAATTCATTACTCTGAGATGGTCACGCGCTAGGTTAGGTCCTCCCCGCCCACCCGCGCTTCCGCCCTAGTCCTAGTCCTAGCCGCTCGTTTCTAGCCGCCCGTTCCTAGCCGCTAGTCGCTAGCCTGCCCGCTCCTAGCCGCTCGTCGCTAGCCGCCTCTGCTAGCCGCGCGCCGCTCACCGCCGCTGGCCGCTAGCTGCCAGCCGCCTGTAGCTGCTGGCCGCCCGTACGCGCCAGCCGCCCGTCGCCAGCCGCATCGCTCGCTGGCCCCCCGCTCGCCAGCCCCGTGTCTGCCAGCCCCGCTGCTCGCTGGCCCCGCGCCTGCCAGCCCCGTCGCTCGCTGGCCCCGCACTCGCCAGCCCCGCGCCTGCCAGCCCCGTCGCTCGCTGGCCCCGCGCTCGCCAGCTCCGCGCCTGCCGGCCCGTCGCTCGCCGGCCCTGCGCTCGCCGGCCCCGCGCTCGCCAGCCCCATCGCTCGCTGGCCTCACGCGCGCCAGCACCGCGCCTGCTGGCCCGTCGCTCATCGGCCCTCCCGTCGCCAGCTCCGCGCTCGCCAGCCCCTCGCTCGCTGGCCCTGCGCTCGCTGGCCCCGTGCCCGCTGGCCCCGCACTCGCTGGCCCTCGCTCACTAGCCCTGCACCCACCAGCACCGCGCTTGCTGGCCCCGCGCTTGCCAGCCCCGCCTTCGTCGGCCCCTCACTCGCCAGCCCCGCACCCGCCAGCCGTCGTGCCGCCGAGTTGCCGCACCGCCGCGCCTCCGAGCCACAGTGCCGTTGTAACGCCGTGTCGCCGAGCCGCCGCGCCGCCGGGCAAGTGAGCTCGTACTATTTGTCCTCTGGAACGTCACTGCCAAGGGCAGGTGCACCCCTGAGGGACGGAGGACGGGCAGGGTCAGAAACCAGAGCGGTGGCGTAGTCAAGGCAGTGGGTAGAGGCAAAGTCAGCGACGGCCGCAACAAGAGCGTCAAGACTGGAGACAGAAACGGATGGGTCGGTAACAAGAGAAGTGAGAACGCGAGGGACAAGCAGACTAGCGGCACGAAGGAAGTCAGAGAGAGGAGGAGGGGAGACAACAAGCGATGACTGAGGAGGCGACGGTAGAAGCGGAGCACGAGACGCGTGAGAACGGAGCAACATAGGGTGAGAGCACAGAACAGGAGAGACAGGACGAGCACGAGAAGCATGGTGAGACCATCAGTGGGAGGGTGAGGTCGGGTCAGGAGACAAGGGATGAAACAAAGTAGGAGAATGAGGGGGGAAACAAGTCAGGGACGAGTCCGGAAGTGGAAACACAGGGCTGTAGACAGGCGGGGGAGGCGGTGGGGGGGGGGCGCAAGCGGGCGGTCGGAGACAGGAAGACCAAGGAGGCGAAGGGCGGACACCGGCAGCAACTGCTGTTGCTGCTGCTCCACGCCGACACCATGACCTCCAATTGCACCACGGCTACCTCCAGGACGCTCCACGCCAACACCCCCAGAACGAGAAACCCCTCCAGCACCGTGCCACCCTCAGGACCGCCGGGACAAGCCACTTCAGTACCCCCAGGACGAGCACCCCCAAAACCAGCACCCTCCTCAACGCCCGCACCCCCAAAGCTTTCAGAACCCTTGTGGCGGCGGCGGTTGCTGCTGCGGCGACGGTGACGGCGGCTGCTGCTGCGGCGGCGAAGGCGACGGCTGCTGCGGCAGCGATGGTGACTACGGCTGCGCTGGCGGAGGAGGAGCAACCGGGGCATAGACAGGGAGCGAACCCGGAACCGTAGGGCCCCCAGAGTCAGCCAACTCCTTCACCGGGACGACCGACTGGAAGGGAGTGACGTTAGACACACTAGGCGGGGCAAGACGGGGAGGGAGAGGAGCAGGTGCTACCGGGGGAGTGGGGACCAGGAACAGCAGCGGGGCAACCGGGAGACCTCGGTGAGGAAAGCGGGTGTAGAAAGGGAACAGAATTGTCAAAATTGACGTCGTGAGAGTGAAAGAAACGGTGAGACGGCAGGTGGTAAAAGTGTAAGTTAGATGCGTCTAGGGGGAAGCCAAGGAAGACACAGGGGACAGTGCGGGTAGAGAGATTGTCCGTGCCTGAGGCACGAACGTGAACAAGACAGCCCCAGGAGTGGAACGTAGACGCGTCATCATGGGACCCAGTCTAGAAAGAGGGTCGGCGAAACCTGCGGCTCTGGGAGTGTGACCATAGGTTAAGCTGGTGAGCGGCGTAGCGAACAGTGAACGGCCACAGAAAATGGGGTGCATCGGCATGGATCATGGAGGTACGAGCCACCTCCATGACCAAACCGATGCGTCGCTCAGCGACCCCATTCTGCTGCGGGGAGTCCGACAGGGTATATGACTGGGTGATGCCCTCCGCACGACAGAAATGGCCAAGCCGGCTGTAGGCGAACTCGTCGCCATGGTCAGAGTGAAGATGCAGCACAGGGAGGCCGCGGTGGACTCGCGCAGCTACGACCCACGAGATAAGAACGTGAAGCACGTCGACCTTCCGTTCCAGGGGAAACACCATGGTGTAGCGCGTGTAGTTGTCGACAAGCACCAGAAAGTAGCGTTCTCGACGTGGCCCAGGGACAAGGGCTGGACCCCAAACATCCATGTGCAGGGTCTGGAGTGGCGCAGGGGTAGGGGGAAGCGAGGAGGAGTGAGGGGCATGGCGCAGCCGGCCCTCGACGCACGGCGTGCACGGCGACGCTGGCAAGGGAGGGAGGGTAGGGAACGACGTAGGGAGACATAAGACAAGACTGTACTAGGACATATTGCGCAAACGTGGGAGTGCGGGGTGACGCAAGCCGTGGTGCCACAGCAGCGACGGGTGGGTGAGTGACCACCTGGGGGACGCTCCCACCGGGGGGGACGCATTGTCTAGGGTGAATAGGCCAGACACCGGTTTTTGGGGGAACGTGGTGAGACGGGCACCAGTGGCGGCCTTGGTGCAGACTGCGTATGACTCGTGTCTAGGAAACGTAGTGGTGACGCCGAGGTCCTGAAGACATCATACACCAACTAGGTTCCTGGAGAACGAGGGGATGTGCACGGAGCCCGGGGGAATCGTCGGACAGGGAAGGGTAGTGGAGCTACGTGCAACTACCAGGCCTGAGGAGGGGTCAGCAAGCACTACTGCGGTAGGGGCGGCAAGTAGCATGAGCATAGTGTGGTCCCGAAGTAAACAAGTGGACGCACTCGAGTCTAGCGTGAAAGAGAGCACAGCGGTGGCGTCCGAAGGCAGAGGAGCTAGAGTGGAGCCGAGGCCAAACAAGGCAGGTGGTCCTACGCCTGACGCATTAGGGGAACCTAGGCTACATATAGTGGATACACATACACTAGACAACACAGAGTAATAGGGTCCAATCACACTAGAGTCATCAGCATACATAACATACATAGCAAACCCAATCTGATCCATGTCCAGCTCAAAGACAAGCACACAGTGTGACCGGGACGGTCGAAGACGATGCTGCGGCGGGGTCGGACCAAAGCTAGTACTGGCAGGTGAGCACATTGAAGCCGCCACCAAACACTGAGCTGCGCGGCCCACCACCGCGACCACCACCACCAGCGCCGCCGGGCCACCACGGCGGCGGGGGTCCCCACGGCGGCTGCTGCTATTGCCACGACTGCTACTGCTGTTGCAGGTTGGGGAGGATCAGACTTGGAAGATAGGGACCGCTGCATTACTACTAGACTGAGCAATAGTGCGCTGGCGGGTCTCTATCGCGAACAGGGCGATGACAAAGGCAGGAAGGGTGAGGTCACCTGGGTGCGGACTAATGAAGTGGTCGCGGGCAGTGGCAAGGCGGCCAAGAAGGCGCGTGGCAAGGAGGTAAAGGGTAGCACAGAGGGGAGGAGGGAATGCAGTGAGCTGGGCCTCAGTGCTAGCAGCACGGTAACTAGTCTCAAGTGCGCGCAGATGAGTGGCAAGGTTGCAAGATCCGGGAACAGCATGGGGAGGATCAGACGCTCGGTTGAGGCAGAGGAGGGAGTGGAATAGCGCGTGATGACATGGACGGCCAGGGAGTAGCCGTCCTGGCGCTGACCTGTAAGCGGACAGCAGAGGTCGACGAGGCATGCCTCAAATTCGATCGCCCGACCCTCCGTGTCCAGGCGGAGCACAACGTCCGCCATCACCACGGCCGCAGTAGCTGACAACGGCACCGCGACACGGCGGCACGGCGACACGGCGGCATGGCGGCACGGCGACACAGCGGTATGGCGGCATGGCAGCATGGCAGCACGACGGCACGGCGTCACGGCAGCACCGCGGCACTGCGGGAAAAGGGGCCGGCACGAACTGGGGCCGGCTCGAATGGGGGCCGGTGCGGACTAGCAGGGCCGGCGCGGAGGGACGGGACCGGCGCGAAACGTCAGGGTCAGCATGAACTAGCGAGGCCGGCGCGAAGTGACGGGGCCGGCGCGAAGTGACGGGGCCGGCGCGAGTTGACAAGGCCAGCACAAAGCGACTGGGCCGGCACGAACTAGCAGGGCCAGCGCGAACGGACGGGCCCAATGCGAACTAGCGGGGTCGGTGTGAACTGATGGGGCCAACACGAAATGACGGGGCCAGCGCGAAGCGACGGGGCCGGTGCGAACTAGCGGGGCCAGCGCGAATTGACGGGGCCAGCGCGAAGAGGCGGGGCCGGCGCGAACTAGCGGGGCCGCTGTGAACTGACGGGGCCAGAGCGAAGCGACGAGGCCGGCGCGAACGAGCGTGGCCATCGCGAACTGACGGGGCCAGCGCGAAGTGACGGGGCTGGCGCGAACTAGTGGGGCCGGCGCGGACAGAGCTAGGGCGCGGGCGCGGCTAGGGCTAGGGCACGGCTAGGACACGGCTAGGACACGGGCTAGGGCTAGGGCTAGGGGCGGAAGCGTAAGCGGGGAGGGGGACCTAACCTAGTGTGATACCATTTCAAGATAACGCAATGAACTAGAATGAGTGATACAGGGTGGTTTTGTCCTAAGGAGTTGTACTCTGTATGAGCATGCACCTATCTAGCCTATAACATATACAAATATCTATTGACAATGTGATCAAGTGGTAGTATGTGCCCCATGTCATTATTGACATTCAAAGCCTCAAGGTCTAAAGAATAGAAACAGAACAATCTTCAAATATAACATCCAGCTTGTGGAATTATGCCGGTATTACGGTATCGTAACCACTTTGTGTAATGTGAGGGTGTGATGTGTATGATGCACGTTTTGTCAGAAACTCAGCCACTAACCACTGAGTTATAAGGGCTTGTTAATAGCGGGTCAGTGCGCCCATAGCCCCCCAGGCTCTGCACCTGCGGCTCTTCCCCGAGGATCTTCTCAAGGGTAACCCCAGCGGGTCACTCGACACCCCCCCTCGCTGGGATAGGTGGAAGACACGAGCGCCTCTGCAGCGCTGGCATTGGGAATCGAACCCAGGTCACCAATGCTCTGAAATCCATGTCAGAGACTCAGCCACTAACCACTGAGTTAAAAATGGCTTGTTAATAATGGGTCAGTGCGCCAATAGCCCCCGAAGCTCTGCACCTGTGGCCCTTCCCCGAGGATCTTCTCAAGGGTAACCCCAGCGGGTCACTCGACACGTTTGTAGGTCCAGCCCCAGGCATTGATAAGGAAACCGTTCCAATCCAAGCACTAGTCTGTGATCATGATCTTAGAAATTATATGTTGACACATGAGACATGTCTCAATCAAAAGATTGAGCCTCACTGAAAGTGTAGTTCTCACTGAGTAGTACTCACTCTGTGATGTGATGCGATGCGATTTGATGTGTTTCACTGGAGATCAAGCCCATGGTGGAGAAGCCGTTCAGGTATTTCACAACCGTCTCTCTACATGCCTAACGGCCACCACCAGCTCATGCGCACCCACATCAAGAAGGCTTATTGGGAATAGCCGTTTTTTGGGCTGCCTCATAGCCGTCTCCCTACTGGCTGCCAAGGAATACCATGTTCCACCTGTTCATGAAAGAGCCCTTGCTCCACTACGCTTTGTGGCAACCACGAAAATCGGAGTCTACCATCTATTTATGCAGCTTCTATTGGTACACTCCAATAGAAACGGTTTACAGATGATTTTATCACAAAATACGTTCACGCAACGGAAGCAATCAGGCAAAGTACCCTACTATTGAGCACTCCACTGCATTTGTCTGCTTCACACAAAGTACCCCACTGTATTGGCTGGCTCCTGTTACAGACAACACCCCACTGCATTGATCCTCCATCACACGAAGTACCCCACTGTTGACGACAAATCATTGATAACCTGCAAGGAACAGGAAACAGACCTCCCTCAGTACATGGCGTATATAACCTGTAATAAGCATCCTTCCTAGCTTTACCTGTTCGCTTTTGAGTCGACTCAAAAGCAACCTCGCTGAATGCTTATCCCTCAGCATGTAGCTTTAACAGTTGGGCAAGAAGGCTCTTCTATGAATGTGCCTGCTGCTATTTCTTTGCCTGCTTTTGAGAATTCTCTCACCTCCCCCACTACCCACCTCTTATTGCTTTGAGTCCACACAAAACACAGCTGATATTTACTCACCTCCTCCACTACCCACCTCTAATTGCTTTGAGTCCACACAAAACACAGCTGATATTTACTCACCTCCTCCACTACCCACCTCTAATTGCTTTGATTCCACACAAAACACAGCTGATATTTACTCTCACCTCCTCCACTACCCACCTCTAATTGCTTTGAGTCCACTCAAAACACAGCTGAGATTTACTCTCACCTCCTCCACTACCCACCTCTAATTGCTTTGAGTCCACTCAAAACACAGCTGAGATTTACTCTCACCTCCTCCACTACTCACCTCTAATTGCTTTGAGTCCACTCAAAACACGGCTGATATTTACTCTCACCTCCTCCACCACTCGCCTCTAATTGCTCTCTAGTGAAAGCATCTTTATGGATTTGCCAGCTATCAGCGCACGTGCGCTTGTGCCCCCCCCCCGCCCCCCCCCACCTCTCACCAGCCTCCCATTCTCACCTCTAGTTGTTCTGCAGTGAACACCTCTTTGTGAATGTGCCAGCTGTCGGCATGAGTGCGCTTGAACTCCCCCAAAGCCTTCCCCACTGCCGGCCCAACTGGGTGGGCTCTCCAGTCCTCACCTCTCCAGTCCTCACCTCTCCAGTCCTCACCTCTCCAGGACACACCTCTCCTGTACACAACTCTAGTTGTTCGCTAGTGAGCGCCTATTCATAGATGTGCCAGCTGTCAGCGCGCATGCGCTTGAACTCCCCAACCTCTCACCAAACCCCCATTCTCACCTCTAAATGTTCTGCCAGTGAACACCTCTCTGTGGATGTGCCAGCTGTCGGCGTGAGTGCGCTTGAAACCCCCCAGCGCATTCCCCATCGTCGGTCCCACCTTTGATGCGCCCAAAAAATCATTCTCCACTACTCACCTCTAACTGTTCGCTGGTGAACGCCTCTCTATGAACGTGCCAGCTGTCGGCGTGCGTGCACTTGAAATCCCCCAACGCCTTCCCCACTGCCGGCCCAACCGGGGCCGGCTCTCCATTCGTCTCCTCTCCCATACATACCTCTAGTTGTTCGCTCGTGAACGCCTCTTTGTGGATGTGCCAGCTGTCGGCGTGCGTGCGCTTGAAATCCCCAAGCGCCTTCCCCACTGCCGGGCCAACTGGGGGCGGCTCTCCTGCCAGGTTGGCAAGCGCTAGCAGCAGCTCTGGTAACCACCTGCATGGAGCGGGGCGGGAAGATGGGCACAAGCAGAATGTTAGACGGGTAGTGACAGGCGGCGATGGGCAGCAGCGGGCGGCAGCGGGCGAGTGGTGGCGGGTGGCGGCGGGTGGCGACGGGGGGTGGCGGGTGGTGGTGGGCGGTGATGGGTGGTGAGGGGTGGTGATGGGTGGTGATGATGGGTGGTGATGGGTGGTGATGGGTGGTGATGGGTGGTGATGGGTGGAGATGGGTGGTGATGGGTGGTGATGGGTGGTGATGGGTGGTCATGGGTGGTGACGGGTAGTGACAGCTAGCTGAGCAGACATGCACGCAACTAGTTTCCAGCTCATGCAGCTAGCTGACCTCGGCTGTCCTTTGAGTCTACTCAACAATTCAGCTCGTCACGTCGGCTGTCACGCAGACAGGGGCGGGGGCGGGGGCGGGGGCGGGGGCGGGGGCGGGGGCGGGGGCGGGGGCGGGGGCGGGGACGGGGACGGGGACGGGGACGGGGGCGTGGGCGGGGGCGGGGGCGGGGACAGAGACAGGGAGAGAGAGAGGGAAAGCGGCATCGAAACCACCTAGTGGTGCACGCTCGAGTCAAAACTTACGTGGGAATATCATACGGTGCAGATCGCACGGCAGCCGCGAGCCCCAGCGCCGATCCGTGCATCTTGACCGTCCGTGCTGCCGCCTTGGCTGCTGAGTCAGCATCCACCGGCCTTCCCTGATTGGCTCGTCTGCGGGCGGCTCTGGAGGCCTTGAGCGTGGATGCAGCTGATTGGATGAAGCTCTGGCGAATGGCAGATGGCCACGTGTCACCTTGAGGAGCTGCCTTGAGCAGGCCTGCCAGCGTGGCAGACGCCATGTCACGGACCTGAGGCAGGTGGGGGAGAAAAGGGGTGGCCGGGGGAGGGGAGAAGGTTGGGCGGGAAATGATCTATCTCTAGATAGAGGAAGATAAAGAATAACAACGAATGGCGACAGAGAGGACGTGTGGAGTGGAGAGGAATAGGGAGAGGAATAGGGAGAGTGGAATAGGGAGAGTGGAATAGGGGGAGAGGATTAGGGAGAGAGGAATAGGGAGAGTGGAATAGGGAGAGAGGAATAGGGAGAGTGGAATAGGGAGAGTGGAAATAGAGAGAGGGGTGCGCTGAATCACTCACCTCTGGCTGTGGGTCCTGCAGGCACGTGACCACGGCTCCACAGAGAGCAGCGAGGTCGGCAGTGGGAAGAATGGCAGGACACGTGAGATAGACTAGAAACGGATGCGCTAGCTGTAAACGCCTCACCAAACTCACCTCCGGCTGTGGGTCTTGCAGGCAGGCGACGACAGCTTGTCGGAGAGCAGCGAGGTCGGTGGCAGGAAGAAGGAAGCCATTTCTGGAAGGGAGACGAAGGGATGGAAATGTGTCCAAGGGGGAGATGACTTCTGAGTCCCAAGGGGGAGATGACTTCTGAGTCCCAAGGGGGAGATGACTTCTGAGTCCCAAGGGGGAGATGACTTCTGAGTCCCAAGGGGGAGATGACTTCTGAGTCCCAAGGGGGAGATGACTTCTGAGTCCCAAGGGGGAGATGACTTCTGAGTCCCAAGGGGGAGATGACTTCTGAGTCCCAAGGGGGAGATGACTTCTGAGTCCCAAGGGGGAGATGACTTCTGAGTCCCAAGGGGGAGATGACTTCTGAGTCCCAAGGGGGAGATGACTTCTGAGTCCCAAGGGGGAGATGACTTCTGAGTCCCAAGGGGGAGATGACTTCTGAGTCCCAAGGGGGAGATGACTTCTGAGTCCCAAGGGGGAGATGACTTCTGAGTCCCAAGGGGGAGATGACTTCTGAGTCCCAAGGGGGAGATGACTTCTGAGTCCCAAGGGGGAGATGACTTCTGAGTCCCAAGGGGGAGATGACTTCTGAGTCGACTCAACTGTCATCTCACAAAGGAGGCATCGAGACGGTTTTGAGTCGACTCAACTGCCGTCTCACAAAGGAGGCATCGAGGCGGTTTTGAGTCGACTCAACTGTCATCTCACAAAGGAGGCATCGAGACGGTTTTGAGTCGACTCAACTGTCATCTCACAAAGGAGGCATCGAGACGGTTTTGAGTCGACTCAACTGTCATCTCACAAAGGAGGCATCGAGACGGTTTTGAGTCGACTCAACTGTCATCTCACAAAGGAGGCATCGAGGCGGTTTTGAGTCGACTCAACTGTCATCTCACAAAGGAGGCATCGAGACGGATTTGAGTCGACTCAACTCTCACAAAGGAGGCATCGATACGGTTTTGAGTCGACTCAACTGTCATCTCACAAAGGAGGCATCGAGACGGTTTCGAGTCGACTCAACACTCATCGCATGAAGGAGGCACCAAGATAAAAGGTGGAACAGTGGTGGTGGTGGTGGTGGTGGTGGTGGTGGTGTGTGCCAGCCAGCAGCGCACACACCGTTTCCAGTCGACCCAAAATTCAGTGGTGGTGGTGGAAGGCACCGCCAGTTGCTCGACTGCTGCTCGACTGCGCTGCTACCAGCACTGCTGCTGCTGACAGGCACACACCACGGTACGAATGGCGCACAATCGACTCACCGGAAGACGAATGACTGGCAGAAGGAGAGCGCAGCGGCCCGCTCCTTCCAGTTACCCGAGTCTGTTGCTGCCAGCACCGCTGCTGCTGCTGATGGTACGGCGGATGCAGGGAGGGGAAGGTACTTGGTGTAGGCAAGGCATTGCTTGGCCAGGAGAGAGAGATCCGTGTTGGGGGTTTCCTGGAGGAAAGGGGCCATGACAGGTGAAACACGCACAGAGAAACGTCAACACAATGTATGGTGGTTGCATGCAGGTAGGGGGCAGGTACTTGGTGCATGCCAGGCATTGCTTGGCCAGGAGAGACAGATCCGTGTTGGGGGTTTCCTGAAGTGAGGGAGTAAGGGAACGCAGAAAAGGCAGAGGCAGGAGAAGGGCGACCTTTAACCAGTGTATGTGTGACGCAGGGAGCGGCAGATACCTGGAGTACGCCAGGCATTGCTTGGCCAGGAGCGACAGGTCCGTGTTGGGGGTTTCCTGAAGCGAGGTAAACGGGGAGGCGAAAAAGAAAGGGGAGTGGAAGGAACACCTGTAACCAGAGTCTGTGATGCAGGGAGCGGCAGGTACTTGGTGTACGCCAGGCATTGCTTGGCCAGGCATTGCAGGGCCAGGAGAGAGTGATCCGCGTTGGGGGTTTCCTGAAAGAAGGGGTTTCCTGAAAGAAGGGGTTTCCTGAAAGAAGGGGTTTCCTGAAAGAAGGGGTTTCCTGAAAGAAGGGGTTTCCTGAAAGAAGGGGTTTCCTGAAAGAAGGGGTTTCCTGAAAGAAGGGGTTTCCTGAAAGAAGGGGTTTCCTGAAAGAAGGGGTTTCCTGAAAGAAGGGGTTTCCTGAAAGAAGGGGTTTCCTGAAAGAAGGGGTTTCCTGAAAGAAGGGGTTTCCTGAAAGAAGGGGTTTCCTGAAAGAAGGGGCAATGGGAGGTGAGATAGGCCCAGGGAAGCGTCAAAACAAGGTATGGCGGATGCAGGAAGGTGGATGCACTTGGTGTAGGCGAGGCATTGCTTGGCCAGGAGAGACAGGTCCGTGTTGAGGAGTAAGATATGAGGGGAGTTGGAAGGAGATTGGTTGGTGATTGTGTGGCGATTGTGTGGTGGCGATGCAGGGGGGAGGAGGGTGTGCTTTGACTTGACTCGAAACACACAGAGAGGGGAAGGAGATACGAGGGGAAGCTGAAAGTGTGATAATGAGGGGAAAACGAGGTGAATGTGTGATAAAACGCTGGGGGAAAACGTTCACACAGCCTACCTGGATGGAGAGGAGAGCGGGCAGCAGAGCGACGATGGTTGGGAGGAACGGAGGCGCATCGCCAGACTTGACAGCAGACATCACGAAAAAGAGGATCTGAGGGGCGCAAGGGGGGGGGGGAAAGGGGGGGGGGGTGCGGGGGAAATGGAAGAGAACGGGCGGGAAGAAAATGAGGCGGGCGAGGAATCCATTTTTGAGGCGCCTCAAAAATAGACTCCTCACAGTGGGAGGGAAGTGGAAGAGACGGGCAGGAAGAAACTGAGGCGAGTGAAGAATGGCCTTTGAGGCGCCTCAAAAGTTGGGGTAAGTGTAAGAGACGTCTAGTTTTGAGGCGCCTCAAAACCACGTGATAGAAGCAGGAGGGTGGATGGAGTTTAGTTTCGAGGCGCCTCAAAACGGAGCAGGAGGGTGGATGGAGTTTAGTTTTGAGGTGCCTCAAAACGGAGCAGGAGGGTGGATGGAATTTAGTATTGAGGCGCCTCAAAACCGAGCAGGAGGGTGGATGGAGTTGAGTTTTGAGGCGCCTCAAAACTAGAGGCTAGAGTCATGGTTTACAGAGTACAGTATAGTTTTGAGGCGCCTCAAAACTGGAGGCTAGAGTCATGGTTTACAGAGTACAGTATAGTTTTGAGGCGCCTCAAAACTAGAGGCTAGAGTCATGGTTTACAGAGTACAGTATCCACACGGTGCTGTTGTCCATGCAAGCATCACTCAAGGCGCCGAGCATAATCCGTGCGTGCGTGCGTGAGGCGCCTCAAAAATAGGCTCCTCACGCACGGTGCTGTTGTCCATGCAAGCATCACTTAAGGCGCCGAGCATAATCCCAAACAAGAGAGAGTTGGGAGAAAAAGCACTCACAGATTCCATCGTCCAAATGCATCTGTCCTCCTCAGTCCCCTCCCTTCCCGCTGCACTGCTCCCCTCACCACCCCCCTCCTCCACCTCCATCCCTCCCTTCTCCTCCTCATGCACCTGCTCCTCTTTCTCCCCCTCCTTTGTCTGTTTCTGCTGGTCACTGCCACTCCCCATGGATTTGATCACTGTAACAGCCTTGGCAGCTTCTGCCAGGATATGATTCGACAGGCTGGCAGCAACAGTTGAAGAGAGGGAGGATCTAGAGTTGAGCGCAGCCAGAAGCGCGGATAACACCTCCCCCAAAAGCTGCCGAACCTGTCTCGCACTGTGTGCCATCAGCACATTCACCTCTTCTACCAACCTATCAAGAAATCTCTCTTCCTCCTCTGCAGTCCCCTTCTCTCCTCCTTCCCATTCCCCTCCTCTCCTTTGATCCATCTCCCTCCCTTGCCCCATTTCCCCTATCGCCACCACCAGCAACGTCAGCCGTTTAGCCTGCTGACCCGAGGCCGCATTCCCAGGAAGCTTCTCCAGAAGCTTCTCCCGCACGAGCTGCTGAATCCTGGCCCTCACTTCCCCTCCTCCCTCCTCGCTTCCTTCTCCTCCCACATCCCCTCCCCCCTCTGCTTCCCCAGATTCAGAATCCTTCCTTCTGACAGCCTGTCTCCTAGTGAGAGCGTACCGCACGCATGTGGCCCAATCTGGTTGGGACTCCACAGAGCAGTGCAGAAGGGCTTGATGGAACAGACGAGCCAACCAGCCGGGGGGAGGAGGAGAATTGGCGGAGGAATCGCCAGACAAGAGAGCCGCCTCTCCCTCTGGCCTGCCCTCTGCCTTGGCCTCTGCCTTGACCTGCCAGGCATGTAGGACTGCCGGGTGGGCAGAGGCTAGGATGCCGGCTATGATCTCAGCTGCTGCGCTCTGTGCACCCCTATCCGTCTCCTTGGAAACTAGGTCCTTCAGGGACGGATAGAGTGCGTGCAGGAAGGCTGTCACCGCTGTGTTGGCAGATGCCGTAGCATCATCAGCCTCAGCAGCAGCAGCAGCAGCAGCGCCAGGAGCAGCAGCAGCAGCAGCAGCAGCAGCGCCAGCTGCAGCAGCAGCTGCGTGCACGAGCAGCTCAAAGAGCATCGCATTGCCCACCACAAAGGACGACACCTGCGGGCTCGATGGCACCAGCCCCCGCAACTTACTCCTCGGCCAATCCGACAGCAGCGCTGACGTGGACGACGCTGCAAGCCCGGCGGTGAACAGTGCGGATACTGTAGCTCCGGGGTTGTCGCCCCCACCCGCCCCTTTCCCCCCTCCCCCTCCGCCGAATAGACCCCCTAACCCGCCGCCCCTTCCCCTGCCCCCTCCGCCTATGCTTGATGGGAGGTCACCCGTTGAGTGGTCTAGTGAGAGATGAAGGGTGAGGGAGGAGAGAAAGGAGGGCGAGGTGAGGAGTGCGAGGGGGAGGGGAGGAGAGGGAGTGAGTGAGGAAGAGAGAGGGGGGGAAGTGGAGGTAGGAAGGGAGGAGGATGGGGGAGGGGAGGAAAGAGTGAGAGACTGGAGAACCGGAGAGAGAGGAGGGGATTGGAGGGAGGGAGGAAGGAGGAGGAGGAGGGCGGAGGTGGCAAGAGGACGCAGGAGAGGGAGAGGACCTGCAATCAGGCTGAGGTAGTGAGGAGGCAGGTATGATGGCTGAAGCTGGGGGAGAGAGGAAGAGACGACAGACGAAGGTCGAGGAGGAGAAGCAGGATGTGATGGTGGGAGGGGAGGAGAGGCGGAGGGGAGGGAGGAGGAGAGGAGGGCGAGCAGGGCATTAGCCATAAGAGTGTACCTGGATTTGATAAAGGGAAATGACAGCATTGGGGGGGGAGGGGAAAGGGGAGGGGAACGGTGTCAACGAAGGAGGTGAGGAGGAGGATTGGAGCAAGGGGAGGAGAATAATCACTGCTGGAGAAAATAGGTGAGAGAAGAGAAATGTGTTTTTTGAGAATTCCGAAAAAACACCTGCAGCAGGAGAAGTTCCACTGCTGGGGAAAATAGGTGGGTGAAAAGAAAGGTTCTGGGGGAAATCACCTCCAGTGGGTGGCTGCAGCAGCCACGGCTGCTGACGCTGCCACTGCCTGGCTGCTGGCACTTGCTTGGCCGCTAACAGCACCAACCCCTGCCGCCGCCGCAGCAACAGCAGAGATGGCTGCTGCAGCAGTGGACGCACCATCCACCACTGGAAAACCACCAGCAGTAGCACCAGAACCAGCAGGAGAAGCAGCAGCAGTGCCAGGAGCACCAGCCATGGTCCAGAGGAGAGTAAGCGCCCCCTGTGCCTGAGTGGTGATGTCCCCACCAGCCCCATTGTTAGCGCCGCTCAACTCCCACCCATTCTCCTCGGATCCAGCCTGCTCCTGCTCCATGCCAGGTGCCCCCCACCCCCGGGGCCGAATGGGGTTCACTCCGGCAAAGCGCGACACAAATGCGATGAACACCTGGCGGAGGGGCGTGGATGTGCATGGGCGCAGAGACAGAGTCAGAGACAAAGTCACTGGTGTGTGCTCGAGTGGTGCTTGACTGGAGCCTGCTCTTGCTCCATGCCAGGTGTCCCCCGGGGCCGAATGGGGTTCACTCTGGCAAAGCGCGACACAAAGGCGATGAACACCTGGCGGAGGGGTGTGAATGTGCATGAACGTGCATAGGCGCAGAGACAGAGTCAGAGTCACTGGTGTGTGTGCTCTTGACTGGAGCCTGCTCCTGCTCCATGGCAAGTGTCCCCCGGGGCTGAATGGGGTTCACTCCAGCGATGCGCGACACAAAAGCGAGGAACACCTGGTTGAGGGGAGTGAATGCACAGACAGTGTGAGTGGTGCCTGTGCTTGAGTGGGGGTGGCTCGCATCCGCAACAGGCAGCCGCTCCCCTTAGTTCGAGTCCAGGCCTGGCCCATACCACTTTTCCCTGCCCGGGGCTGAAATGGTGGAAGGTCCGAAATGGCACTCCGGCAGAGCAAGAGACAGATGCGATGAACCACCAGGTGAGGACGCATGAACGAAACGACAGAGATATCCATGCGATGCGGAGTTTTGGGTCGACTCAAAAGCCAACTTTTGAGTCGACTCAAAAGCCAGGTGAGGACGCATGAACAAACCGACAGAAATATGAATATCCATGCCATGCGGAGTCTATTTGCAATGTGTTGCGATGCGGTGCAAAGGCGCCTAAAAAATAGACGCATGAACGAACCAACAGAGATGTCGATGCGGTGCGTGCATGTACTTATTTGCGCAACCATCATTAGATCATTACAGAATCACACAAATGCTTACCTTGATGATAGGAGACAAACTTAAGGAGCTAGAAACTGAGAGTAATCCCATAATATGAGGCATGTGAATGAATGCTTACATCGGTAACTGTGAATGAGTGCTTACATCGGTAATTGTGAATGAATGCTTACATCGGTAACTGTGAATGAATGCTTACATCGGTAACTTGAGGCATGTGAGTGGCCTGATTTCCGGCGACAAGCCCAACGTTAGGTTTGTTGGGAACCTAACAGGGCCTGACAGGTTTCTCTACTCTTTTACTTAAGCGTTTTTAAGTTGCTGCCACGTAAAGACCTATGGCACCCAAGTGGTGTTCACTAGGTTTGTCGGGAACCTGACTGACAGGACCTGACAGACTTACACAAATGTGATCGCTTACCTGAGTGTTGGTGGCAAACTAGAGGCAGTTGAACTTGGAGACAATGTCCTGATTCCCGACGACAAGTCCAACGTCAGGTTTGGCAGGAATTTGTCCTGAATGGTCCTAACCTAACAGACTTACACAGATGTGACTGCTTACCTGAGTGATGGTGGCAAACCTACACAAACCTACAAAAACCTGCACAAACCTACACAAACCTACACAAACCTGCACAAACCTACACAAACCTGCTAGAGCTACTGACAGGTCCTGACAGACCGACAGACCTACAAATGTGACTGCAATGCTTACCTGAGTGATGGAGTTTTGAGCCTTGAGGGAATCGATGGCTTGACTGGAGTGGGGGAGGGGAGGAGGGAAGAAAATTGGGAGTGGGGGAGGGGAGGAGGGGAGAAAATTGGGAGGAGTGGGGGAGGGGAGGAGGGGAGGAATAGAGGGAGAGGGGGAGTGAGATAGCGAGCAGGAAGGGATAAAGCCAGTGCTCGGAGAGCAGAGAGGAAAGGAAGGGGGCGTAATTGCAACAGATTTTAACACAGATAGGAGCAAAGCCAGTGCTCGTCGGTCCTGAGCCATCTTGCGCATGATTGGTTGGCTCACGACCAATAGAACAAGCCACAATATATCATATACCTCCGTCCTGTGTGAAAATGTGGACAGCAAACAGCAAACAGCAAACAGCAAACATCAAGCAGCAAGCAGCAAACAGCAAGCAGCAAGCAACAAGCAACAAGCAGCAAGCAGCAAGCAGCAAACAACAAACAGCACGAGCCAAGAGCAAGGAGGGCGAGCAGAGGAAGCGGTTACGTCTATTTCTGAGCGCCTAAAAAACAAGCCGCTTCATACCTCCCGTCGGTCCCATATTACATTGTGAGCAGAAAACAGCACGGTCTAAAAACGAGGGTGAGCAGAGCAAGTGGTTGGAGTCTCACGAGGCAAGGAGTGCGGAGAGGAAGGGAGCCAGAGACCGCCAGTCCTGAGCAATCTTGCGCATTATTGGCCGGCTCATGAACACCTGACACGCCCCCACTGCCGCCTCCTCCCTGTCCTCCTTCTCCTCCATATCCCCCTCGTTTCCATTCTCTTTATCACCATTACTGTCACTCCCCTCCCCCATCCTTCTCAGCCGTGTGACCGCCCCTGCCTCCCCAGCAACGCACGGCGCCAGCTGGGCCAATGCCGTGCCGACAGCTGGCGGGAAGCGCTTGAGAATGAGCTCCAGGCTGGCTCGGGCCACACTGGGAGGTTTTGGGAGAATACGGGTGGTGGGGAGGCAGGGGGGGGATGGGGGAGTGGGAAGCAGCATGACGAAAGGAAGCGCTTCAAAATGAGCTCCAGGCTGGCTCGGGCCACACTGGGAGGTTTTGGGAGAATACGGGTGGTGGGTGGATGCAAGGACGGGGGAGGAGGAGGGGGGGAGGAGGAAGAGGAGGGAGGGGTTGATAGCATGAGAAAATGGTCGAACATGGATGACCTAAGAATGGGCTCGAGGCTGGCACCAGCCACAATGAAGGTTGGGGATCCGTGTGATGGGGACAGAGCGAGGTGGGGGGGGGGGAGGGGAGGCACGTGATATAAGGTTGGTTTTGAGACATCTCAAAACCAACCTTATATCACGAGGCTGGCACGAGCCACAATGAAGGTTGGGGATGCGTGTGATGGGGACAGAGCGAGGGGGGAGGGGGAGGGGAGGCTGGAGAAGACAGGATGGAGGAATTCGGGCTGGGTATTTCGATAGCATGAGAGAACCGTAAACGCTTTTGAGTCGACTCAAAAGCAGACTCATTACACGCGGTTTTTACATTGACAATATGCTGGAGAAGACGGGATGTAGGAATTCGGGGTGGGTATTTTGATAGCATGAGAGAACCTAAACGGACAGTCAAATGTACATTAGAGCACCCAAAATACTCCCCCCCACCTCACCCCCAGCGCCAACCCATAACAGTGCACCGACAGCAGTAGCAGAGTTTCCCCAGCAATGCCCACACTCACCGTTCTTCCCTTCCCTCTCCTCCCCCACCCACCCCTACACAGACGCATACCGGTGCACCAGAATTTTTTAGGCGCCTCAAAAAACCTTCACCATCCTTCTCCCTTCCCTCTCCTTCCCCACTCACCCCTGCACAGACGCATAGCGGTGCACCGAAAGCAGCAGCAGATCCCCCAGAACGATCTTCACCGCCCGAGAAAGGGGCGGCGGGCGGCGCTGGCCAGCGTAGATTGTCTTGAAGTGCGCCTGAGAGGCCCTCCAGAGGAGATGCTCGTATGCCAGCTCTGCAAGCACCCAGGGCGGCCTGAGGAAAGGGAGGAGGGGGAAAGAGAGGGAGATGGATGCAAGGAAATCGGGGAAAGGGTGTTTTTGAGAATTCTCAGGGTGTTTTTGAGAATTCTCAGGGTGTTTTTGAGAATTCTCAGGGTGTTCGTGAGAATTCTCAAAAACACGCGGCGAAATCGGAGAAAGGACGATGCCTGAGAGAGCATCCAGAGGAGATGCTTGTATGCAAGCTCAGTCAACACCCAGGGCGGCCTGAGGATTTAACAGTCAGAGTTTAGGAAATAGGGTTGAAGGACGAGAAAGGTGAGAGGCCCTCCAGAGGAGGGGCTCGTATGCCAGCTCTGCCAGCACGCAGGGCGGCCTGAGGAGGGGAGGGAGGGGGAGCGGATGGGGGGTGTTTGTGGGTTTGAGGAGGAGGAGGAGGAGAGGGGTAAACGGAGAGGAAAAAGGACGAGACGACACCACACGGGGGTAGATAGAGAGCATGAGACCTTTGGAAAAACAGGTGATTTTTGAGTCCACAACAGGTGATTTTTGAGAGAGTATGAGACCTTTGAAAAGACAGGTGATTTTTTAGTCGACTCAAAAGTCCACAGTTCAAAAATCACCTACGGGGTAGAGAGTATGAGACCTTTGGAAAAACAGGGTTTTGTGTTTACTACCTCTCCCCTCCCCTTCAACTGCTCCTCACCTCCCCCTTCTACACCTCCCTTCCCTTCCCTCACCTCCTCCGTGTCTCTCCAGCATCCATCCACGGCGACCCCTTGGGCTCTGACAGCAGCCCCGCCTGCTGCTTCTTTTCCTCACCCAAACCTAACCTATCTGCGTATCTACCCCACCCTCGCTCCCTCTCTCCCTTCCCTCACCTCCTCCTCGTCTCTCCAGCATTCATCCACGGCGACCCCTTTGGCTCCCACAGACGCCCCGCCTGCTGCTACCCTTGCTCACACAAAGCCTTCTACCCCACCCTACCCCCCTCCCCCCTCCTCACTCACCTCCTCCGTGTCTCTCCAGCCTTCATCCACGGCGACCCCTTGGGCTCTGACAGCAGCCCCGCCTGCTGCTTCACCACCCTCAGCCCATGCAGTGAGTCCGAGTACTCAAGAGTGCCTGGGAAGAGAGGGGGGGGGGAAGGGGGGGAAGAGGGGGAGCAGCAAGGGTTCATGATTATGGGTTTCACACCCATTAGCAACCCCGCATGCTCCTTCACCACCCTCAAGCCCGTGCAGGGAGTCCGAGTACTCGAGTGTGCCTGGGAGGGTGTAGGGATGCGAGGGACGGGGGGGGGGGGGGGGGGGGTCGTTTTGAGGCGCCTCAAAACTGGAATTGCAGGGAAAGGGGTTCAGGCTGACAGCAGCCCTGCCTGCTGCGTCACCACCTTGAGTGGGTTCAGCAGCAGCCATTCCGTTTTTGCCAGCAGCATCAGCGACAGAGAGGCGCCCCTCTTCCATGTCACCAGCCATACACATACCATACCACCATATAACGGCATTGACTCGAGCGCCAACCGCCCCGGCCTGGGTTCAGCAGCATCAGCGTCTGGTGTCATCCCTCTGCCACTTCCCCAGCCACACGCATGAAATACAGCATATAACGCCATTGAATCATAGTGGCATGGACTTGAACACCACTTCCGCCAGCAGCGTCAGAGTCTGAGTGTCGTCCCTCTGCCGCCTCACACAAGCAAGACCCCCCTGCGTATCCCCTCACCAACCCACACACACATACATAATGGGTTCAGCATCCTGGCAGAAGTGGAAGGGCTCCTGCTCCTCCCCTCACCTGGGTGCAGCAGCAGCCCTTCCACTTCCGCCAGCAGCGCCAGCGAGGTGACTAGTGCAGCCTGGGTGCCATCTCCTAGTGCCATCTCCCCTCACCTGCGTCACTAGTGCCATCTCCCCTCACCTGCGTCACTAGTGCCATCTCCCCTCACCTGCGTCACTAGTGCCATCTCCCCTCACCTGCGTCACTAGTGCCATCTCCCCTCACCTGCATCACTAGTGCCATCTCCCCTCACCTGCGTCACTAGTGCCATCTCCCCTCACCTGCGTCACTAGTGCCATCTCCCCTCACCTGCGTCACTAGTGCCATCTCCCCTCACCTGCGTCACTAGTGCCATCTCCCCTCACCTGCGTCACTAGTGCCATCTCCCCTCACCTGCGTCACTAGTGCCATCTCCCCTCACCTGCGTCACTAGTGCCATCTCCCCTCACCTGCGTCACTAGTGCCATCTCCCCTCACCTGCGTCACTAGTGCCATGATCCATCTCCCCTCACCTGCGTCACTAGTGCCATCTCCCCTCACCTGGGTTCAGCAGCAGCCCTTCCACTTCTGCCAGCAGCGCCAGCGTCTGCGTGTCATCCCTCTGCTGCCTCACCAGCCACACGCAAGCCTCGTGAAGCACTCCAGCAGCTTCCTCCCGCACAGCCACATCGCCTACACTCACGCCCGACCGCCCCACCACTGCTAATGGGGTGTCTGGTCCGGTGGTGTCGCTTGCTAGGCCAGAGGCTTGGCTGCCGAACCTGGTGGTCAGGTCTGGGAGGTTGGTTCGGGTGCCGGAGAAGACGGCCCAGAGCCTGCGAAGGGCCACCCGCCAGGCGAGCTTGGCTGTCGAACGATGGTTAGGAAGGGGTGTAGGATTTAGAGAAGGGGGGAGGGGGGGAGGGGGGGGGAGGGAAAGGGAGGAGAGGCGTTTTCAGAAGCTAACACACACCAACACCCATAGAAACACACACACGAAGACGATAAGTTAAATCCCGCCAAACTGACCACTCTCCACACCTCCCCGCACCCAGCCCTCGAGACCTCCACAAACCAGGACGACTCACCTCCGGTCGCTGCTGAGCTGGAGGATGCAGACGTGGCAGGCCTAGTCAGCAGCCACCGCAAGTCCCTCAACGCGCCACCCAGATAATTGTCAATGAGCTGGGTGGCAAGCGCTGTCTCTTCTGCCGATGGCACGTGCCACTGGAGAGGCCCTGCAGTCCCTTGTGTTGTTGCTGCTGCTGCTTGCTTTGAAACCCATCGCTCCACCCCTGCAGCTGATTCTTCCCAGCCCAAGAAGCTGTGGATAGGATAGGGACCAGGGACAGGATGAAGGTGCGCATTGCCAGCACAGAAACATGTATAGCCATGCATTTTGAGGTGTGTGGCATGGCATATGCATGGCGCGAAAGAATATAGCCCCTGCGGGGAAATAATGCACACATTATGTGCGGAAAATGCTAACTTACGTGTACTCATTGAGTGGGTAGAAGAAGATGAGAGCGAAGAGGAACTTCTGGAGCAAATCTGCAGCTGCATCAACCACCTATGGTGACGTGAACAGGGAAGGGGGGGAAGGGGGGGAAGGGGGGGATGGGAGGGATGGGTGACTTATGAGTCAAATGAAAGGTTTTTACCTGTACATGGCCTTTTGAAGTGTGGGAGATAGACAGGAGGGGCAAACAAGCCAACTGACAAGTTCTTTCCGAAATTCTCAAGAAACACCTCATCTTGAGTGAGAAGAGAACGAAACGACTAAGAGCTCTGTCAAACAGAGACTGTTTGAGAGTTAGAGCCAAAACACATAAATTTAAGCAGAGAATTGAATCCCGATTCCAAAACACACCTTCTGAGAGGTGGATGAGAAGGCAGCATTGATAAGCGCAGTGAGGCGGTCCTTATGTGCAATCAAAGCGGAGCCACTAAAGGGGACGGCGTTGCTGGCCAGATGCATGTGGAAGAGCACAGTCGCCTCCTGAGTTGTCGACAGCTGATTGGCTGGCAGCTGAGCATAAGCGACACAAAAAGGGGTAGCAGAAGAATTGCCGAAAATAGATAAGAAAAAAAACGAGATAATGACAGAAGTAACCTTTCCTTCCCATAAAAAAACAAAGAGCGGAATGCTGCAGGAGGCCAAGGGCTCATCGCCATCACCACCCACAACAACTCTTCACCATCCACCACCACTCTTCACCGCTCTTCACCCCACTCACTTTCAATGCTTCCCCTTCAGCAGCAGCAGCAGCAGCAGGAGACTCGGCAAGCGCCAGGAATGACGTGGCAGGCAGCGATTGGAGGAGAGAGAGCGCAGAGTCCATGACCCCAGCAAGGATCCGATTGCAGGTGGCCTCCGGGGCAGCATACGCCAGCGCTGCCACCACTGTGCCGATCTCCTCCTCGCACCCGCGCACCACAGTGCTCGACACATAGCGCTCCACCCTTGAAATAACCTGGTGGAATTTGAGGCACGGAGGGGGGCAATGGGCGGAGTGGCGGGAATGAAGGGAGGTGCAGGCAGCTGCCTTGGGAGCAGCATACACCAGCGCTGCCGCCACCGCTCCTACCTCCTCCTACTCGCACCCATGCACCACAGTGCTTGACACATAGCACTCCACCCTTGAAATGACCTGCTCAGCCTCAGTGATGGAATGGGAGTATGGGAGGAGTGAAGTGAATAAGTAGGTGCAGGTTGCATCAGGAGCAGCATACGCCAGCGCTGCCACCAACGTTCCTATCTCCTCCTCGCACCTGCGCACCACAGTGCTCGACACATAGCGCTCCACCCTTGAAATCACCTGGTGGGTTTGCAGGTGGCCTGGGGAGCAGCACACACCAGCGCTGCCACCACTGGGCCTGTCTGCTCCTCGCACCCTTGAGAGAGATGTTTGAGAATTCTCCAAAAGCAATGGTTGAGTTGAGATGAGAGCACTGTATAACGCTCCTCCACCCTTGAGAAAAATGCTTGCGAAATGGTTGATTTTTAGAGGAGGGTTTTTTTAATAGCGGCCAAGGGAATCCCACGTATCTGTGAGCAGTGCACAGGAACTTTATCAGGGATAGAAAGGAGAGATTCGGGTGAAGAGAGAGTGAAAAAGGGGCATGGGTGAGAGAGTGATAAAGGGGCATTGGTGAGGGAGTGATAAAGGGGCATGGGTGAGAGAGTGATAAAGGGGCATGGGTGAGGGAGTGATAAAGAGCACCTGATTGAGAAGAGGAGGAGAGAGCCGGGCGAAGAGAAGGCTGACGGTGGAGCGGAAGGTAGAGCCCTCCGCCTCCTTCATGAGAAAGGACCTGCCAGTGGAAGGAGCAGGGGAGGAGAAAGGGTAGGAGCGAGGGGAGGAGAGGTGGAGAGAAGCGTAAGAAAGAAGGCATTCTAGAGGTGAGAAAAAAGGGAGAAGCAGAGGCGCGAGAAGAGATCTTCCCCTTACCTCTCGTTTGCAGCAGCGGCAGTGGCGACAGTGGCAGTAGGGGCGGCACTCTCCAGATGGGAGAAGAGGGAGAAGAGGCGGGAGAGGAAATCCTCTAGCCACGTGGACCAATCAATGGAGAGCGAAAAGGGGCTTGAGTCGTCCCCTATTGGCCCAATCTGAGGGGCAGAGGGGCACAGACGAGCACAGAGGAGAAGACAGAGAGGTAGAGGTGCAGGGTGATAAGCATCTTGGGCCGGTCGTTGGTATGCGTGGCATGTGTGGCATGTGTGGCATGTGTGGCATGTGTGGCATGTGTGGCATGTGTGGCATGCATGGCATGTGTGGCATGCATGGCATGCGTGGCAACAGTTACTCACTGAGGAGAAGACGGAGAGGTAGAGGTGCAGAGTAGCAAGCGTCTTGGGCGGGTCATTGGCGTCAATGCCGGGGAGAGTCGCCACCATCGCCTCAGATACCACCTCCCTCGCCCGCCCAATCATCTCCTGCCACGTGTCCATCCCCTCCCCAGACCCCTCCCCTGCTCCCTCCCCTCCTGCGCCATCCACCTCCATGGAGTAAGGTGCGGCGGTTCGAGCTGTGGTAGACGGATCATCAGCTTGGGTGGTTTGGCCAGCAGCAAGAAGCAGTGGGCGGACGGAGAGGGCGAGAGTGGAGAGGGCTGACTCCAGCTGGTGGGTGGCCGTGACCTGGAGTATGTGGGGGAAGAGGGGGCGAGATAGGGTTTGGTACAGCGGAAACGAGCACCAGCGAGCAGCAGCGGGCGGATAGAGAGGGCGAGGGTGGAAAGGGCTGACTCCAGCTGGTGGGTGGCCGTGACCTGGAATATGCGGGGGGGAGAGGGGGCGAGATAGGGTTTGGTACAGCGGAAACGAGCACCAGCGAGCAGCAGCGGGCGGATAGAGAGGGCGAGAGTGGAAAGGGCTGACTCCAGCTGGTGGGTGGCCGTGACCTGGAATATGCGGGGGGGAGAGGGGGCGAGATAGGGTTCGGTACAGCGGAAACGAGCAGCAGCGAGCAGCAATGGGCGGATAGAGAGGGCGAGGGTGGAAAGGGCTGACTCCAGCTGGTGGGTGGCCGTGACCTGATGTACGGGGGGAGGGGAGAGGGTGGGGGAGGGTGGGTTTGATAAAACAGTCATCAGCTTGTCGGGGTTTGAGTAGCAGCGAGCAGAAAGGGGTGGACAGAGTGAGCGAGAGTGGAGGAGGAGATTCCTGAGAATTCTACAAATGTCTGCCATTTTTTAGACTTCTCAAAATGTCGGTGATTTTCTAAATTTCTCAAAAATCACCTACAGCAAGGGGTGGGCACAGAGAGCAAGATTGGGGGTGGAGGAGGAGATACTCACAGTGGTCAACGCCCCCTGGAAGCTCTCCAGGACCACTGGCAGAGTGACACGTGGAGCCAGGTAGGACAGAGAGGCAGCAACGCGGGAGGCGACCGCGGAGAGGTTGGGGCTCTTGCTGAAGAGCGCACGGTTGTGGATGAGGCGGAGGAGCAGGCGGATGAAAGCAGAGGTGGTGGCGCGGGAAAGAGCAGAAGCGGGACCTGAGAGGTACCTGCCAAGACCAGCAGGGGGACAATGGGATTCGCATGGGGCGGAAGGAAGGCAACAGCTGGGAGGTTGGGGCTCTTGCTGAAGAGCGTGCGGTTGTGGATGAGGCGGAGGAGCAGGCGGATGAAAGCAGTGGCGGTGGCAGGGGCGAGAGCGGAAGAAGAACCAGAGGGGTACCTGCAGACGTGAAGATGGAAGACAGGGATTGTGGAAAGGGGAGGGGGTGCGAGTGGGGGGTGAGGTGAGGAAGGGTCTCCTGCTGGAAAGTCTATTTTTGAGGCGCCTCAAAAATAGACTCCTCACGTGAAGATGGAAGACAGGGATTGTGGAAGGGGGGGGGGTGCGAGTGGGGGGTGAGGTGAGGAAGGGTCTCCTGCTGGAAAGCACCCCGTTGCGGATAAGGCAGACGCAGGCAAATTCAATGCAGTGGTGGAGGCAGGGGCGAGAGGCAATGGGGGTAATGATGGGGACCTGCAAAAGCCAAGGGACAACAGAGAGAGAGGAAAGGTGGCATCCGAAAGGTGGTGAGTCATCTTATCTTATCCACTCAGCCGCCATGCCTCATCACCATGTTTTTTATTTTCAGGTGCAAGCCTCTTCATAGAATGCTGGGTAACTGGTTGCATTTTTTAGTCGACTCAAAAATCGCCTCTTCATAGAATGATGGGTAACTGGTTGCATTTTTTAGTCGACTCAAAAATCGCCTCGTCATAGAATGCTGGGTAACTGGTTGCATTTTTTAGTCGACTAAAAAATCGCCTCTTCATAGAATGCTGGGTAACTGGTTGCATTTTTTAGTCGACTCAAAAATCGCCTCTTCATAGAATGCTGGGTAACTGGTTGCATTTTTGAGTCGACTCAAAAATCGCCTCTTCATAGAATGATGGGTAACTGGTTGCATTTTTGAGTCGACTCGAAAATCGCCTCTTCATAGAATGCTGGGTAACTGGTTGCAGCAGCCCCTTCAGCAGCCCCTTCACTCCACTCACCTGTCGCCATAAATCTTCTTCTCAGCAGCAATTCTCTTCACAAGGTGGTAGGTAGCCGAGTGCGGCATCTTCTCCAGCAGCCCCGTCCTTTCATCCCCATTCAACGAATAAGAAATCTCGCCTCCTCCCGAAATCAACACACTCACCTGTCGCCGTGAATCTTCTTCTCAGCAGCGATCCTCTTCATGAGGTGGTAGGTAGCCGAGTGCAGCATCTTCTCCAGCAGCCCCGTCCATTCTCCACCGTTGGATGGGTGAAAGAACTGCTCCAGATCGTTCGATAGCTTATCAAACATCCGCAGCACCGACGCCTCTCCTCCTTGCTTCTCTGCTACCCCATCCGAACCTACGGAAACAGGTTCAGCATCCGAGCCAGCGGCAGCAGGTTCAGGGTTCGCCAGCAGCCAGACAGCCAACTTGGCGCCAGCTACGGCCCGAACCACCTGCTGCTGGAACGGGGCTCTGCGCTGCTGCCACCTGTCAAGCAGCGATAGGAAGACGCGAGCGCACGCTGGGGAGACTGGGCGTTCGAGTTGCGCTGATGTGGCGGACGGGGATTGGCCGATCGGGAGAGAGAAAGAGTCGAGGATTTTCTGGAGAAGGAAGGGGAGGTGGGGAGCCCAGAGAGAGAGGGGATTGGGGGAGGGAGAGGAGGAGGAGGGAAGGGAAGGTGAGGGGGGAGGAGGTGGGGAGGAGGATGTGGTTTGATGCTGGTGGCGTAACTGCTGGTGCTTAGCTAAGCGCGAGAGGATAGAGAGCCACTGAGCGTCCCAGAAAGTGCAGTGCGGAATTGAGAACCACAGCGACAGCCACTCCGGCACCCACACACTGCAGGAGGGGGACGATAAGAAAAAAGGAAAGGGGGTAATGAACAAAGATATAAAAGAAATGAAGGCGAAATGCAATGATGGGCGAAAAGTATCCTGATTTGATTTCGAGAACAAAGGCATCCTCAGAAATCCCATTCTCGATTTGGAGTTCCTAAATCTGCAAACGCCAGAACCACGCTGCAGCTACATCCATGGCACCAACGCATCATCCTTGTGAGGGCGCAGGTGTCTTTTGAGTCGACTCAAAAGTCACCTAATCTGCAACTACCAGCATCTCGCCGCACCTCCAAAGGGCTGACGCATCATCCTTGCGAGGGCGCAGGTGGCGGCACATGGTCATCCAGGCCAGCGGCATGGGAGAAACATGCACACACCATGGCAGCACCATGATGGCAGCATGACAGCAGCATGGCAGCAGCATGACAGCAGCATGGCAGCAGCATGACAGCAGCACGACAGCACAACGCCTCACCTCCATTGAGATGAAGCATCTTCCTCGTATGGTTCCAGGTGGCGGCACGTGGTTGGCAGGAACAGATTCAGCAGAGCCGCGGCCTCCAGAGCATCATTACTGCTGACGTCAGCAAACTGTGGCCTGAGAAGAGAAGAGAGGAGGACAGTGGGGAAGGGGGAAGGGGAGTGTGGGTGGTGGAGGGTGGGGGGAAGGGGGGAGAGTGGGGTGGGGGGATGGGGGCAGGGCAGACTGATACATGGGGGAGGAGGGGAGATGTGATACATAAAGGTGCGGACACACAAGTGCACACGATGCTTCGCTCATAACGGTGGTGACAGAGTAAAGTGCACCTGAAAGGGCACCAGGGATCCCTTGAAACCAACAGAACCGAACCTGGAGGCACCTGAAAACAACAGAAGCGCACCTGAAAACAACGGAGGCGTACCTGAGGAAGGCCCAGATGTCAGCAGCAGAGCCAGGGGGGAAGAACCTCCTGGACCGTCGGATGAGCTCTGTGATGGCGTTGATGTGGATCTGAAGCAGCGCCGCGCCCACGTAGCCACGCAGGGGGGTGGATCCTCTGTTGGGAACAAGGAGTTTAAGATCAAGGGCGCAGGTTGAGAAACTAATACAGGAACGGGAAATGGGGAGCTACAGAGAGGTGAGGTAGCTCCTGGGAGGTAAAGAGGAGCGGGAAGAGGGACGGGGATGGCGGATTGCAAATTTCTCCTTCAGTGGATAGAACAAAAAGTTGGCAGTGACGGCATTGAGTTTTGACAGGCGGTAAGAAAAGAGAGTCGGCAACATACAGAGCAGGGGAAGTGTACAACGTACGGAGCGGAGGGGAGGTGTATAACGAGGATGGAGTAGAGCGGCTGCCAGGGGATGGAGAGGGAGAGCGAGGAGCGGTGCTTGCGGAGGATGCGAGAGACGCACTGCGACCAGCGGATCTGGGGGGAGGGGGGTTGGGGGGGAAGGTGGGGGAGGGAGGAGGGTTCAACCATAATGGAACGAGGATGCCAGAGACGCACTGCGACCAGCGGATCTGGGGGGAGGAGGGTGGGGGGGGGATTGGGGTTGGGGGGGGAGATGGGGAGGGGGAGGGGGGTTCAACCATAATGGCGTCGACCATAATGGAACGAGGATGCCGGAGGCGCACTGCGATCAGCGGATCTCGGGGGAGAGGGAAAGGGGGGTGGGGGTCGGTTGGAAAGAAGAGAAAAGAGGAAAGGAAGGAAAGGAAATCTTAAGTCGATCCTGATGTCAGCAGAATGCGAGAGGCCCACTGCGACCAGCGAATCTGGGACACGGGGAGAGGTAGGGATGCGGTACATAACGGTGCAAGGCCATCAGAGCAACAATACGAGGTTTCCAGAGGGGAAAAGAAAAAAAACTTTTAACAAGAGAATAAGAAATTCAGAACGGACGGAAGAAGCCGCAACAAGGGGGTGGTTGGAACAGCAATGGCTTGCCTGTGTGAAGAGATCTCTTGGGCCACGGTAGGATGTGATTATATCGAGGGCTGTCTCTGACACGAGCTGCAGGTCAGCAATCTCCAGACGAGTCTTAGACGCCACGAAACTGCAAGGGATGGGGAGAACGGGAATTTGAAAAACGGAGGAGACGAAGACGAGTTGGAGGTTAGTAGATGCTCTTCATAGCTAGCTTTGAGACGCTAATTGCCAGAACTAGCTCCTAGTGTCTTGAAATTCAGCATGACTGCTAGAACTCGATTCTGATGTCCCACAATGACTGCCAAAGCTAGGTCATGATGTCTCAGAATAGAACAATTCTTGCCATAAAGCTACACCAATTGGCAGGATTGGGTCCTAATGTCTCAATACGCGGCGCTGATTCTAACGTCTCAATACGCGGCGCTGATTCTACCGTCTCAATACGCGGCGCTGATTCTAACGTCTCAATACGAGGCGCTGATTCTAACGCCTCAATACGCGGCGCTGATAACCAGAGCTCCTAGTAACCACGATGCGAGGCTTCAGTGCTGGCAACGCTGCACAGAATTCACACAAGAATACCTATTAACGACGGAGACCCATTTCAGCGTCTCTCCGCCATGGCCTTGCTCCTTCCCGCGCTTCCACGCGGCCTGAACCTCCTCAACGACCGCGTGGAATCTCCGAGGCTCCTCTCGCTCCGCCTGTGCTGCCACGTCAGGCGGCAGCCAGCTATTGTTCGGATGGACATAAGAATCCATGATATAGATTCTTCAAAATATTCTGGTTCCTTCAAATGATCGTCTACTATCGCGGGGAATATTAAATTGCGAGATCTAGTCACGCTGCAGGTGGATCTAGTCAGAATTGAGCTCAACGAGCGGTACAAGACGGATATGAGAACATACTAAAAGCATGAATTTAACCGCTACTATCAACGGAAGGGCTTCAAACCGATACTGATAAGCTGCTTCAATCTAAGGAGCAGCAAGGCCAAGCAAGCTAACTAGGTCTGCTGCTTCGGCAGACGATTCTCAGTCCGAAGAACTGAGAAGGAGAATCTCGATCAAAATGCAAATGCCATTTCACGCCAGTCAGCAGCGGCAAATGGCCATCTGCTCTTGAAATCTGGAAAAGAAGCCTCGATATTTGCGACCAAAAGCAAACGAATCCATGTGCGAAAGGCGTTGAAGTGGTATCCCTGCTCGTCGACCAGTTGCGCCGTGGTTGCGTGTTGGGTTTGAGAAATTAGCGATGGATTTGTAACTCGTTGTATCTGACGGTGCTTCTCGCACGAGTGCGAAAGCCAATTCGGTGATCGGAGGGAGTAACTGCACTTCGTCACGCTGACGAGAACTTGCGACTAGGAAGCTCGAGGAAATTGCTTGGCCCTGCGAAACTTCTGCTTTTCTTCAGCAAAACTAATTTCTAGGTCTTGCTAAAACTTTGCCGCCTTATTCTTACGTCAGCCTGCGACGCCTGCTCTGTAGTCGCCGACGTTATTCTAAAATCGCCGTCGCAGTAACCGTCCCCCGCTCGCGACGCAGAAGAAGCGTTTGCTCCGTGCGTCGGTTAGCATGGCAAGCTGCCGAACTGTTTTCAGCACGTCTCACGCTTCCGAGTACAACTTCATTACTTTCTGTAGCGTTTGAAACAGGTTTCACTTGACATTTTCGCCGGTTTCTAACGGCATCCGGCTTACCATTCGTCGTGGGAGAACGGGACTGACTGACACGGTGTCACAGCATCGGTTTAGGTTATGGATGTAACTGTAGCGAATGGCACAGGCGACCCTTTCGGGAGTTTCGATAGAAGCAACGCCAGAATCCAGATCTTCTAATCCGGCAGCCGGACCCGTCGCTATTGTCTCTTCTGACCAAGCAGAGAGGCACAATGTGAAAAGCAGCACAGCAAGCGAGGGGGCCCGTAGCGGGTCAGACGTAGCAGGGAAGGCAGAGGAGAACCCTAGGCCTCGCGATGAAGCGACGATTTCTAGTGCTTTGAACATTTCTGGGTCGGTAGAAGCCGGATCGGATGGCCTCAAGGCGTTGTCCGAGCCTCTGTCAGAGATGATGTCAGCTCTTTCGCTTGTGGTGGAAGGGGAATTGCAGGTGAGAATGACGTGGCAGGTGGGAATGACGTGCCAGGTTAGAACGGTGTTGGAACTGGACAACGGAAATAGGAGGCGACCGGCTAAAGAGGTTAGGTTTTGCTGGAGGAACATAAGCACAACGTCGCTGGAGTTAGGTTTTCCAGAAATAGGAGCGAATTGCTTGGCCAATCTGTTGGCTCCTCCTTCCCTCCCCTCTTCACCCTCCTTCCCCGTCCTCACTCTCATCATCAGCGATTCAGAGGCCCACACCGCCCCCTCAAGCCAGCATCTCACCCACCCACTTTACCAGAATCTCTTAGCTGATGCTGAGCATGTGCAGGTCAACACATCCTGGACCTCCTCCTCCCTCCCCTCTTTACACTAGACTGAACAAACGAATTTGTTTCCCCCGAAAACCTTCCCCGGACAGGCTCACTCTTTCTCCTCATACCAGCGTCTCACTCACCTAAAACTAAAAGCAGCAGCCGATGCTGAGCCTTTGCATTTTAAGACTTGTTGGCCAAGGCATCCCTACCCTCTTCACTCCTTACTCCTCTCCCCCCCCCCTCCCCCCTCCCCCCTCCCCCCCATTCCCCCCTACTTTCCCTTGCACAGGCTAATACTGTCCCCTCATATCAGCGCCTCACCCAACTTAACCTAGAAGCAGCAGCTGATGGCGAGCGTCTCGCTGACTTGACGGTTGGCGTGGGCGTGTTTGTGCGCTGCCAGCTGGCGGCGCGGGCGGCCACACTTCGGCAGCTAGTAGCCGAGGCGGAGGAGGCGGAGCGGCAGCTTGCTGACCTGGAAGGGGTCGTTGCTGAGCTGGATAAATTCACTGGGAAGCTGGAAAGAGCTGTGGCTAAAGCCATCAGAGAGGGGGTGTGATTGTAGTGAAGTGGATTGTGTGGGCTGTGGTGGTTTTGAGGTGCTGTGATTGTAGTATAGATGGTGTTTATGCACAGGTGTGGTGTGGCACACAAGGGGGGGTATTATCGGGTGGGTATTTCATCTGTAGGAGAGTGGAGAATGCCAAGCAGGTTATGCATGGGCGTGTATGTTCATACCGTATACACCCGGATATGAGTGCAACCATTTATTAAGCCCATGGGCTTATGCAATGCAAACACGCCTATATCCGTTGATTTCATTATAAGCGCACCTTTTTTGGAGGATGCGTTTATTACGAGCGCATTACATAGTTAAAAAATACTAGCGAAACACGAAGATTTTGTATCGAAAACTCGTGCCATGCCTCCCGCAGCCCTCCCAAGTGCGTCGCGAGCCAGCCGCGCCATTTCCGCTCAGTAGAGTCAGCTCTGATTGGCTTTATCCCAGCAAGGATTTGCTGGCAGAACAGCCACGAGCCGATTCCACAGAATCTAGCAACACCAAGTCATAAAGTCACCAGTCCTAACCATTGGGACAAGAAGGTATATCATCAGGAGGGTTAGGCTCCATATATCCACCTTCCCCGAGGAAAGCCTCCCCAGTACCCTCCCTAGAGATAGAGAGAGGATCGACAGGGTTATCCCAGTGCCACGACACACCCCCCCGCTGGGATAGCATGTACAACAGGAATTGAACCCCGTATGGCTCTGATACCAAGTCATAAAGTCACCAGTCCTAACTACTGGAACAAGAATGGATATCATCAGGAGGGTTAGGCTCCATATATCCACCTTCCCCGAGGAAAGCCTCCCCAGTGTCCTCCCTAGAGATGGACAGAGGATCGACAAGGTTATCCTAGTGCCACGACACACCACGGTTATGAATGAACAAGGAGAGTAGCGCGGAAATGAATAACGAAGTGTTGAATTAGTGAATGACGATACAAGGAATTGTTAGAAGACCAACTTAGCTAGGAAGGTAGGCGGCCATGAAATGGCGAGAGGTTTAGGAGCTAGGAGAGAAAGTTTCAAGAGAAAAGAGAGTTGGAATGGAAGAGAGAGAGGCATATAAGGAGGGAGTTGTACCCTCTACAGTAGAGTTCAGTAACACCTACATAGCTTATAATTATATAACAAATATAATTTAACACACCCCCTAGGCTTGGTAGTGGCAAGCCCACACACACCCACACCCCCTAACCTAGCACCCCCATATTCAGTAGCAGCGACTGCTACTTCAGCACGGTCAACCCCACGGCACGTGAATCACGATACAAGGAATGGCAAGCCAAGATATAGGAACACCAGAGCTAGTCTAACCATGAGATGTGAAGGTTTGGGAAGGAGATCGAAGGGTCTCGAAGTGACGGAGCGAGGCCCGGAGAACTCCCGAAGGTCGAACTAGAAGGTCTGGAGAAGCCGAGGCGGTTCTGTAAGAAAGGTCCGAAACCGTCCCGAGGCTTCGGGTGTGCTCGAGCGTACGTGATAGCAGTACCACTCAGTAAGGAATGGAAAATTCCTTACACGCCCCCCCCCCCACCCCCCCTTAGCGAAGGTGGTCTATATCAGTTACGTGCTTGCGGGCCAAATAATTCGCAAGTATCGAAGGTGACAGTATCTGGTCTGAGGGCACCCACGTGTCGTCCTTAGTGGTACGATTGGTCCATCGTATCAGAAAGTCAACGTGTCGTCCTTGGCCGTCGATACGAATCCTATGGCTCAAAATCTTCGAAGGCTCGATGGTCGTCTCTGCTGGTGGCCGTACATCTGGGACCAATCGCTATCGAGCGATGTCCGATGTGTCAGGTACGAAGGGTCGCAACAGGCTCACGTGGAACTTCTTGTGAATACACCAATCGTCACGTAGGCGCAACTGGGCGGTCACCGGCGTCACCATCTTCATGATCTTAAATGGGCCACAGAAACGTGGTCGGCAAAGAGGAGCAACAAGCGTGTGGCAGAGTGTTTCTTGGGGTTCGAGAGGAAGCGAGTGTGCAAGATGTGCGAGAAGCCGATGGGCTTCAAGGACAGCCAGACCAGCACGGGTGCCAAGCATATGGCGAGACACCATCGCCCACACTAAGACATATGGCAGCGGCGCGTGGTCGAGGGTCTGAAGCCAGGAGAGTCATTTCCGATGGGGGGATACCCACATGTCCCTGATGGGAAGGCGCCCAAAGAGTGCTCCAAGACTTGGCCGCACCCCCCCCCCCCCCCCGGCGCCACCATCCCGGACCTGTCCCCGGCAGCGGTGGACGTGAGGCAGCCCACGATGGACCGGTTCCTTGGCCCACGTGTGTCTGAGCAGCGTTTGCGTTAGGCGATCGTCGAGTTCATCGCCAGCACCGACAGCTCTTTTCGCATCGTAGAGGACCCTGCGGTAAGCGAGCCAACCCACCAGGCCCCCCTCACCCTTCCCTAAGCCTGTGGTCATTGTGTAACCCCTCTCCCCCCCCCCCCTTATAACCTACTGGATCTGCCCCACCAAAGAACCACCCGCCCCACCACCACCTCCTCCCCCCCCCCCCACATGGCGCTAAACACCCCCAACCCCACGCCCCCCCTCTCGTTTCCTTTTAGCAGTTCCGCCGCCTCTTGGCTGTGTGGAACCCCCAATGCGGTGACGCTATCCCCATACCCGACCGGACCACTGTTTCCAGGGACCTCCGCTTCTACTCTGAGGCGGCACAGGACGTGCTTAAGTCGGAGTTTGGGGCGGGTTCAGGGAGCGGGCGTATCTCTTTCACAACAGACATATGGACCGAGGGTAACAGGCGGGGGTACATGACAGTGACGGCGCACTTCATTAGCAGGGATTTTCAGCTGCGCCAATGTACACCGGAGTTTATGGAGGTGGAAGCGCGCCACACAGGGCGGCTGATTGCAGATGTGTTCGCGCGAGTCATCAGGGAGTGGGAGCTCGTGGGTTTTTGCATGGGGGTGACGACGGATAACGCCAGCAGCAACACAGCCGCCATGCGTCGCCTCGCCAGTCTTGGTCAACATGCGTTGGCCACGCCTCTCCTAGCAGATGGCATCCATTTTCGGTGAGTGCGTGTCGCGCTTGCATCCCTTGTCTTGTCCACCCAGTGTGCTGCTGTTCAAACGATCCACACCAATGGCATGGAGGGTCCTTAAGGATTTCCCTCCCCCCTCTCCCCCCCCCTGTGTGCGCCTTCGTACATGCAGCTGCCTGGCGCACATCCTGAACCTTGCAGTCCAGCGTGCGCTGAAGCTGCCGACGGTGAGGGTGTCGCTGAAGCTCCTACGTGACATTGCCACCTTTGTTGGATGGAGTGAGAGGCGCACGCGCGAATTTGAAGCGCAGCAGCGGTCCGATCCCATCCTCAAAGGGACGGTTCTCCGCCTGGTGCAGGACAGCGAGGTTTGCTGGGGCAGCACGCACGAGATGGTCGCACGTGCATTGAGGCTCCGCCGATCCCTCACTGCGCACTTCGCAGTGGAGCAGGTACCCTCTTCACAAAAGCCCACTCCATCGCTTCCATTGCTTGCGCGGATGATCCTGCGCACCCCTTGTGTGACATTTCCTTCCATGCTGCCACACCCATTGTCTCCCCACAACCCCCCCTCCCATGCACCCCTGCTCACTTCCCAGGGAGAGACGGCCGAAGAGCGCGCGAAGTACGTCGCGTTGCGCCTGACCGACGCGCACTGGGACACGCTGCATGTCCAGGCGGAGTTCCTGGCACCGTTCAGTTCCATCACGGTGGCGGCCGAGGGCTCTTCCTACCCCACATCATCTGCTGTTGTGCCACAGTTCAACGAGCTGATGGACACATTGCAGGCATGGCCGTCACCCCGCCTCATCGGCCGTCAGCTCGTTGACGTCGCCTTCCCCGTGCTGGAACGGTACTATTGCAGTAGCAGCGATGAGCTCGTGGTGGCGACGTTTCTGAACCCCGGCATGAGGCTGGTGTTTTTCGAGGTGGATGGAGGGACGGACACCCGCTCTGGAGGAGAGGGGGAGGGGGCAAATGGGGTGGGCGTGGAAAGCGGACAGGGTGGGTCTTCGCGCGCGCTAGTAGTGCATGCCGCTGGTGCGGGGGGGGGGGGCAGGAGGAGATGGGTTCAGAGAAGGGCGCAGAGGGGGAGTACGAGGAGGACGGAGGATGAGGAGGATGAGGAGGGGTAAGAGGGGGAGGAGGTGGAAGAGGAGCAGCAGGGCAGGCCTGTGGCGAGCTTCAAGCCGTCAGAGGTGCTGACCCTTGTACGGGCTCGCTTTGCTGAGTACAGTAAGCGACTGGCGGCACAGCTACAGGACAGGGGCAGAGGGGGGGTGGGCTTGGCAGGGGGGGGGGGGTTGAGGGTGGAGATGCTAGTGGTGTACCAGTGTGGGGTGGCTTGAGCCAGTCTCTCCACGCCAAGCTGCTAGTGCGCTCTGCACGACGGGGGGCCACGGTGCGAGGTGGATCGTTACATTGAGGGGGAGTTGCATGAGGGTTGCCCCTTGGCGTACTAGCGCGAGAGGTCAGATATGCCGGTGTTGCAGGCTATGGCCAGATATTACCTGGCCATACCAGCAACATCGGCAGCTAGCGAGCGTGTGTTCAGTCAGAGCCAAAATGTGATCACCCGCCATAGGCAGAGGTTGACAGAGGAGAGCGTGCGAGCCACTATGACACTCAAGTCATGGACTCCCATGCACCCTGGTGTCTCCCTGTTAAAGCCAGGGTGGATCAAAGAGACGGAGAAGCTCGGGGTGGAGGAGCTGTAGGCTGCGTGCTAAACCATGAGGTCGGGTGGTTGCTAGCTTGTGATGTCTTCTGCCGATCGGAGCTTACTTGCGTCTGGTTGCGCTGAGAACATGCAGTTGGCAAAGGGGCACTCTTTCAACTTCCATGCTACTACATTAAATTATTCTGACTAAACCCTGTATTCGGTTAATGCGCGCATGACTCTGCATACCCGAGATAGACTTAGTCGTGGCTATATATAGGGGATACCTGTAGTGGCGCCCCAAACAGAACAGCAGTTGTTCACAATCACAATCTGGCAGATCCCCAGGACTAGAGACCCCAAAAACAGTGGGCCTTCTTGAGAGGATACACAAGGCCCCCTAACGAGCCGAGCCGAGCCAGGGATCCTGAGGACCCGGCTCGAGGCGAGGCGAGCCGGCTCGACCGACGAGCCGGCTCAACTCGACCCCAAACGAGCCAAGCCGAGCCAGGCTCGGCTCATGCCCATGTCTACCCCCTTCCAACCAGGTCTCATCTTCC